ATGTATGTATTTGGCTATAGCTACAAATGCCCTTTTAATGCCGCGGAAAATACATAATATTAGATTTTGTCCGTAAGAGCAGGAAGCAGTCTGTTTCTGACATTATCGTGAATTGCATTTTGAAAAGAAAAAGAATGTTCTGAAGTAAAAGAATTGCAAGAAGTGCAGAAAAAAACGAAGTACAATGCGGGAAATATGTGGTACAAATGCAACCATCAGTGACCAAAATGCAAGTGAATTCCCAGTAGCATTCCAAAAAGCATTTCTCTGTGCAAAAGGGCCCTCTCGAGTACGATGGAGAGCAATCTGGGTGAATACAACTGGCTGTCCATTCTTCCAGTTGTTGGCGCCTGCAGCATCGATTCAAATAAAGAAGTCACAAAGCTGGTTCGATGCAGCATGATTGGGCATCTCCATTTTGACATTTCGAGGGTCTAGATAGTAGCCAGCCCAGTGAAGTGGTTTCAGTTGTCATTCCTGCCGTTCGATGAGATACTGAAGTATAAAGGCTGCAGGGACTCAGGTGCTCAGGCTACGTGTTGTTGAAGATGTGTACAGATGGCACCCCAACATGGAATGACATGGCCAACATGGCTAATCTCTGCCTCCAAAGCGTTCTGTCCCTCACAAATAAGTTGTAGAATATCGAGGGACTGCGACAAGTTGTTCCAAAACAGACGGCTGTGTACCAGTTGTACGATATCGTTTGGGGGACCGCTACGGTTATCAAAAACATAGCTCTGTAGCGGTTGCTGTGATCCCAAGACTGACGAAGCCGAGTTGTGTTGTGATCCCCATCGTGTGATGACTGAAGCAAGAAGCGAAAGATGTTTGCTGTAATGATGTAGTTGATGGCCTCGAAGAATCGCAGACTGAAGATATGCACCGCGGAAGTAAGACACAGTCTTTCTCACTCCCTGACTGACGATCTGAAACCAGAGAATCTTCACAACCACGTCTTTGATTAAGAGTTGCAGACCATGTGAATCACATGGAACACATAGTATCCGAATATCTGAAAACGGCTGTTCGAAATCCTCTCCAAGTAGCCTCCATACAGAGAACATCGTAGAGCAGGTATCAGTGGCAACAGAATTGATCCGGTGGTAGTCTCCGCCGGTAATAACTCTCGACGGCGCTAGGATCCAATTGGTGTAATTGCGTGCAATAAGGTTACAACTGCCAACATCTTCTACCCTGTGAAAAAAGGGCGTATGGCTGGTATTGGCACTCATGCTAATGAGACGGTGCTTTGTAATGTCGGTGCTTTCGTGTGTGATGGTGTACATGCCTCATCCGTATTGCTTTTCTCCCACGCCGCCGCGAGTTCGTCTGTACTCAGCGTGAAGAAATGTTCTGGCCAACGTAGTTCTGCCGGTAGGTACGTATGAGCGGTTGAGGTCTTCGAGAAACTGCTTCACGTAATAGTTGTTGAGGAGGTTGAACGGTAGGTTGGCGGTGAACATGACTAGTGCTAATGCCTGGTCGATTTCCTTCTTCTCGGCCGAAGATAGGACTTTGATGAGTGTAATCGCGTCTTCATATTATCGGGTTGCCATCCACACCACCGCTTGAACGTCTTTAACGTGACGATCTGAAAAGACTTCAAAACCTTGCCCAATTGGGCTTAATAATCCGAACGTCCGGCCCCCATCCCCTCACAGCCCAGACGCTTCCACACGTCCGTCCGGAGACGAAATATGTGTAGATCTTCTCTAGTGATAAGATCAACGTTTGGAGCTCCATTCGTTTGAATGTCGCCTCTCTCTGGCCGCTCATCTGGGGGAGGGCCATCAGTGCCTTCAGCTCCGACAACCTCTGGCGCGCATTCGCAAGCACGACCGGCACGGCATCCCGTAATTGTGGAACCTAAGGGGCCCCCACCACCTCAGGCTCCTGGAGCCATCTGCTGCAGTCGTCTCTCCATGTCCGGCTAACTCCTCTGAGCTTTGGCCGAAACCGGGGAATCCGCTTGCGCTGAACGGCCGCCACGGTGGGTTGAATGTTCCCTCCGTTAGTCACCTCGCTCATGTCCGCTTCGCTGACCACCAGCGCATCGGCAACGACAGAACGAGGTGACGTCGAGAGGGTAACACCAAGCCGTTTCCGTGGCGGCTCGTCCTCGTCCTCCCGGCGCTTGCGCTTTGGCACGCCGTTGGTAGCAGTAATTCGGGTTGGGCCGGATGCAAGTGAAGGGCGCATAGAGGACGAACCTCCGTCAGGCAACTCGATACCTTTCGGTTCCAAGACCGCCGGCTTCACTCTTCTTGCCTGGCCCAATCCGGGCTGTACACAATCAGCGCGCGAGCCTGACACCTCACTTTGGAGGAGCTGGAGCTGCAACCATAATTAGTAAATCAGTCGGACTTCTCATGCCAAAAGGTTTTCAGTACTCCACCCACCCCTTCAATCACATCTTGGCTTTGGGTCTCAAGCCCCTGTTTATAATCTTCATCGATTATTTGCTCAGCGAGCTCAAGGCCACGGCGCTTGCGCGAGATAAGCTCTGCGACCATGTTGGGAGCGTCAACCGGCTCCCCGTTGGGCATGAACGCGATTGACGCCAGTATGGCGCTAAGAGATCGACGCTCAGCGCTCGGAGGGACGGATTGCTCTGTAAGAATGCGACGATATCAGCTCAACTCTTTTGCTAATTCTCTGATACTGCAGGCTGTGCGTCTCCGATGGATGGAAAACGTACGTGTGGAGATGTGGACGGTCTTGGTTTTCTTCAATACCTGGTTTACCAGGGCATTGTCTGCGGTGGCGTGGCCTGCCTTTCGTTTCGTCGTGAGATTTGTTTGGTTGATTTGGTTGGATCCGGTTGTTTCACGGATGTTGCAGTATGCTGAGTTTCGAAGATGGCAAAGTCTTGAAGGTTGGCTGTTTGCAATGTCGTGATGTGTAGAGGAGTAAAAGGAACACGGTGGAATATATAAGAGTGTGGTTGAGCTAGTGCAGCAAACATGGACAATCATGTGACGCAGCTCTAGCGACGTGAGCTCAACATTCCCGATTGACGTTCGCACAGCTCTTCTGTGTAGAATCCAGCTAGCGCTCAGCCTGAGTGGATTAACCACAAACATACTGGTAAAGTTTGATGTCATTTGCCTGGATTTGCAGCAAACAGCACATGCTCACTGAAGCATACTGGATACTTGACCGGATCTAGCAGAAATATGCAGGCTCCATTACACCTGCTTGATCACAGATACTAATACGTATTTCGGCAGCATTAAAAGAGCATTTGTACATAAGCTACAGCTAAATAATAGATGACAAATTTCGATGACGCCGCCAATTACTGATAATGTGCGCTTGTTTAGTAAGGCGAAAAGGTACTGTTTCCCGCCTTCCATTTTGACTCCATCAGGTGGTAACAGTAGCTCAGCTAAAGATACAGATCACTGCACGCGTTAGCATGCTACCATGTGAGGTCATTCAGAAACAACAGTATCTGTAGGTTTGCCGGGCCTGCCACAACCACTTCGCTGTGTATGAAAGCACGGCAATGACCAGCTGAGAGAAAACAAATTCACAGCAAAACCTATCGGCTTGAATACCGATGTGCGGGTTTACATAATAGAGATACCCCAACGGTTCATCAACGCTGCGGTCAAACACCACTGGTTGTTTGGCTTTACAAAAGAACGAAGCTCACCACCTTCATCCAACAGTTAACATCATCCAAAAAAAGAGCAATGTGAACTAGTAGGCCGTGTAAACATCTCCATGCTCTTCATCATCCGCGCCGCATTCGTACATGATACTGTCACTCGCCTTTTTACCGGTATGCATCTGTTGCAGTGAACACGGCGGCAGCGTTCTTGCCACCGTTCACGAGCGGCCCAATCTTCACCGCCAGAAGAATGCATGTCCGCATACATCAGCGTCTGGTGTGAGCAGGTATACGAGAGCGAACTACTGCTTGGCATTTCGATGGTGCTAGGTACTGCTGCTTTCCTTGGAATGTAGGTACTATATACCTATTGTCTTGGGCAAAACCATTGGCCGCCCAATAACTTTCATGCTTCCAAACTGCCTCCCCGGGTCATCTTGGGCTATCTAAGGCTCGACCTGGTTGGAGTACTGGACAGACTGTCCATTCCAGAAGAATGCTGTAGTTAAACTCGTTATCATTCCTATAATCACCTCCGTGCGGTCCGGGTGGCGACCCAGCGCTGAGCCTGCCCCTGACGGCCTGGCGGAGGCGCGCACGAAAACCGACGTCGTCCGTGTAGACTGCCGGTAGTTATCCTAGCCGCACATCATTTGGCGGGGATAATGATTGACTGTACTCTACTCTACCTTGCTCGCGCTACGCACTTTTCCGAGATCTAGAGTATCTAACCTTGCTTCTCGGAGATCTGCAGCTCACGGTCCTAGATATCGGGCCCAACCGCTCCGCGCTTTCGGCTTACGCGAAAACTGCGCGCTGTGGGTCTCCTACTACAAGGTATCCAGCCGATCGGGTTGGCGATGCCCATCCGGACGCCTTCTCCGAACACACGGAGGTAGGTTACCGTCGGCCCTGCCATAGACTGTCAGTGGCCGGGGTTCAGATCCTCCGGAGCTACTCGTGGGTAACCACCATGCGAGCTCCCCGATTGCGGAGAGCGGGTTATCATCGGGGGATCGGTTGGTTGGGGGTGTCTACGTAGGAGGCGGGCAGAGTGTGGGACGAGAGCAAGAGCTTGGCGAAGAGGTTCCTCTCGACACGGAGAGCGTGGATATAAATGTTCTCAAACGCCGCTTTCAGAGCGTATTCCACATCCACCAGCTCGCACATTACTCCTACCAGATCTTGATACTCCTTTGCACAACTCCTCAATATTCTACACAGCCGTCAACATGCAGCTGTCGCTCTTCTCCACCATCACCCTGTGGCTTGCGGTCACCGCCATTGCCGCCCCTATCACCGAGCATGGCAAAACTACGCAGCTATGTAAGTTCGTGTGCGATGAAGCCGCTGCCAGTACCAACTCGGCCACCGAGGATGGCGAAACTACGCAGCTATGTACGCTACCCCACTGAACCGCACTTCCTTCATCTTCGCCGGTATGTTGAGTAGAAGGAATATTCACTGACCCAAGCTAAAGCCACGGCCGGCAACGGAGAAAGCCTGTCCCACGAGTCAGCGTGCACTATAGGCGATGAGGAAATCATGCACGGGAACGCCGACCACGAATTCAAAACAATGTGCGAAGAACAAGGCGGAAAGCTGTGACAGGAGTGCTTCCTCAACGGCGACGAGTTCGTTCCCTTAGCCACAGATTTGATCCCCGACGAGTGCGCGTGGACTTGCTACAGGGAGGGTGGGACGCTGCAGGACGTCGTGCCCAGTGCTCCGGCCGTCGGGAAGCGCCAGATCCGCTTTGGCGACCCAGAGTGTTTGCTTTTGGCGTGTTTCGGACAGTAGCAGAGGAGGTGTGGATCTGTGGCAGTTTTGTGTGTTTAGTTTGTACAATATCAATGTACTTTGTTTGAACTTTGTACAGAATAGCTGAATGGGAATAATGTGGATTCGAATGCGTTTGCCCAGACTAATCAATGGATGCCCGGCTCGTGTTGTTCTCCGATGGTCTATTCCGAACTACGGGCAAGAATTAGTATGTCAAACCTTTGCCGCCGCACCCTTAGTTGACCAAAGTTTTTCAACAGAGTCCGCGATCAGGTGAGTTCCATACCGCGTAGCTCAGCGATAGTCTCCGTCATCACGGCAGTGGGATTTGTTCCTGCAGCTGTGCGACATAGCTGTGGTGATACTTCGCGTTATAATGCTCGGAGGTTTGAGGAAAATGGGTTAAACACAGACAAAAAACCACCGGCACGACTGCATTGCGTAGGTAGATACTCTAAGACACTCCTTCCCACAGCACACCGTCCCCGAACTGTAGCGCGAGCACCCGGTTTCAGTCGAAGTCGCGAATTTACCTTGCCATCATCGATATCGTCATCGGCTGGTAAACGCGGTTTACCCATTGAGCACTGCTCGAACACTGCTCCGTGTACGTCTAGTGTAATAGTTAGTCCCCGGAATCTCTATCGATCGGGATAACTTACAGTTCCCTGATCGCGCTGTCTCTCCGGCGAGATCCCACTAGTCATCGCATCTCCGAAATCTTCAGCCCACGCCAGTATCCCTGCATTGATTAGTGTACCATAGTCGTGTTAGTGTTCCGAAGCTATCCCATCTCCCACGTGCCACCGCGGGGGCCAACCTCGCAGTCCATCAGCGCACACGCAAGGAGCAACAAGCGATATCTGTCATGTGCTTCCGCTGTGCGGATTCCCAAGTTGATTGAGGCGGTCGGCGGCGCCGCTCCGCTCCGGACGCCTCCTCCGAGAAACACCATGTCGGCGCCGGTGCCGGCAACCCTTGCAATCGGCTTGCCGGGGTTCGGATTCTCCGAGGCTTATCGTAATATCCGGCCCCAGAAGGAGGACTGGTCCAGGTCTAGGTGATCGGCTTGTCGTCGAGTAGAGGTGATTTTGGCCAAGTATCTAGGTGGGAAGCAAACAACATGCAGGGAGAGGGTGAAGAGCTCGGTGAAGAAGCGACTCAGGCCGCGAAGGGGGTGGACATATAAGATAATCTTTCGCGCCGACTGCAGAAAATATTCCCCATCCAACATCTCGCACACTCCACTCCTACAACGATCCCAATACTCCTCCTCGATACTTACATACACCTCCATCAAGATGCAATTCTCACTCTACTCCCTCGCCGCCATCTTCTTTGCGGTCAATGCAATTGCCGCGCCGCTCGCCGACCACGCTGAATCAATGCAGCCAGGTAAGTCACTCCCCGTCTTCTCCGCCACCGTCCCTTTCACCATCGGTGGCTGCGGGAAGAAGCAATTACTAATTCGTGACCCAGCCGTCGACAAGCGACAAGCAACGGACCGTGTCCGGGTAGTCTGCGATTTGGGCCATAACTCGAGGGGGGAGAACCTGCCGGCGACCCAGCGTTACAAAAAGTACTGCGAGGACCGGGGCGGAAGACTGCGCCAGGAGTGCTTCCACGACGGCGTAAACATCGAGCGCGATCTGATGCCCGAGTTCAATAGATTCCCTGAGCTCCACGTCGAAGACTGCCGGAGACATGGCGGCGAGTTGCGCGACGTCGCGCTCAGTGGCCCGGCTGTTGCGAAAAGGTAGGTGGACGAGGCGGAAGGAAAGGTGGAAGAAGGGAAGGGCTGGGCGGAGGAGAAGATTAATGTATGAATGGTCGAGAGCTGAATAGCTGGGGAATGTTTCTTTCCGAAGTGGTCGTACATATTTCACTTTGTTCAATACCTACTTACTTTGTAATTGTTTGCGGAAATGGATTTGGATGGCAATGTGAATTCGAGTCCTTTCGTCTTGGTGTCTCGCTTCCACCGGTTCCGGACAGACGATTACTTGGTCCGTGTCCGTCTACGACACGGTCTGATACTGTAAGTCGGAGGCGGGTCTCGGGTAGCAAGCTACAATGTATGTAGTGGGTGACGGAGAGGTTCCACCCAGGTGAGACCGACCGTGATGTTGGAGGAGACGTCATCTCTGTCATGTACTCGGCTATTATTTATCTCATGATTCCACTAGTATTACTGCCGGACGGATTGCTTCCTCTCCTCAGTATGTATCGAAGGTCATGGGGAGGTTCAGGTTGGCGAAACCGCCGAATATATCGTAGGTATCGTTGGTGGTACATACCTGGACTAGTAGTTAAGAAGAAGCAGAGACTGCCGGTGACCAACACGCGCCTTCCAGCAGTGCTGCGTCACGATCCTCAGGAACTGAGTGGCAGCTAGGTTGTGAGCTCCTGGAGACATGTCTCAGGATTCAGCTCATCCCGTCCCTGTACTCTCTGGATCGGCAAGACCATCCCATCACAGCGCATCCTTCCGCACGCACGAAAGCAGCGCCAGCGCCGTCCCCGTCTTTTCTTATATTTGAGCCTCCATACATCCGTGGTGCGGCGGCGATCATGTATTATCCGAGCGGTTTACCGGTCCCGCTCCGGACGCCCGCCTCCGAAACCGTGCCGGGGTTCGGGTCCTCCGAAGCTAGCCAGATAACTGAACATTGCGTCCGAGCGCCTACGGGACGGCTGGGCTCGATCTGGGAGCACGTTAATCGTTGGGGTCGGTTGTGTGAATGTAGCTAAGTCACTCGGTGTGCGTAGGAAGCAGGATGAAGACCGTGGGAAAGCGGAGTGGTCGGTGAAGAGACGGCTCTGGTCGCCAACGGGCTGGAGATGTCGGTATATAAGACGTCCTCTCCCGCTCCCTTCAGTGTATTCCTCATCCAGCCACTCGCACACGCTTCTCTCCACGGTCTCCAGGCTCCTGCAGGATCTCAATACTCGATTCTCTCGCACCCTTCGGTCCACAACACAACACATCAGTCAAGATGCAGACCTCATTCTCCACCCTCATCACGCTGTGCCTCGCCGCCAGCGCCATCGCCGCCCCAGCGCACCTCTGTAAGCTTCCCTCCAGTGCAACCAGTCATTACCCCAAGCTAACTCCCTCCCCCAGTCACGAAGCGCCAATCCGTACCTGCAGCATTCTGCGACCTCGCGCCCGGCATCAGCATACCCGGGCCTGCGACACGGGAGTTCCAGCAGGGGTGCACATCACGCGGGGGCATGCTTCGCTAGGAGTGCTTCAGCGGCGACAGATTTGTCCCCTTACCCTTCCCAACGAATGTGCCACAACCTCCGCACGATGTGCGAGAGTCGGTCTGTCGCAATGCCGGCGGCGAGCTGCGGGATGTCCTCGGCCCCGCCGTGGAGAAGCGGCAATCCGAAGGGCTTCCTGCATTCTGCACATTCGGGACGCCGATCGACACGGCCGGGCCTGTGACGCGGCAGTTCCAGCAAGATTGCACCTCGCGCGGGGGCACACTGCGCCAGGAGTGTTTCCGGGACGGCGGACGCGTGTTCTTTGCCAACCCGTTTGGGCGACAGCTCCCGCGTAAGCAGCGAGAGGAGGAATGCCGCAACAACGGCGGCGAGATGCGGGATGTCCTAGGCCCCGCCGTGGCGAAGCGGCAAATCGAAGAGCCTATTGCAATCTACAGAACCTCGTCGGGAATCGACTCGCACGGGCCTGTGACGCGGGAGTTCGAACAGGTGTGCGAGGAGCGCGGGGGCATGCTTCGCTGGGAGTGCTTCGCCGACGGCAAAGTCGTGTACTTTGGCTCCCCGTTTGGGCCACACCTCCCGGACAACCTGCGAGATGAGCAATGCCGCAACAGCGGCGGCGAGATGCGGGATGTCCTCGACTCCGCCGTGGAGAAGCGACAAGACGATGATATGACGGATGAGGGGGAGGACAGTTAGGAGGAGGATGCGTAGGCGGTGGAGCTGGCTTGGGTTCATGAATTGTACACACATGTTTTTTCTCTTTCGTTTCAATGAATATCCAAGTACTTTGCAACTGTTTGGCAGAGCGAAGTCGGATTGTAATCGATGGTGCGAAGTAATTCTTTCGGCTTAGTGATGTCCGAACGCCTGCCGCTCGATCCGTATCCTCCACCCGCCTCCAAGCCAATCTGATACTGCGAAAATGCAGCGCGTCATGCTGGTCTATAGTATCAGCGCAGCGACGAAGAGGATCCAACGACGGGTTGCACCAGCTCATTCCGCATACCTCAACCACGCGCATGTACCGCCTCTAAATACCACTACCTTTCCCATGTTACAGTAGCAGTTGCGACATTTGAATCAGGGTCATTGGGGGCCGTCGAGGTTGAGATCTACGATGCCGGGATCAATGCTGTCTAACTGGGGTTCGCCGTCGCTGTCCACGTCTTCAGGATTCTCTTCGCTTCAATCTCCCTCACTCCCATCCACCACTACCACCACCACAATCTCCACCTCTTCAAACGCCTGGGATTTCGATCCGGGACTGATGCACTCGACTACCGGCATAGTTCCGATGCAGGAAATCATCTACCGGTACTTCTGCTCTGCCCGGCATCAGAGTCGTCGGCGGCGAGAAATGCCAGTCCAAAACCGAGCGCCCACTCACGGCGAATCCTTCGGCATCGGCGAAGCGATCGAGGTCCGTACGGTACCGTATGTAGACTACTAGTCATGGCCGTTGTCCACCGTTGTAACTTGTCCACCGTTGTCCACTCTCCACCATCATCTCTACTTTACATCTTAACCATCTTCCAAATACCACTCTCGAATTCGGATCGTATTTTAATAATTGAATCACAATATTTCTGTGCTGCCTTACAAGACGTTCTCTTTCCTTGCCTTGAATTCTCCTCCGCGGCACATGGTGAAGTGTGACTTTTGCGAACAACTGTAGGTACCATAGCAGTCACCGTCGCCGTCTCCGACCCACTGTGCTTCCAAACATCTTCGAGAAGAAGAAGCCTGCAAAGCGCGGGTTGATCTCTGCCTCGCTCCTGCTGTTGGTTTTATCGACAGAGCGCTACGACGCGCTGTCGCTGGTATCATTGTCGGCCTGAGAGCGCTTGATGTGCTCATGTCTGTGGCTCGTGAACCAACTTCCTTCCACCGCCCATCGTATCTCACCCGTGAACACTGAATAGGTGCTTACGTTGCGGTAACTGAAAGCAAGTATCTAGATTTGATTTAACTAAGAATGAGCCTTCGGCCACGCTTAGAAGAGATGAATGGGCGGCTTCCTTCTGAAGTTCTCTGCTTGACAAAAAGTCCACTAGTCCCTGAGTCCGGTCTGTTGCGATGCGCATTGCCCTGAACCTCAAGCATTCGCAGACGCTTCAGAGTGGCGGAAACGTCCAGAGCAAAAATGTGAATGGAGGGGGGCTAATGTTGCGGCCTATCTTCTGCTATACAGGTTATCTGCCAGCCCTCCGCGGTAGCAGTGGCAGTGAGGAAGAACGCATGCGTTCTCTGCAGGCGTGGCTCCAAAGATGAGGACGAGAAATCCTTGAGCCACTCCGTGAGGGCCTCAAGTTCTTTCTCAGAAAATCATGTTAAGCTCTGTCGTGCTAGGGATAGAGCATTGCAATTATTGCTCTTCAACGAGAAATTTCTAGTAAGCGCGGTGGGGGGGGGGGTTTGCTTCCGAATTTGCGTTACGATTGACGAGTTCGATTGATCTGACATGGCCCACATATGCAGCTGCCACCCGGGCCCTAACCTAAAAAAAAGCAGCGCCGAGCAGCGAGCAGCGAGCAGCAGCAGCAGCAGCAGCAGCGAGCAGCAAAGCAGGCGGGCAGATGATGCGGGAAAAGTAGAATGGGACGTTACGGTTGGCAAATAACTCATGTTTTACGGATGGCTTCGGGATGGCGAGAAACCATGGCAACACATCTCGGTCGACTTTGTCACTGGCCTACCGCCCTCGAAGGAGTTTGACGGTCCTCCCATACCGATTATGGGCAAACCACGACCGGCGAAGAACCCACAGCCAATCGGCATTGACAGATCTAACATCCAATTACGTGTCCAGATGAAACACTATTGAAGCAGACCAACCAGCAACCATCCACAATAGACCTCGCCTTCGCCTCGCCACCCATTGAACACGAAGCCAACAACTGGGCCATTGACGATGATGCTGCCACCGGATGGGATCATGCTACCATCAGATTCCAGCTAGTATCCAACAGCACCCACCTTCCCCAACCATCAGCCCCTCCACGGCACAACTGGAACACAGCCAGTTGGGACCTCTTCAGCGAACACCTCCGAACCAGAGTTGCCGAGACGTACCAAACCTGGTGCCTCCTGCACCAGAACCCCTCACACCAAAACCTGGACAGCTCAGCAGAGTTCCTGCGAGACCTCATCATCGAAGCTGTACAAAATCAGTGCCCCCAATCAACATCTACCCCCAGTCGAAGCGATGGTGGAACCCAGCCCTCCTTGCATCGGTGAAGCACAGGCCTGGGAATAGTCTTTGTCGGGCCCGGAATATCAAGGACTGCAGGAGGTATTGTAGGTAGTAGCCGAGCCTGGGCGAGGATTGAACCTACCCCCCCACATCGCCTCGTGCATCAATCGCAACCTCCACCTGTCGCTCACACACTCGATCTCCATCACCCGTGCCCTCGTAGAACGGCAATTCCAGCCGCCAAACTACAAGCCGTTCAACAACCTCTCCCCGGTCGTGTCAGTGCAGCAGAATTTCGATTCCCTCGGGTTCCCCTCCGACTACCCGGGCCACAGCAGGACGGATACGTACTACATCAACCGTGAGACGGTGCTGCGCACACATACGTCCGCGCACCAGGCGGCCAGCTTTTCTGCGGGCGAAGAGGGGTTTACCATCAGCGCGGATGTGTACCGGCGTGATGCAATCGACCGAACCCATTACCCCGTGTTCCACCAGATGGAGGGAGCGCGGATGTGGTCGCGCAAGGACGGGGACGTGGCAAAGATGGTCAGGGAGGATATCGAGCGGCTACCGAAGCATAATCTAAAAGTGGACGATAGCGGGCCGGTTTTCTATGCGGGAAACCCGCTACAATCTGAGCATAGCACAGAGGAGGCTGTTGGTGGAGGCCTAGGAAGCTACTTCAGTCTGTCGCGGCAACCGTCGAGTGGAAGTCGTCCGCTGTGTACGGACTTCGGACGTTTCCCGAGTGAGCGCTTGTGGAGCAGACTTTTTGCCATGAATGTTCAAAAGACCCACAGCCGAACGCTCAGGGGAAGACTGCAGTACCTCTTCAAGTGGAGGGATCTCCGGCACCGGTCAACGCACAATGCTAACATAACAATTCACCAAAGGAAACCGACAGTATTGAAGTCCTCAACGACATCCGCTACTACGACTCGACAGCGAAATGTAACAAGAGAGAGGGAGCATGCACGTGGCAAACAGTGATGTGATAGTACCCCGCGTTCTGAAGCCAACATCAGACGAGATCTAGACTCGTTTTCTCTCCTCCTTCTCTGGCAGCTGCTGTACCGTCGACGGGAGGACGGCCAAATCTCCACCTACTCACGGAGAATACGGTGACCCGGATCCAGAGCTGAGCTTTGAGCTCAATTCAGAGGAAACTTAATGTCAGACGACGCACACGCCGAGCTCCCCACGACACGGTACGGGACTACTGCTGTTGGCTTTTCCGCACCCAGACTCCCCGGATCCCCTCCCGCTCAGAGCCATCTCTACACCAGCAGCCGCACTCCACACCGCCCCCCTCCCTGTCATCCCCAAGTCCACACACATGCGCGAGCCCGCTCAGTGGAGATGGAACAATGCAACCAAGAAGCTTCATATCGTGATCAGCCTGGTTTTTGAGTCATTGCCAAAGCAATAACACAGACTCATTCCAGACTGACACCCACCGATATCCAGCACGTCGAACACGCCAGTCTCGTCGATCCCCTTCTCCTTCAACGCGCGCCGCAACCGCTCCGGGGGTTCCATAACGGGCTCGTCAGTGAGCACCCAAGTTCCCTGTCACACACACACACTATCAACAACCATCAGCAACCAAAAAGTCTACATTGGCGGGTATATATCATCTACCCTTTTCACACACAAGCCCCCCGGGCCCCCCCATGATGTGTTATGCATCCGCTCATCCGGATGGCCCGTTTTTTCTCGTGAGTCGGAAAAGTCGGCGTCAGTGACGGGATATGCCTCTTCGCGCGTTGTCGGGATCAACCCCTTGCAAACGAAAAGCTGGTGCCCGGCTGGTATTTCGTGTGTGAACTGTGCGGACAATGTGTGTGATAATATTTTCCTTTGTAAAATTAGTTGGTAGGCAACGGCGCAGGGACGGGCTTTGGCGGTAGAGATTTTCTTCTACCTCCGTCGAACTGGTAGGAAAACTCGGGTTTGTGGACAGTAGAAATGCGACAGCTACTAATGGTGCTGGCTGGCGGGTTCATGAGTCCTCCGCTCAATCCCTTGTACCAAAAAAACCCCAGTGGCCCTGTTGGCTATGTCGCCGCTCGGCGCGTGAAGTCATCGGTTCGACTTCCGGGGTTTTCAAACTACCCACACCTGGGTGATGACGGTTTTTTAATTTTATTTTTCCGGTTTTGTAAGAGTGATGCATGCGGAATCACTCGGTCAAAGAGTGGCAGTCCAAGTTGCGATTCTCACTCGATACGCCACATCACTAAGCCACATCTTCACGCCTTCGAAGAAGCTGCACATTGGTCATCTTGATATTGCTTGTACGTTCCTAGAATCCTTTATATTCATACTTGCTTCTCCTTCTGTCTGGTATTCCTAGCGGGTCATCCGCTCTGTTTTGAACATCAATCGCAGAAAAAAGCTCACCATTTTTATTTCTACTCTTCAACAGTCAAAAATTGTGAAGGATTCTACAGACAATACAACGAGACGGCAACGTTTTAGCCGGACAGGCGACGAATGGCCCGGAATTGTTCCGGCACCTCAAAAAATACGGAAGGCGGAAATTCCCTCTGCCGGTAAGTATCGCTCACACACCTCAAGAGACGGATAAGTGACGAAAAATGGAAAGAAGCCAGGGAATGGTCAGAATCGAGCATTGGTGCAAAACCACCAGTGAACATCAAGACGGCAGTCGATCCGACCCTAGGGACAGCGGCGATACGCTTAGCCGCCCGATACTAGTACCAGCTAAACTCACGGTGACCCATCTGTAGAGAATCTATCACCAATGCTGCTGGTGCAACTAGTCCGGGTAGATACGGGGACACCTGTTCACGAAATTCAACAGGTTTCAAGCCAACAGGAAGCGCAATGGGAGAAAATCGGAAAGGAGGCGGGAAAGGACCTAAGAAACGACTAAATGGAGCGTGGCAGACCTGTTTGCAGACAAGCGCTGCTCGGAAGCAGTGGAAAAGTACAGGACTACGGACGTGAGGAAGAAAATCCCACCAACTAGAAGAGGCTGAGGTCGAGGAGGGGAACCATTTCCCTGAAGCCGAACAGGAGTGTCTAGTAGGGTATTGCGTGTATGGCCTGCTTGGACAATAAGTGTAATCGTGTTTTCCTTTGCAAGATCGGTTGGTAGGCATCGGCGCATCAATAGCTTTTAGTGGCGCTGGCTAATAGTGCTAGCTGGCGGCGCTGACACGCGGGTTCATGAGTCCTCCTCTCAATCCCCAGTACCAAAAAACCGCCAGTAGCCTTGTAGTCGAAACCACCACTCGGCGCGGGGGAGTCATAGGTTCGACTCCTGGGGCTTCCAAGCCACCCACATCCCCTGGGTGGTGACGGTTTTTGTTTTTTGTTTTTTGGTGGCTCTCGCCGAAGATGATACCTATGAAGCGGGGTTCTGTTTTTTTTGGGTGAAATCATTGGTTGCAGACGATCTGTCTAGACCATGGAAGTATCCACCCCAGCCACACACTCCTACCGTTTTCACGTCACGACTTTCATCGATCGGCGAAGACGCGTTGTGTCGGATATACGCATGACTTATCACTCAGTGGAGGAGTGAGGGTCTATGATTTTGCAACACGCAAAGTCAGCAGATCCTTGCGACTCATCCCCCTCCCCCGGCAACCCAGTCGTGCCACAAAGTTCAAACAAAAAAATGCGGAAATAATCGATACTTCTCTCTCAATGCGTTCGAGATCCTGCCACCAACTAGAGATTAAGTTGTACTTATCTGCGGAGATCTACCCCCGGTCACACTCCCGAAGCCCACTACCGCCATGATTTGATAAGGTCGAATACTACGGCGATGAAACAAAAACACTCCCGAAACCCAGAAACCCAGAACGCGAAACAGGGCAAGCGCCTACAGGCTGGTTGCGCCTACCACCAGTCGCCAACCACACCTCGCCAAAGCGCCTACAGGGGTGTGCGGGAGCTGGCGCCGTCACCATGCATCGTCCGGACTCCGCAGGGGGGTGGGGTGTTTGACAGGTGGGGCTAAAAATCTGAGCCGTATGAGTGCATACAAGAGTATAAGAGCAAGCAATAGCCCGACCCGGCGGAGAAGGGGTTTTGGCAATTTACGGTATTTGCTTCGCTTCGCTTTCTCTTCGCTTTCTTTTCTTTCTTGTCTCGCTCCCGCGGGCTCGGGGTTTCTTTCTTTTCTTTACTTTCTTTCTTTCTTTGTATGTTTGTTTGTTTTCGTTTCGTCGAGATGCGTTTCCTCTCCTCGAGCTCGGTGTCGATATTGCTCTCGGTGCTGCTACTGCTACTCCGGGCCGCAGCGTCACCGGTCGCCACGGACCGCGCACTGCTAGCCAGCGCGGCGAGCGATCAACCTTGCGATCCACCGAGCACGAGCACGAGCACCGCCGCAGTCATCACGCTTACAACATTCAATCCGGGCGCGGCAAGTACAGCCTCAACGTCGACATCGCTGCGGTGGGTAGATCTCGTTCCCGCGCCCGTCACCCTACAACCGACGACGATGACGACGGTGGTGCGAGAGGAGGTCACAGTTACTTTGATAGCGACAACTACGGCGACAGCTACGGTTATGGCTACCGCCACAGTCACGGAAACGGTAGCGGTCAGGTTGGGAGAGCTGGAGTTTCCGAAGTCGGGGTATGCGGGCACAGTTGTCATCACCATACCCGCTGTAGCGACTACAAAAGTGTTTGGCGGGGAGGGAACTGGAGGGGAGGGCCTGCGCACGGAAGGAACAGATATCTATGGCGACGGCGGGGACGTGGTCGGGTTCGTGCCGGCTGCACGGGGGTAGTGTACTATATAAAGGAATGGATGTGGGGGAGGTGGACAGTGTAAATTACGGATCCGGTGTATACGGACGCGGTGGAGATGGACAGTGTACGATAGATTATGGCTCCATCTGCTAGCCAAGTATCTAGCTACCTCTACAGTAGGCGCTCAGTGAACACGCAGCGAATCTCCCCCATCTCCAACGTGAATGTGTCGATAGTTTTTGCGAACGCGGCGTCCCTGTCACCGACGAGGGATATGTCAAAGCGTCGAGCTACCGCTGCGCCAACGCTGTGGAGCTCCGCCAGTGCTAGCGGTCGGCCGACGCATTGGTAGCGGCCTATCCAGAAGGGCTGGAAGACTGCCTTCATCTCCGCGAGTTTCTCCGGGGTGGAGATGAGCCACTTGAGGGGATGTCAGTGGTGGTGAGGGGGGGTGGAGGGTCAATCGGAGAAGGGGGACGAACTCGCTCGGGACAAAACTCCTCCGGATTATCGAACCATCGCTCATCCCGCATCGCCACCCACAGTGGGAAGTACACATTGACCCCGCCCGGAAGGAAGGTTCCATCGTCGAGGGTGACTCCTTCCGGCGGGATGTAACGTGACACACCACTCGGGACAGCGGTGTTGAGGCGAAGCGCCTCGTTGATGCATGCCGACAGGTATGGCGATTCGGTGCTGTCGGCGGGGAGGGAGTCGAGTTCGGCTTGGAGCTTGGAGAGTGTCTCGGGGGAGGAGCCGAGGTATGTGAACAGCGCGATGAGGGTGGCGGCGGTAGTGTCGCTTGGTTCCGTCAGCATGCAATCGGAGCGAGAGGGAGAGAAATACTACCTCCCAGCGACAATAGCGGTCCTCGAATCGCCTCTCAACGGGACGTGGTGGGGACCTATGTTCTTTGGTTCCGCCTCCAACAACACCTCAAAGAGATCACTACCCATCTCCCCCATGCCCCTCCTCTTCCTATCGTCGACGCGCTCCTTACACCATTCCAAGAACTTCATATGCTCCTTCCCTGCGGCGCCCAACATCTCCATGAGCAGCAGCAGCCACGGCGTATGTCCCAGCAGCGCGATGCTCCTCATGCTCGCGTGCGTCATTCGCAGAAAGTAATCGCTTCCGTCCCTGCCGCCTTTCTCCAGCATACCAAAGTCTCTACCGAAGGTAAACGCGCCCATCACGTCAAAAGTGTAGTAACTAAACCACGCAGTAATATCCTTCTCCCTCTCCCCCTCCGCCAGTTTCTCAAGCAGCATATCCGTATAGTGCTTCACTCGCGGCGCATACGCCTTCACCGCGTCCGGCGTGAACGCCTTATCCCATACCCTCCGCCGCACCGAGTGCGTCTCCCGATCCTTCACTAGCTGTATCGACGAGTTTCGGTTGCCGTTGTTGTACCACGAGCCTTTCGCGGCCTTGCCGAGGACCGGGAGGAGCTCCGGACGCAGAACGATCAGCTCGTTTGGGCCGCTGCGAACGATGTCGCCGTACTGGGCGTGCCACCGTTGCTGTACGCGGAAGTATTGTCCCCGTGCTTGCGTGTAGGCGTGAATGTAGTAGAGTTTTGAGAGGCGGGTGGGGCTGGGCCCGGGGAAGCGCGAGACTGGGAGAGGTTAGGAGGTGTGTGTATGCACTGGGGCGAGCGGGAGGTATCATACGTGGGTGAAAGTAGAGACGGTAGACAAAGATGCTCGCCGCCATTGCGGAGAGGAACGATGTCGTTGCGAGGGTAACGGTGGAGACTGTGTGCGACAACCCGGCAGCGGTCGATAGGTAGAGGAGAGCAGCGAGCATGGATGGAGTGCCTAACAGCACCAGGAAGTAGGTCCACACATGGGCGTCCCGCTCGCCGTGGATGAAGTAGGCGTGATGCGATATCAGTCCGAGCACGGCTGCCCCGAGGCAGAGCTGCGATGCTGGCAGCTCGGACACGAAGGACCCGAGAGTGTGCAAGGCGGCAGTGAACGACATTGGATCCAGAATGCCGTATTTTTCTTTCGCGGGTACATGTCCCTCCTTATATTTACACACAACATACACAGCAGGCGTTCGCTTGTCGGATGGACGAGCACGTTCCGATCGTCTTACTGTACACACGGTAATAGTTCATCTCGTACATATCATCCACAACCAACCTAAATTCTCGCCGGGGATAACCTCCGGGTCCTCTGTTCTTGTATGTGCTGTACACAGTACTCCGCTCCAGTGACGGCTGGGACGGTGACATTGAGAGCTATATAGTAACCATGTCGATAACTCCGCAACCCTGTCCCACTGCCGCTTCCCGTATTATACTATAGTAGTATTATTTGCGTAGAGTTATCACACAGGCCCTGCACAACTCCCTTATCCGACGTTAGAGTTCGAACCCCGGGTGCACAGATATCCCCCAAACGGGAATTGTGTGGGTGAACACGAATCCTACGGGCCTATATTAGTAGTTGCGGGGTGATCGCAGATTCTGATGACGTGAGATGTCTGTTTCTTGACATTGCCGGTATCATAGGCCGTAAGCACTCAATGTATCTACCGCGGCTGACTGGGTGCGGTCAAGAGTTGTACCGACGCAATACAGTGCAGAACGGCGGGATCCACTGATCAGCAGCACGCACCACCAACCCGGGAAAACTAGGGAGCTACTGCGTCTTCTCTCCAAGATTCTACCTTATCGATCGATATGGATAACTCGGCAGTGCGCCGGCATGGTTAGGAACGGTGGTCTCCAGACACAGGTCATCACTCGAGGCGCACATTTGCCGGCCGGTTCACAGGAGGCGGCAGTTTGATCGACTTGTACCATGATGATGAAATAGAAAGAGATAAAAGGCAGTTTTATCGGTGTGGTTACACGCAATGGAATAGATGACCGCCCCCCCCCACCCTCGCCCTCCCACCTCCCCGCACCCGGCAGTTCGATCGGTCTCCCCTAGAAGGTAGACTCCGTAGAGAGAAAAGTCCGAAATCCACCTTGCCCTCCCGTTTCCGTTCTCGCCACCGACATCAAATACCATCCACGGTACGGGTGGTGGTGAGCAACGTCGGCATTCCCCCCGGCGGCCCAGTCGGGAATCCGCCAGGCGGAAACGTCATCCCCGACGGCGGCCCGGACGACCCGCTCCCCCACATGTTGCTGATGTTGTAGCTTGCCTTGAGATTTATCCCGACGGAGATGGACGCGAGAATCCCGTCCTCCATCTCGTCGCCTAGCATCTGGATCTCGCTCACGGCGTTGTACCCCGTGTTCTCCTGATGGTAGATGAAGTCGTCGTCGTTGCGCACGCGCTCCTTCAGCTTGTTCTTGGTGTATGGCAGGCGCTGGTCGATCTGCGTAAGGAGCGATTCGGGGAAGAACAGTTGGCCTGGATTCGAGCTGTGAGCACAGCACGAGGGAATGCCGAGAAGGAGAAGGTAAGTAGGTACGTACCGATATGCGTGACATGGCCGCCTTGGTAGATCCTCTTCTTGCGGTCCACTTTTCCGCCGATGTGGACTCCCATCTGGAAAACGACGGTTAGCGAGGGGTTATCATGATGAATTGGCACCGAGGATGACTTGCGTGGATGTGCGTCGCCCGCATGTCGTACCACCCCGGAAAGCTGGTGATCATGTGCATAATTCCGCGGCGATCCGTGGGCTGCAGGCCACGGTTGAAGTGCTCTCCCTGCCAGAAACCAGAAGACATCAGTTCGTGTTCTCGTGGATATCAAAGAGCGTAGTATGCTGTCATAACATACCGTAGTCTTCTCGCTCGCAAAGCCCGAGTACAACCCGGTAGTCTATTTCTCTGTTAGCCGGCATTGGATCGCCGAGTTGACCGCATGTACCCACATTGCAATGCCACAGATCGATCATCGCGTTGGTGACGGGCTCACAGGTATCGAAATCGACGAACTGCAGATCTAGCAGCAGCGGCACACCGCGCTCACCCTCTCCCTTACGTATATCCTTCCTGATCAACTCCTCCTTAACATCTATTCCCATCAGCCACCACCTTCCCCGGCTCGCAGAAGCGCACTCACAATATGGCCCAACCATGACCTCCGGGGTGAGCACGCAGGCTCCGGTATTATTCCCAGGGGGCGTCACCGGCGGCATCGGGATCCACTGGCGCTTCTCGACACGCCGCTTCTCGAGGTGGGACTCCACCAGCTCTGCGCGGCGAGCCACCCGGTGCGCGATCACGTCGCGGCTCTGGAGCTTGCCGGAGCACTTTGCGAACGCTGCGCGCGCTTGGTGCAGGTGCGCCGAGCGAACCGCAATACCCGAGGCTAAGGTGTCGTGCGCAAAAACGGACGGGACAGAGAGCAAAGTGGCAAGGAATAACGCGATCAGAGTGAGTGGGACCATCGTAATGGGAATGTGCAAGAGGGTAATGACTGGATGGATGGTGGAGGTAGCTGGGCTGCTGGATCGATCTGTTCATTCATACTTGCGCGGAGAAGAGGGGGGTTTTAAACCCTCCGCTATTCCCGAGTACGATCACTTTCAGAGGAGCCATCCAAATCGCTGTACTCTACTACGGGCTGGCAGGTCGTCCGGAGCGCCGTCTCGTATTCCGCGGTTGAGGCTGAGGATGTGGTCGAAAGTAAATATCCTACATACTCGTCGGCCATAGTGTATAGCGGTGGACGATAAGGACGACCACGAATAACCACCGCCGGATCATGTATGCATTCGGAGATGCCGGTTGTGAGGCAAGCGATTGGGTAGAGAAGTCCTCTATTCACTCCCAAAGTCCTCAGGAACATACATACCAGAGCACTACCGGCCAGAATCACTGGAGGTACTATAATAACGGCGGGACACCGGACCGTCGCCGCGGTCGAAGACTCGAAGCAAACTTCGGTGGTGGTGGTGGTGGTGGTAGTGGTGGCGACGGCTCGGCCAACCCCCGGCCCCACGGACCCCCGGTATCTATATCCCGCGTAAAGGCTGCCGACCCGATGGCTCCACTTCCGACCACCGGCAACAGGATCTGCAGGCCGAGGCACGTCGCCGAGAACTGTGCATAAGTGGTTACTGATTTTAGTCTCCGAACGCGTTGATTAACGTCAACCAAGCTTCCGGCTTGTAGTTAGACTAAGGGATGTCGCGTAATCTTGGACAAGGAGTCAGGGACTGGGCGTCCATATACGGTATTTGGCACTAACAGCCTACTAGTTACTGACGAGTCGCTACGGTACCTAGTTTGCCCCGCATTGTTTGGTTGTTTAACTACCTGCCCAGATACTATGTAATCACCCAGCGAAGTAGAGTCTAGATGAGCTACCTGGTAGATGTTTTAAATAAACTACCCCATGTGTACATTTATATAGAAGAATATGGATCATTTGTGCCCTCGACATAGCATCCACGCATGAGCGATTGGTTTCGAAAACAGTCTCGCCGCAGGAGTCGACTTCCACTCCCCGGAGGCGTTGTGCTATGTAATACCCGCACGAGAAACGAGACGAAAGATCAAAATGTAAAGCGCCAGTAGTTTTTATTATCCCCCCTTCACTCTTTTCTTCCTCACTGCTGTCACTAGACTGATAGAGCTCTGGCGGTAAGGAAGCAAGTGCAATCTCTTCTAGATGGCGACCGATGTGACTTTGTAGAGACGCTCGGGTTTCCCTCACTTTCTCTGTGCAGAGGGGACAGACAGTCTGCTGATGCGACGGAGGTGCTTTGGCGTTTCGGCACTTGCTACTCATGCCTTTGAGATCCAGTGTTCCCACGGTGTGCTGGACGCGCAGATGTGAATGAAAAGCGGTCTCTTGATCGAATGTTTGGCCACATCCCTTGATGCATACCTACTCGGCGACAAAGCGGTGGCAGCTGAATTTGTGAGCCAGCCACTCTTTGCGGGTGCCGTACGACTGCTTGGCGGCACTATAGTTGGTGAATGAGCAGCTATACGGTCGAATATCCCGTATTATGTGTTTTCTAGTCGTCGTGAGCATATAGTCTGAATCGCCGCCCAAAATAGTGACTTGCCTCCACTTGAGCTTAGAATCGATTCCCTCCAGCATTTGATAGCAGACTTTGCACCTAAATTTCTCTGTGTCTAGTCCAAGCTTGACCGGTGGTGGGGGATATCGTGCCCTCCCAACTTCTTCAGCATTTGTCGTGGCGCCAAACGACGACGAGCTGAGGACGGATTTTGCATACGGAGCGGGGTTCCTAAACGACATGGTTTCATAGCCACTGTCAACAGCGGTAGGTGGCTGTATGATGCTTTCATCGTGATGGTCAATCTGTTTGATTTGTTGCTGGCTAACCTCCCAGCGATCTCTCATGTCGCGGATCGATTTGTGCCTGAACCAGTTGACTTCCGCAAGATGCTTCACCAAGCCTTCACTAGTATCGGGAAATTTGTCTCGCACATTCCCAAGTACAGGGAATATTCATCCGATACTCCTTCATCACACGCTGCGCGGTATCCGTTGTCGCCCTGTGTACCAGGGAATCGACAAACTCTTCAGCACGATCTCCGAAGTGAGGAATTATCATGCACAGCTCAGACAACTGGTTTGAAATTCTCACCCAGAAGACCAAGCTCAGCAACGAATATGTGCTTCTCTTCGGCAAAGACAGCGGGTTCGACCGCGAGGAGATCAAAGCTATGCCGAAGAGCTGCGATCATCCCAACTGGAAGGACCGGGATTTCCAGTAAAAGTTCGCGGAGCATCTCGGGAAGGCTTTTGAACAGGACGATCTCACTACAACATTTCAGTGCAGCCTCGCACTATTCGAACTCATTTGATCGACGGTGGAAGAGCTGGAAAAGGAGCTACGCAGGTTCACGTCAGCGGTTCCGGAGCAGGTATGTACATACCGATCCCGCCTTCTCAATTGTGACTTCCCACTATGTAGTATTGACCGTGACATAGTGCAACGTCGTGCCAATGGCGAAACCATCGACAAAACCATCCATCAGTGCCACCTGTAAGACGAAGGCATCTCACGTCGCCACGGGATTCGCTTGGTCGATGATCAAACCAAAACTCCAAGATCTCCAGCGCCAGCTTAGGGATCGGATCAACAACCTTATTCAATTGCGGGAGCAAAGGGACAAGCTCAATAAATTCCGAGTTCCGAAACCGCGAAGCAATTCCACGGCCAATATAAAAGAGGAGACCCCGCTCTCTACCATCCTGGAAGTCCGAGCCTCCTCGAGACGACTCTATCAGGCTGTCAGTGCCCTCCAGAACTGACCTTGTCATTCCATCGTTCTTCAACTGCCCCACACCGCTTCGCCTGGTCCCAGCAGTAAAACTGCCACGATTTCCGAGTTAGGATCTTTCAGTACAAGGTTTAATCTGCTCGTCGCACCACTGGTGGACAAAACATCATATACATGTATAATGGTGCTCCCCGAAAGGACTCTCTCGGCGGCCAACCTGTCGGCGACGACGACTACTCCCGCGTCATCCGCTCAGCAATCAAGACCAAGCGCCATGAAGCGAACACTCGAGTTTGACGTCCATCAGCAGACGATTACTACCGCACCGTCCACTCGGCAGCCAGAACCAAGCGCCATAAAGCGAACTCTCGACTCGGAGTCCGTCAGCTGACTCGGGAGACAGTGCGTGTCCGGTTTGAACCCCGGATCAGGTGATGGTGGATGCACACAGCATCATCACATCCGCTCACACCACCGTCGATAATTCACAGCCATCAAAACAGGTGATGTATGGGATCTTGCAATCATGGTGCTCTTTAACATCTATCAAGCTGCGAATCAACTGCACACTCCCAAATCCAGCGATGTCATACCTCGGAATTCTCCCCTACGTCGACAGCCACCGCCATGTCCTCCAGCAGGCCGATGAGCTGCCTTCAGGTTCCCGCATGCCGCTTCGCGAAGTGATCGCATTGGCGAATTCGTCGCCGCGGAAGAAGGTCTTTTCCTGGCCCGACAAGCGGCGATACGAACTCGCCTACCTCCTCGCCTTCTGTCTTCTCCACTGTTCGGACTGCTGGTTCAAGCCCGGCTGGCGAAGCGGGGACATCAACTTCCTCATCCCAACGAACCAACAGATCGGCGACGAAACCATGAAATTCCCCTATGTCGCCTCGCCACGACTGAGCCCTCCCACCCAACCGGGCACCGAACTAGTCAAAAACGAACACTTCTCCTCGCTCGCCATCGCCCTGATCGAGATAGGCTACGGCGACAGCTTGCACAATCTGTGCACGAAACTCGGGCAGGCCTCGCAGCCAGACGTGTATCTCAAGGAGTTCCTCGGTGCGAAGCGGCTGGCCAACGAGATCAAGTGGGAGATGGGCACGCGATATGCGCGCGTTGTGCTGCGATGTCTGGAACGCAATTTTGGTCTCGACGATGATGACCTCGAGAATAGGGAAATGCAGGAGGACTTTTACAGGCAAGTCATTTGCGAATTGCGGGAGTGCTTGCTGTTATTTCGGTAGCAATTGTACCGGTAGTGGACTCTGGAGGGGCGGGTGGATTACATGATGGCGATGGAGCTTTGCACGGACATGTGATGGTAATGCTTTCGAGTTCCACGATTGAAGATAAGAAGATGTATGTTATTACCTAGGGAGAGTAGTGTGCTCGCTGATAGTGAAGCCAAATATTGCATCTGCGGGTTCCCTCCAAACATGAGTAAAAGGCGGCGCTTCTTGATGCGCGGCTGTGCCCATTCTTGCGCGCGATAATTCAAACAATTCAGCATGCTGAAACTCATAGCACATCACGGAAAGCTTTCGGTCAATTCCCCTTCCCTATTAAACAAGCTTTTAACGATCTTTCCAAAATCTGTATTCTAAACCACCAATCTATCGCTACACAAGATTCCCTCGCACCCCGGCCGTCACCCCCCTTTTCAGCACAACACTCTTGGCCTCTGTCCACACGGTGTAGGAACAATCTTCACCCCCTCCAACACAGCCCCAGGCTCATCCAGACTCCCGGCAGCAATCAGCACGCTCGCTTCACCCTCCCGCCTGATGAGCACCGACGCACCACACCACGTACAAAACCCTCTTGCAGTCCCAACTGCATCGATGCGTTCCTTATACGTTGTACCACCATAGCTCGGCGGCTGCTCCTCGGCGGAGTCCAGGTGCTGTTCCCGCGTCGCCCAGATTATGCTCGCTGGCGGGACGGAAACGTAGGTTGCTTGCAGGCCGGCGGAGAATTTGCGGCAGTTGGTACAGGAACTGTCGGCGTGTCGGTTATCGAGAGTCTCACCGGTAGAGTTGAAGGAAGAGGCATGTGTACATACCAGTGTATCGCGGTCACCGTGTTCTGCCCACCGGTGCTGGTGACGATTTCGATGCGGTAGCGCAGGTGCGTGCACAGACATCCGCCGTAGAAGACCATGTGTGTTGCTGCCGGATCCAAACTCATCATATCTTAGCTGTGTTCTGCGAACTCTGCTGTTCGCTCGCCCGCCACGAACCGGATTATAAGGAGCCTTCGTGGTATCTAGAGCGGCGAGCTAGTTGTAGTAGCTATGACTCACGCATATGCTGTCACTCACTCACATCACCTCCACGCTAGCGCGCCGAAACTCCGAAACCATGCATCGCTGCTCCCAATCACCAGATTCGGCTGAGCACTTCATTTGGCGGGGAACCGAGGGTGACCTGTCCGGCTACGTATTTGAATATATCGGCTCAGCACCGACTGGATACGCAAGTTGCAGGCTGCATGGAAGCCTTCTCTGCATATACGCATTGCGCACTTCAGTGCGGACGGCATAGGTGCTGTCATCGTATCCCACGAATATACTCCGATTGGGTGATGGATGTCGATTCTCGTATCGAAATACCTGCACCGGCGGTGACATCCTGCGCAGTGCTCACCCACCCCCACTCGGGAGGCCGGGATGACTGGCATTGTCGTTCGGTACAATGTGTCCTCCGCGACGTGCTGGATTTACAAATGGGCATTGGGCAGTGGAAGCGCTTGGAAGCTATGACGGAGTGAGGTAATCGTCTACTCGTAGATACGCGGCGATTGGTACATACTCTATCACAGTACAAGCTATTGCGAGCCTACCTAGTCCGTATCAGTGAGTCACATACGGGATCACACGAGATCACTCGGCTGCCGATCTCTAACGCGCGGTGTGACGTCCCCCCAGTGGTACCTATCCGGCGATGCTTCTGCCATCTACTATACGCCAATTCTCAATCGGTAATCTCATGTCGTTGGTATCTCCAACGGATCGACTGGGACAGCAGACCTTGAATGACACGACGCATCGCCCATATAGGTAGTACACGCAGTAGCAGTTGGTGCTAATCCTCAGTGCTTAATGCTTCTCCATAAACGTGGAGCATTCTTGCCTAATCGGTTGGTTTTCGTTTGTTTCTCTATACGTTCGCGAAGCTGGCGATAAAGAGTACCTACCGGTATTCCATCAGGACACTATATGACTCATGAGATATGGCTCGTTGCGTGAACTTGAGGAATCGCTTTCCGCTCAACAGTTCACCGAAAGCCAAGAAACAATAATATAGGACCGTAGGCACTCAAATTCCAGTCCAAAATTCCAATCTACTAGTTACTGCTGCAACTTCTACAAAAGCCCTGTCGGGTATCGAATCAAATCAAACGCTCCATAAGCCATCTACAAGCCATCTATATCCGCTCCATAACCACTTAAACGACCCAGCTCCTGATCATCTCCGCCCAGCCCACCTTCTCCTCCTCCTCCCTCCTGGCCTCAAGCACGACTCCCACCATCGCGCCAACCGGCAGTCCCGCCGCATGGACGAGCCTCATCGACTGGCTACCGCACTCCCACTTCCACCGTACCGCAGCGACGGCATCGCCCTCCAAAAAGTCCCACTTGAGCAGGACCTCCTCGGCCCTAACGCCCTTGTCCTTAGTGCGGACCCAGAACTTGGCGAGCACCTTGCGGCCCCAGAAGTGGTAGGCGGGGATGAAGATGTCGGTGGTCCTCTCGTCCACCGATCCCGCGGCGCGCAGGACGCGGTACTCCAGTTCGAAGCGGCAGATTTCGAGCGAGAACTCGGACTTTACGATTGCGCCGGCGGTGGCGAAGGGGTACGGGCGGAGGAACGCGGGGGCGCAGCGGAGCCCGCGGTATAGATCGCCGAAGTGCGCGGCGCGCTGCAGCGGGATGCCGCGGTCGTGCGGACGGATGCCCGTGTCGGTGTAGTTTTGTAGGGGTAGCTCGGTGGTGCTCGGGTCCGACGAGACGATAGAGAAGTCCTCCGAGTTCCACGCGTCGCCGCTCTGAAACGGGGACGAGGTCTCGTTGTGAACGGCTGACGGTGTGCCTAATGTGCTGTGCGACAGCGTCAGGTTCCAGAAGGTCCAGTTCAAAGCGCCCGATTGCTCCATTGCGTGCAGGATCGCGTCGGTCATGGTCAGTTGGTGGTGGATGTCGCCGGTGTTGTAGGCGGATTGCATGTTCATGTCCCAGGGGACACCGGTCTCGCCGATCAGGATCGGCGTGGGAGTGCCGGTGCCCGCGCGAAACGTGTCGAGATGATTCCAGAAGCGGCGGAAGTTGGCCGCATAGTTCTTGGTCAGGCCCGGTCGTCCAAAGTACGAGTGCGCCAACATGTTCCGAGAGCCATTGGCGAGGGAGAGGACGTCGAACGAGACGGTGTACGAGAGTCCCTTCTCGTATAGCGCGCGGATGTCGTACCAATGCGGAGAGTAGCAGATGAAGTCGTCCTCGCCTTTGATTGCCGGGGATCGCGGAGATGTCCACGTCGGCGGACCGAGATTGGGCACGGGTTCCACAAACAGCCATGTCCCGGCCTTTCCTCCGACGACAGCATCGATGACGGCACGGTGGAACGAACGGATGAACGGAACGTAGAAGTCACTCTCGAAATCGACCGCAGCGCCGGTGGTGGGATGGTTCAGGAAGTACGAGAGGCCCTTAGGACCCAACTCTGCGTTTCCAGACGGCGAGATGGTGAACACGCGTTCATCCTGCCAGATATCCGATGCTCCGGGGAGCCATGCGGTAATACTGTCTTGGTTCAGGATATCGTTGCGGGTGATCTTGGAAGGGTGTGGCCAGCTGCGAGAGAAGTACGGGACGCTGGTGGGCACACCCGCGGCCAGCGTCATCGAGCTCAGAGCATTCGGCATGTACCCCAAGTGCAGATCCGTGGTCTCGTTGAAGTAGTGCAACGACGGAAGACCGATATACCCGGGATGCGGCTCATTCATCGGATCCACGCCGAGAACGTTGGGGAAATCCTTCAACTCCTCCATCAGGCGTGCGTACGCACGGATATACGAAGTACGCAAGACGTATCCAATGTTTTTCCCGAAGAACTCCGCATTCGACCCGGAGTACAGTGCTTTCGGCGCAAACACCTCGCCGGCAAAGAACAGCGTGAACATGGTGGCGACCGCGAACTTGGAGTAGTTTGTCGGCCACAGCCTTCCGGAGGGCGTCGACAGCTTGCTACTTTCCTTCGGCGTATCGAGGGCGGCAGCACATATATGCGAGAACTTGGTCGGGTCGAGTCCGGCGAGATGAAACGTCCACAGCGGCGCACCGGAACCACCCGTGAACCGCGACCACTAGCCACCACGCCGTCAGTCGCCATCCCCTCGACACTGGGGAGCCCAGGGTGCACACGCATACACACCACATCCTGATGCCCATCTATAAACACGCGCAATCCCGCCTCATCCGCCTTTCGCACAAGCATACGGAGGTAGACCAGATACTCATCGTCGTAAACGCCCATTTCCCTTGGCTCGAGAGCCTCCCAGCAGACGACGAGCCTCACGACGCCGATGCCCCAGCTGCGCAGGCGAGCCCACCATTGCCCCGCCTCTTGCTCGCCGACAAACGGCTTGCCCGTGTACGAAACATTGCTCACGTCGTAGAACTCAGGGGTTCCCGCCAGCGCGTTGGAAACGGGGTACTTCGCGTCGCCGGAAACGTTGAGCCCGCGCAGGAGCAGCGTGCGCCCGTGCGCGTCGCTGAAGGCATTGAGGGTTGAGTGCGGTAAGACGGTGTCGAACGTAACGCGCGACGATATCGACGACGAGGTGGAGGTCATCCTGACGTGCTTGCTGTACTGGTGCTCAAGGTAACTTTGACGGTGAGGACAGCTTGGAGCTTTGGAAGGAGCCGCAACGGAACTTGCCGCCGGATGGGACCTGCCGAGTTCCGAGATGACTAGGTCGCATGGGAGCAAACACAAACAGATTCCAGAATGAGACCACCCTCTATAAACCCTCGCTTGCGATCAACAAGAGCACTTGAAATTATCCATAGTGAATTATAAGCTTAACACGACATTACTCCCGACTCCATGCTCCATCCACTGTCAGTGAACCCACACCAGTGATCCGAGTGATACGGAGCACGCTCACGAAATAGTATGCGGGAAAATTCAACAGGTAGGTAGCTGGAGAGTACCGCAGGCTTTGCACGCGTACCCGATATTGTCGCTGAGTACAAGTTGACCACAGGGTACCCGCCTATGCCCAGACGTCCATTGTGTTCCAACGGCAAAAGTGCCAGTATGGCTTGGTGAAAGGCTGGTATGCATACTCTAAGCGAGTACTGTACCACCTATATATTTTACTTGCAATGCTTTTTGTGCCTCTCAATTCTCAATCTCGCTGGTGCAGGCATGCAGTTGGATCGATGTTCCAACGGTGCAACCAATACCGGTATCTACATGTTTATCTCTCGCGGATCTCATCACCAACAACTATTGCCGTCGCTTATTGGAAAGACCAGAGTGTTAGAGTGTTACGGGCTCAATTATTATTAATGATTAAGTAACTATCCACGGCCGCGTACCTACCAAAAATTCCCCATCCAAGCATACATACACATTAACGATTACCCCCTCCCTACCCAGAGTACCCCCAGTACTTCCTCAACTTCCTCAGCACAACCCTAAGCCTGGTACGATCCACTCTAAGGGTATACCCATCATCCGGCTCAGCACCGGCCAAATCCTCCGGATCACCATCCTCATCGCTACTCATCCCCTCATCGCGATCAACAAACAGGGGTCCCAGATCGATCTTTGGCGGCAGGATCTCCGTGCACCGCGTGAGCCGACTGCGGTCCACGCCGAGAAGACTCATCTGCTCGTGGGCGACGGCGTAGTCCTCGTCCCAGTCGTCTTGGTCGTCGACGAAGCGCTCGAAATCGCGACGCGTCACCGGGTGGTGCGCGAATGCTACGTCGGAGGCGAACTTGAATACCCCGTCGGGCGTCGTGTCGTTGAGGGTTTCGCCGTAGAACTACGGCGGGGGGTTAGTATGTGGTTGGTGGGGTGGGAAGGGCGGGGGGGAAGTACCTTGACGTCCCAGATATCGGGCGTAGAGTCCTGCGAGAAGCCCGCTTGCGAGGGGTCGACAAAGCGCTGGGTGGCGGTCGAGTGAGCGCCAATGAGCGCCATGAGGTGGCGCACGCTGATGCCCATGTCAGCGAAGCGCGCGACCATCTTCTCGACGGAGTCGTTGACGTCCGGGAGCAGGCCCGTGGGGTTCTTGTTGCGCGCGTCGCGGCGGCCGACGTACGTCTCGATCGGTGGGCCGCCGGGACAGATGATCACACCGAGGATGCCGGAGACCTATTCACCCAGGAGTCAGCAGGTGCACAGGCTGCATGGGATGGGATGGGATGGGATTGGGGGGGGGGGGGGGGGGGGGGGAACTCACGTGGAGGATATCCGCGTTCGACACGCCGAACTGACTCGCGAGCGGCCTTAGCTGCGCAACGATGTCCTGCAGGCCGGCGTTGTCGGGCCGATCGATCTCGTCGGGATCGACGAGCATGGAGCCGTCGGCGCCGCCATTGCGCCTGCCTTGTCGCTTGAGCTTCAGCGAGAACGTGCCGGCATCGTGGAATGCGAGCCTGACTGCTGCACGCGCGCTGTCGCCACACTCGCCTGGAAGGAAAAAGCAAAAAATCAGTCGTGCCCTGGCCAACCAACCAACCAATCATACCACAGCAGGTCTGCATGTGCATATGCATGGAAAAAGGGGAAAGGGAAAGGATGGTAACGTACCGTGAAAGACCTCCCTGAGTATATGATCACGAATGCCGTACCACTTCTTGCACACCCTGTTCTGCACGCGGTCGCCCCTATTGATGCCCTTCCCGCTATTTGTATCTGGAAAGTGGAGATCCCGTCTGACAGTGACGGCCCTTTTGGCCTTGTGGTGGTTGCCATCGTTCGGAGCGCGGCCGTTTACGTACTCGCCCGTCTGGCCCGGACATGCGCTGACGATCTGGACGAGCAGCAGGCTGAGCACCAGGACCGAGATGGTCCATCGTAGTGTGGAAAACATTATGAGGTCGTAAATGTGAGGGGTGTGTGTCGATAAACAAACAAACAAACGACCGATTGACCGATGGACCGATGGACCGAATGACCGATGGGGAGAAGCGACTGAATGCTAGCCGGCCAGTAAGTCCTGTGGGTGCGTCCTGTGTATGGAGTGGCGGGGGAGATCATGGACGGCCGTGTGTGCATCTTATATACCACATCCCCTCTCCCTCTCACCGCGCGGTTGTCACTTGGGGCTGGGGGAGATGATCTAACCCAGGTGCTCTAGTCTCTCCATAGGTGTGTGTACTCCATCTGTGTATGTGGGGGAGAGGGGGTGGAATAACTTTCAGCCTTGGAGAGAGACGTTTTTGGCTCTTTTTCCAGCATCAACCAAGTTCCAACAGGAGTCAGGACCGGGCACCGGTGGCTTGCTTGCTTGCTTGCTTGCTTGCTTGCTTGCTTGCTTGCTTGCTTGCTTGCTTGCTTGCTTGCTGGATCTATCTGCTGTATCTATCTAGAGTGACTAGAGTGACTAGAGTAGCTAACGGGGTTGACTCTGGAGTCTGCTCACTGCTCACTCAACGCAACGCTAACTAAGGGTGAAAAATAGATGGCGAGAAGCCCGGCACTCAATGAATGAATCTACAGGGGGATATAGTTAGTTAGTTTAGTTACTCTAGTCCCCCGATCGGGGACCGGTCGACGTTGGCCCCCCTAGATGCGGGAGGGGCTGGCCCTGCCTGCGGGATTTCGATTCAGCTGTGGATTCTAGCAGTAGTCAGTGGTGGTAGTGGTAGTAGTAGTAGTAGTAGTAGTAACCCGCCTCCAGCGACTGGTCGAAACATGCGAGCCTAAACCGTACTATAGTTACACGCTCGGTTCGAATACCGTATTGCCATCCATCCGTCCATCGATCCATCCATCGCGACACGATAACGGCGAAGAAAGCAGGTGCCATCCGCTGGCTGGCTGGTTGGCGAACGTGCCCACCTCCCTCCCTTCCCCCCTCACTCCCGACTGACGGAGTCCATGTGATGTCGCGGTGGTGCACCGCAGCGCCATGCCATGCCATGCCATCGTGCCATGCCCACATAGTCATCGGGCCGACGCTGCGCGCACTGCAGGGACGGACGAAGGGTACCGGATGTACATCACCGCCGAGCGGCTGGCAAGGCCAGCGGGAAAGACAACTGTAGAGTCTACATAGATACATAACATCGACAGTTCCCGCGCGTTAAAGAATACTAGCACAGAGAAAGATGAGCGACAATGGATCTTCAGGCGGCCGCCGCTTAGCTTCTTCTTTTAAGTACTCTAGATATCCAGGTATCCAAGTATCTACTGGCGACTAGGAACATGCTAGTTGCAAGATCGCCGGCACCCATGGTAGAGTACGAGGGTGGCTTATTTTCGTGTTGTTCTCCGTGATTTCGAGCCAGCCGAAACGGGCCATAGGGGGGGACGGGGGGGGGGAGGCGGGGGGCTTGGACATTGCACACTTGCAGACTTGCGACTTGCAGAAGTCGTTGCAGTCAGCATCATCATGCGCACGAGCGTAGAATTCCGTCGTGGCTGCAGCTGCCAAAACCGCACTCTCTGGTATGCATCTACCTATGTAGAAGAGCACACTAGTAATGTGCTCATGAGAAGTTTGCATTCGGGCTTTCCTCTCCACTGGCGACGGTTTTGTGTACATAAGTCAGTAAGTAGAGTACATACGGCTTGACGGTGGCGGCGGTGGCGGCGGCGGTGGGCGGCGGACGGATATCTTCACCGCTGCGCTGGCATCGGGATGTCGCTTTTCCGTCTCCCTCTGTCTCGCTCTTCTCCATGGTGGTGTTCTCTCCGGAGCGTGAACACAGGATCAAAGGGTGTGGGATCTCACTCCCCTGATTCACTTGCTTCACCTGCTTCACGTGCTTCACCTGCTTCACCTGCTTCACCTGCTTCACGTGCTTCACGTGCTTCACTTGCTTCACTTGCTTCACTTGCTTCACTTGCTTCACTTGCTTCACTTGCTTCACTTGCTTCACTTGCTTCACTTGCTTCACTTGCTTCACTTGCTTCACTTGCTTCACTTGCTTCACTTGCTTCACTTGCTTCACTTGCTTCACCTGCTTCACTATCTTCACCTGCTTCACTATCTTCACCTGCTTCACTATCTTCACCTGCTTCACTTCACCTGCTTCACTATCGTCACCTGCTCCACTCACGCAGCAACACGCATGAGATGCAGTGTCTCGGTTCCTTCCTGGTGCATTGCCACCCTGGGTGCTTGGCTCCCCTATAATTGCCCGAAGTGGCAGCGAAAGTCGCAAATCCAGCACAGCCAGAAAAACGAGCAAAAGCAGAGTCGCAGGACTCCCGATACTCCCGATACGGCAGGGTTGCTGCCGGATACGGCGACAGGAATAGGTTCTATGCTATGCATATCACATCACCTCTCGCCTCTTGTGTGCGTTGCGTTGTGTTGCGACGGCACCTTCCGCCAGGGCCGTGGCCATGTCCAGGCCAGATGTAGAGTAGGCTGCCCATGCAGGTCCCGTGTCCCGTGCCTAATCCTGCTTCTGATCCTGCTTCTGCTTCCGATCTGCACTCGCTGCGCAAATCCCACAAATCCCACAAATCCCCAAAAACCCCACCGCCAAAAAAATCCCCAAAAACTCGAGCCCCCAGAAGTTCGCATCCCCCACACATCCGCCTAGGTGGCCCAGCCGCGCCGTCGTCGCTCGACGCTCGCTCTTTTCGTCCGCGCGCATGTTTGGAGGGGGAGTGCAATCTCTCTCGCCGCCTCTCTTTTGGGAAGGGAAGAAGGAACAGGAGAGGTTCCCGGATGGCACCCGGATGGGAACGGCAACGGCAACGGCAACGGCAACTGGGGCTGGGGCTTGGTGTTCGTTGGTGGTAGGTGAAGATGTAGGTACGGCAACCATCCACTGCGATTCCTTCCATCTATCTACAGGCTCTACTCGTATGCTCTATGTGTGACTGTGCAACGCGACCTGCGATGTCGCTGCTGTGGATCTGTGTATACATGCTAATAGTAGATATAGCACTCTACGGTGCTCGAGAGTCTAGAATCTATGTAGAATCGCGAGTCCATGACTCCATGATATGTATGTCGAGTACTCTAGGTGCTCTGACCAGTTACCATGTCCATGATACATACCACCCGTACACAGGCCAGTAACTAGGCGAGCGAAGCGGAACCTCAACCAGGTCAACTTTCCAGGTCCAGGATTGGCCGCTATTATTAGCCCCCTAGTTAGTTACCAGTAGTAGACTAGCAGTTAGCCCCCGGCCCTTAAGCCCTGCCCGTTCCCAGCGCGTTCCCAGCGCCAGCCCCGGGCCCCTGCGTGGATTGGATAGGATTGGATTGGATTGGATACGGAGAGCTTAACTTCGCGTAGCGTGCGCTGCTTTGGTTCTCGACCTTTTCTCTTCTCCTCTCTGGTCTTCACTTCCTTCTCTTCGCTTCAGGCGAAAGTCCCCAAGCCAAAGCCAAAGCCCACGCCCCCCGATTTAAAGCACCTGAACCTGCACCAGAACTGAACCTGCACCAGAACTGAACCTGCACCTGCCACCACTGCACTGGATCATGTCTACATATGTAAGAAGTGTGTACATGAACACCTAGGAAAACGTCGGAAGTGCAACCACCACCTCTCGTTACCACCAGCAGCGCCGCCACCGCGCTGCCCCGCCACGTAGAGTACATGGAGCATGACAGGCTCTTTTCTTTCATCTCGTGTCCGCCGCCGCCGCTGGTACGCTACGAAATCGAATGATTTGTGTATGTATGTAGGTAATCGAAACGTATGCGAAATGGTTTGCTGGCGATTGGTCGATTGCTCGATGGTCTGGTCGTGGGTCGTGGGTCGATGGTCTGGCCGTGGGTCGTGGGTCGTGGGCTGCGGTAAGCGTGCGCGATAGATACATATGATAGGGGGTGGGGGTCGGGGTCGGGGTCGGGGTCGGGGTCGGGGTGGGGGTCGGGGTCAGTGGGTGGGACGGTGGGAGCCTTATGCACGCCATGCAACCACCGGTTAGTTTTGCAAATTGATGTCGGTAACGACATCACTGCCTGGAGTACTTTGTATGCAGATGTGTGTGTACTCTATGTGCTCTGGACTCTGGAGAGAGGCCTAGAGGATGAAAGACCGGTGTAGATACAGGCAGGTGTAGAAGAGCGAGAAGGTGCAGCATTCTCTACACCACCTACCCACCTACCGACTCTACTATGGATCATCGCCTTACGAGCTTGTTAGGCTTGTGCATAAGGCTTGTGGCAAGACTCCCCGAGCTGAACGAGCTGAAGATCATGCAACTTGCAAGTCAACGTGCAATGTGCAAAGACACGTCGCTGGGAGGACCGCTAGTATCTAGTATACACAGACTAGTATACGCGAAGCTGAAGCCTGGGTGACTTGTGCTCTAAGTTGTCGCCGGATAAGAATCCACCGGCGTGCTTTGCGCCTATCTACACATCTGTCTATCGTGGTGCTCTAGGTGCTCGACAAGTCGCGCAGTAGTTGGTTTGCGCCTTAGATACTTGGCGGATTGACGTTTGTAGTCTGTTGTGCATACTCTCCACTAATCTAGAGCAGAGTGTGAAGGCTTTCCATGAAGAGGATCACGATTTACTGCGCGAGTAAGTCTGGGCAGTCAACAGTGGACAGTGGACAGCGGACAAGCGAGCGAAACGATGCCCGTTTTCATCGCTGGGACCATACAATCACTACTACTATTACTACAAGTTACTATGGTTGGTACCCACGAGTCGCGCGCACTCGTTCATCCAGTCAGTCGGTCAGCCAGTCATCCAGCCAGTAGGTCATCCAGTCAGTCGGTCAGCCAGTCATCCAGTAGGTCATCCAGCCAGTCAATCATCCGCCAGCCGGGTAGAGTATTATCCCATTACCCAGTGACCGGAAAACCCCCAGGCGGCCGCACGGGGTCTAGAATATTGGTCTATTGGGGCCGAGTGAGCCCGCGTGAGCTCGCGTGACGACCCGTGTCGCCCCCCCCCTCGCTCATCCCGGCTCCGGAGACCCGAGTGGGAAGGTTGATGCGCTCTATTCACCTCCTACATACCTCCTGCTGCCATTGAGTGCCGGTATGCAAGTCTCCAGAGTAGAGCAGAGTGCATACGCGGCCGCCGTGTCATCGCAATTTCGGTATCTCTGTACTCTCTGTAGAGCTGACCGTAGAGCTGCCCGTGGGGTTCATGAATTAGTGCGTGAATGGGTGCGTGCGGGACCTACATACTCTACATACCGTCCGCCTTCCCTTCAGGAGTAACGGAACCTAGAGTGCCCCAACTGTGTTCGGGACCATTGTTTTTCCGCCGTGAGGTCGTGGGGTCGTGGGCGGCAGGGAGATTTGGATGGGGGCGCTGTACTCTATGTAGAATACGGGGGGTGGTGATGTGGGCTGACCGTGGTCGGTGATGCCGGTGATGTCGGCTGCAGGTTCTTTCAGCCGCACCGTACTACCGTGTAACAGTACATACGTGTCACGGTGCGTGAGTGTGGAACTTGAAAGAATGGAATTTGGCGGAACGTGACGTGGGATGCGGATGTTGGTATTCTAGGTAGAGGAGACACGTAGGGAGGGAGGTAGGTAGGAAAATACTCTAGGGAGGAAGGAAGGGAGACATGAAGCGACGTTGAGCAGACTTGCGGACTTGCGACCCCGTCTCCTGTTGCGACTCGGCGACTCCGGGGTTCTGGGACTCAGCGTGGCAAATCGTGAGTTTATGTTGCCCTTCAGGCTTGGACTACTGTATACTACCCTCAATATATATACTCCAATAGACACCTCGATCCGGTCAAAAGATCGGCGAAGATCGGCAGCGCGAGTGATTCGTTGTGAATCGTGATACGTACCGTCGGTGACCACTGGCTGCAACCAGCATCAGCAGCAGCCTCGTGTGATGATTCGTAGCGCCAGTTCACCACGTCTGTACAGGTAGAGAGACAGCCCCACCGCCCGTTCCATCAAGCCCAACAAATTGACATCCGCAGACAGACAGAAAGACAGCCAGCCCACCGCCTCATTCCACCGCACACGGTACCATAGTCATCTATTAATCTCCACAAGTGCAATACCGTCACAAACCTAGCGGACCCATCAGCCGACCCGAGCCGACCCTTCAGCCCGCCATCAGCCCGTCCATCAGCCCGCCCACCATCACGGTACACAGTAAACGGTGTAACGAGCCAACGACCTCGCACTAACTATATACTACATATATAGACATTGTCGTATCCGGCGCCACCTGCCCCCCACTCCAATAAACCAAACAAACGGCGAAGAATTCCCCGCGCCAGCGGCCGAACCGAACCCGCCCGTCCCGTCCTGTACCGTCCAGTCCCATCCGCAGACTGGGAGCATCTCCATCGCACCCTCCATCGTGCTGGCCGCAGTGCAGGCAAAAAGGCAAGCAGTAGCGTGACGGCGCCATTCAACGTCCCTCAGGCCCAATCACCTGGCGATGGCATACCCACATGTGTACCGTACAGTGTTTTGATAGGTAGATGTTTACATGTGTAGCGGCATCGGTACACATCGCACCGCAAAGTTCGTGCGTGAAGCGTCTGCAGGTGGAGAGGCCGCTGTACGGTCATACGGTACGTTCCGGTGGCGTTTCAGCCGCTGCTGATGCTGCTGCTGCCGATGATGCTGCTGCGGATGCTACTGGTGCGATCTGCTGGTGCCATCTGCTGGCGAGGCTGATGCTGCGAGGTACTCTACTGCTGCGAGGTACAATACGTACTGCTGCGAGGTGTCACCCGGATTTGGGGCGGTGTCTCACCCCCACCAGGACCCCACCAATTGGCGGCGAGACTGCGGGATTGGGGTGGGATTGGTGCGGGATAGGTGCGGTGTTGTACCGGTTATTGGCTATACTGGCTATACGGCCTATATGCATACTATCTATACCACCTATTACGGTGAAATAGTAATGCGGTGGCGTCTCCCGCTCGACTGCGCAGTGAGCGCGATGGATCCGCTGTATGTATAGTAGAGTACCTGCGCCGGTGGGTCGTTACGCATGAATGCATGCACTGCCTACCCGACCAATAGCTGTGCACAAACAAACCGCTCCAACGCTCGATAGCCAGTCGTCCAACAGCTGCAGGGACTTTCGGGTTGAAAAACGCCACTTGGAGGTGGTGTTCTAACTATTACTGATTGTTACAGCATGTTATCACAGCGCATCACTCACTCCACGGAATCTCATCTGAAGATTCCTAGGATTTGCAGACGGGAACTCGGTCACGGAGGATAATGTCTCACGTCTACAGTTTTCTTTCGAAGTCGAGGGCTGAATGCGGCCCATGAAGTGACTGTTGGAGGTGAGCCCCTGCCGCGCCCTAGAGGGCTGCGAACCTACGGTGATGCGGCCGACCTGCTCGAGTGGACGTTTGTGGGAGGGGCTGAGGTAGAGTACGTAGATCTGCCGTCTCTGAGAGCGGTACGGAACTTACCCGAGTGCTTGCCCCCTCGCCGAGCTGATGCACTGGTACTCTACTTGAAGGCGAAGCGGAATCTGCCGAACACAATCGCCCAACAACTCATCGGTGTCCAGCCGAGCGTGTGATGCACGGGAATTCCCAGCCGAGAGTCGTCAATGCGGCAGTTGCCGCAAGACAGAGGACGGAGGACAGAACGCCCTCCTCTCTCGCCTACATACGCACACCCATATTCTGCAACGTAAGTCTTACACTGCAGGCTTCGGTTCGTGTGAGTGCTCGCCAGTGATGCAAATGATCGGAAGTACATTCCGTAGCCGGTTGGGGGCGCACCAGGTTGGGAACGGTCCGGCTGGCACATAGTAAAAGAGAGGAAATCAAGTCGTGAATGAGATCAAGTCGTGAGTGAGATCTTGGAAATAACTATAAGCTCCAACTCATCACCTCCACCATTCTGACGACGCAAGCACTCGGTCTCACTACTGTAACCACAACGATGCTGTATATTCTATCCCCCTTGGACTGTACGGCAACGCGATCTAGGTACCATTGGAAGAATTCCACCCCAAGTCGAAACCCAAAACAATCAGAAAGCAGAATACACTCTGAACAAGAAATCCCAACACACAGCTACACAAGCTCCCACTCATCGCCGCCACCACCGGGCATGTACGTCACGAGCGGTACCTCGGACTCCCAGGTTGCGTCTGAACAAGTGTCCCACATGACACCGACAACCTTGTTTACGAGCGTGCCGAATTCCCAATGCGTATCTTTGGCGCTCATTTCCAGATGGTTAGTTGGCCGCTCCGAGACGGAGACGTACTTGCGGTTGTCTGGGTTGATAGCCCCGGGGGTGAGCGTCTCTGCAACCGCGCGAACGCTGACCTTGTCCAGCCTGACCAGCACCACTGGCGCGCGGTCGGCGTCCGAGAAAGTCCCGGTTCTCGTGATGCAGAACTTTGTGCGGCGCGAGACGGAGGTGCGGATCTGATTGGCCCAGACGTACCAGTAGAGATTTGGCTGCCGGCGGTTGCGGATGAAGTACTCGCCGCCGCTGATCCAGTCCGGGCCCAGCTCGGGGTTCTGGATGATCGGCCACGTCGAATTGCCGTCGCCGTTCGGTAGCAGCTGCGTCATGAACGTGTTCTTGAACTGTGGCAGGTCGTTGCGCATCTGGAACCGGAGGATCGACTCCCACGACTCTGCATGTGCACGGTAAGTAATGCGATCGAAGCATGGGCTGGTAATGATGGACATACCGGGCGAATCGTAGCACCAGAATTGCGCCGACGTGCGAATCAACACCGGAAACAGATGGCGATTCCCGCTCTGCAAATCTTTTAGGTCGCGAAACAGTTCGTCGGCTTCGTATCTGGAGCTGAAAGTGAGGAGATAGCGACCGTGTTTGGCAGAAGCGTTGTTATCGGCGGCTTTCGTCCACTTCAGGAACACATAGAAGAGGCCAGACATTTTCGCTGGGCCGAGTGGGCGAGGCTGATACAGGCTTACTACACGACGGTGAAGAGTAAAGGGCCGAAGAGAAACGTTGAACTTGAAGAAAGTGGGGTAGATAATAGTTAGTTGATTAGGTTTCCCTCCCCGCTATGTTCTCATGTACGAGGTACATGAACTACTCTCGTGCCAAGAGGCTCGGTGAAGCCTGATTGGATGGCTGTCGTACCAAGCTGCGAAACCAATCAACAAAGAGTGGATCGATGATCGCCAAAAGAAAAAGGTTTGTATCACAATTACCGAGCATCGCGAATGGAATAAATCTTCTTAAGCTGGAGAGTTGCTGTATGAGCGATCAGAGGGTTGCGTGTAACCTTTCAGAGGACTCAGGAGTACTACTGACGTATCGTTGAAGGAATCTGGCGAAAATGAAAGATGATGAAGAAATTGAGGTTGTATTCAACTTCGAAGAGCCATCTAATATGGCTCACCTCCACTGCCTACGACGTTCGGTGTCACTCCATCCGTCATGCGACCTGTCTAGATCATGACACTGTCTACCCATACACCTCCCCGCCCCCCGGTTTCCTCGCCACTGTCCAACTCGACTTTCACCGAGCGGTCCGATGTGGCTTCCCCTGCCCTCAGCCCCGGCCTGTCTCTATCCTATGTATTGTACCTGCCGAAATCACGCGATTAACAAACGTTCACGCGACGAGCCATATCTCATGACTCACCTACGGTCCTGATCGAATAGGTACTCTTTACCGCCAGCTCCACGAACATAGAAACTAAATGGAACCAACCGGTTAGGCGGAAGCTTTACGATCATAGAGAAGTATCGAGCACTGCACATTAGTACCAACTGCTGCTGCGTGTATGGGCGATGCGGCGAGGAATTCAAGGTCTGCTATGTCCGTCGTCCCGTCGGAGATGCCAATGACATGAGATTACCGATTGAGCAAAGATTTATAGTAGATAGCAGAAAAATCAGTGAATAGGTACCACTTCTTCCTGCCGGGTAATGATATCGTTGGTACAGATACACACGGCTCCTTCGTCGCCACGTTGCTTTGTGGGCGAGTCGAGTCATATCACATGAACCGCCGGCCGGGTGGATATGAGTGAACGTCCCGGATGATCGTAGAGATAGTCTGAGACTCGTCTTGATATTGCGTATACCGGTATCCAACAGTTGTCCGTACGCACGGCGTCTGCTGCGACTTCCTCGCCCGTTCCGCTCATCACCGGCCGCATTTCCCCAGCCGCGTTTCTGTATGCACAAGCCCTTGCCCCGATGCGCCATGTCCACATCACGGCCGGTCCACAATCGGAGACCGTGGGCTCGGCAGCATGTTGCCACCACTACCACTGTATTGCATCCTCCACTCTCTCTTCTCCTTTCTACTCCTTCACCTTTGAATACGAACTCCCGTCACACAGCAACTTACCGCCAACACCTAAACAGCAACCGCGCGAGATGGCCGAACAGACTTTAAGCAAACCTCTCGGTGAGTATGCGCACCAGCCTTCGGCCCCCGCCGGTTGTCAGCTTCTGCCCCCGAACGACAAAGGTCTTTCTAAGCTGGACAGCCTCAATGTCAACATACACCGTTAGATCGTCAAGCATCTTCCGCTGGTTTCCACCCACCCTCAAGTTGGGTAGTGCATCCAAGTGGTTCAAGGAGCTGGCCGACAGGGAGTGCAAGAGTCAGCTGTATCTGGAACCGCCTGTTGATGACCTTCCTCCTTATGGGGGGGGATGATGGTGCCGACATAAGCGCGGACATGGTTGAGGATGATATCGACTGCATCCATCCCGTCTTCTCCCGAATTGTGATTAAGCTAATGGCCCCGTTCCTGAGTGTCATCATTCCGGGTGTGGGTGAGCATAGCACACCCTTGTTTGGGCTTGAAGTGCAGCATGCCTTCGCCACTCGGCCGGCGGTCAAGTCGCTCAAGATTCGGATTCTCGCCACGGGTCATATGGGAAAGCACTATGAGGTGTAATGCGAGATCGTACACAGCCAGGCAATCACCATCAGCAGTCTTCTTCAGCAGCTGATCGTGTTATAAGTATCACTTCGCTGCGTGGGCAACTTGAAAGTCATGCTGATTCGTGACATAGCTTGAATCAACATGCGTTCCCGTCCATCTCGTATGCCGAGTGGTTCGGAGAAGACGTCTGTGCCACCCATGGGCTCATGCCGAAGAAGGCCATACTCAATAGCGAGCTACTCAGAGAGGAGTATGTCGCCTTCTCATCGCCTCGCTTGCTGCACCTTGGTTGACAGGAATGATAGGCTCCCCCGTGTCTGGTTCGTAAATCCGGATAACCGTCGCGAGATCCACATCGATCTCAACCTCGACAGGTGCTTGAACGACAGCATGCCGGAGACGGAACCAGAGCCCCGCGTTGCCTCCGGTAGAGTCCCTCTCCCAAGCGAGCTCAGCACCGAGAACAGATTGGACATCACCGACGACGTCCGGGGAACCATCCCACCTAGCACTCCAGCTAGCCTTCCTATTTTTCTCCCTCTCACGATTATCCACCGCCGCTCGCCCTGTATCGTGCATTACAGCTCCCCCAACGTCGCCAGAAACCTCTTCATAGAGCTCAAAACAAGAACTACTACGTACAGATGGGACATCACCGACGCCGTCCCCTCTAGCCTTTTTCCTGACAGCATCACGCGTGTCGGCGCCCCCTCGCCCGCTGTACTCGCTCATGGGAGATCCCCCGACATCTTCAGAAACCCGTTCATCGATTTCGGCACAGGAAATAATACTAGCTACAGATGGTACATCATCGACGAGGTCCCGGTATCCATCCGACCTAACCCTCCCGCTAGCCTTCCTCTTGACAGGATCACGCTTGTCTGCGCCCCCTCGCCCGCTGTACTCGCTCATGACAGCTCCTGACACCCTCGACACTTCCAGCAACGGAAGCGATACCGAGAACGAATGATGGGGGAATAGAGATGATGATGATGATGATGGTTTTCTGTCTTTCTGTGTTTAGATTGGCTGGAGCATAGAATAGAATAAAAGCGTCAGAGGGGATAACGGAAATTCGATACCTGCTATTGTGACTGTGACTTTGACTATAGTATCCCGCTTCGTTTGAATGTTCACGTGCGTAGGTGTAGGTTTTGCGGAAGTTGATGTGCATACCTATTCGTTATGCCCCAGTACTAGTGTGGTGGTGGGGCAAGAGAACGATATCTCGACCACTTTATAGATACCTAATGTAGCCGCCACACGACCGAATACGCGTGATATAATGTACACTAGAATCCGAATTCAAAAAATTATAATATTCTACCAAGAACTGGTGCTCGTTATATTTATAATACAGTAGAGTTCTCGAATCTCGAGAACCAACCGCCGGAGGATTTCGTGTCGCGGCAGGGGGAGCAGCGGGGAGCAAGCGGGCGAGATACCGTTGGGCGGATTCAGTGGCCGTGACGACTTTGTACCGGTCACTACACTGGGGACGGGACTGGGGCGGGACGTAAATTGTAATTGGCGGGGCAGTGGGATCATGGCGTATCACTCGACAGTGCTGCCACTTTGTCGATAGGACGATAGGACGATGGCCTGACTGCCCTTTGTAAACTTGTTGTTTCTTGTCACGATCCAGCTACTATTGGGTCTGCCTTGCTTGCGTGCCGAAGGTATGCATCGATACTCCGTGTACCGCTGGGCAGTGGGGCGGCAGATCATGAGATATCACTAGACAGCACTGGGACTTTGTCGATGGGACGATGGAACAAACACCTGACTGCCAGTTGTAGACTTATTGTATCTTACCACGATCTAGCTAATGCATTGTAGCCCGCATGGAATCAATGATTAAACACAAAAAGCCTGTTGCTAGAGTATCTCGTCGGAATTCTGGCGCAATCCTCTCGGAATTATCTCGCAATTCCCCCGCTATGGCTAGTCACTGGTAGGATAGATTATGGACTCTGGAGGTCTGCGTAGCTCGACTCTCGAGCGCTAAAGGTGCAGTGGCAAAATGGGGCGTTTATCGGGACAGGAGTGTTACTAGACTTGTGTAATTTCAGCATCGCTTCGGTATTCCGATAGAATACCGAGCTCAACGGAATGCGGATTCATACGAATGGGCCGTGCGTGAAATCCTGTCGTCTTACTAGAGTTGTGACAGTGCAACGTTTTTACAATGCACATATTTCTGAAATACCCGTGACAGATGCCTGATCGTATGACTCCGTGAACCTTCCTAAATGCTGCGTTTGTAGGTAGGCTTATGTACCTACTTTAGGTGGTGCCGTATTGTTTCAGCAACGATCCGTCACTGTTCCATTGTGACGACGACGTGTTTTGCGAGACCACCGGTTCCCAATACAACGTTGTGAATACCATACCAACACTTTCGGGCCTCGGCCACAGAAATGCAGTCTTAGCTGCAGTTGGCACCCGCCTAACTACCGACCGGTTTCAACGCAGAAGCCGGATTCTACATACAGAACTTCGGTTTAGTACGGTACCTTCTACTACTACTGCTCCTTGCATTGCTCGACTCGCCGCGGATAGCGTTTCTTCTACTGCCCCCCCATACCTGGTACTCCGTGAACCGCTCTGAGCGGCCGATCATGAAGTATCACTAAACAGCACTTGCACTTTGTCTGTTGAAAATATGAGTGAGAGATTATTCAGTTGCTTTATTCATTCGCAGAACATAGGGGATGACTAGATAGACATACTAGACAGAAGCAGAAGAAGAAGCAAGTATGAGAATAAACAGGATTCTGGAGGCGCACTCGACTTGGCGCATATGACCATTATGACAAATGTGCAATATCTTGGACGAGTGACGACGGTGGCTTTTCAACCAGAATGAGAAACGCAACATTGTCGATGGGACGATGGGACAATGGGAGGATGGTCTGGCTGCCCGTTGCAGTCTCTTGTCTCGACCTAGCTACTAGTAGGTCTACCTGGTTTGCGCGCTGACGGTGTGCATTGGGAGGGGTAAATCATGAGATATCACCACACAGAACTCACACTTGTCGATGAGGCGATGGCCTGGGTGGTAGCTATCCGTTGTTTTCTCTTGCCATGATCTAGCCACTAGTAGGTCTACCTAGCTCGAGCGCTGAAGTATACTCCGTGTATAGCTGGGAGTGGCAAATCATGCGATATCACTCACAGAACTGGCACTTTGTCGATTGGACGATGGCCTGGCTGCCTATTCTTAGTGTATCTTGTCGGATATCTCACAATTCTCACAGTTCTCTCGCTCAGGCTGGTCAGGTCATTGGTGGGATGGATCATGTGGCATGGAGGTCTGCCCGGCCGACTCTCGAGCGCTGAAGGTATCTACTTCCTGGCCATGCAGATAAACATGCTTTTCCTTTCCTTTATACGGAGACTGCATGATAGTTATCTACCCCGAGTCAGGTCGGAAGCAGAATCCAGAGTCCAGACGCTTTCGATTGCTACACCATGACGACGACGACCACCACCACCGCCCGTTCCCTGCCTCCAAGCCTCCAAGCCTCCAAGCCTCCAAGACTCCAAGACTCCAAGACGTTGAGACTTCAAGACCCCAAGACTTCCTAACTCTAGAACTTTAAGCCTCCAAGACTCCAAGACTCCAAGACTCCAAGACTTTGAGATAAGCATCGCCATTAAGCATCCCCTCTGCCCACTGCCGACTACCACCAGCACTAACAAGTAAAAAGTAAAAAGTAGAAAGTCCCACGTTCGAGATAGCCTATGTAGATAGAGATAGCGACGTCACCAGCCGAAAATACTCGTTGAGACATTGGCGGAAGGCCCCTGTAAGCCTGATCGGATCGCTCCAGGCAGCGAAGAGGAGGGGGGTCGGACGGTGGGGAGCACCATTCACGACGATCAATCGGTACATACATACACTCCAGCCGGCTACTCAGCGGTGGAGTACAAGCCAGCGAACCCACCTAGCCCAGCGCCCAGCGCCCAGCCGCCGCGTGCGCAACTACTAGCCGCCATATCTATGTTCGCCAGCCGCCCGCCGCCGCCCGGAGTCTCGGCGGCGCACGTGGGTCAACGCCGAGCTCAGGTACGGGACGATGACGGCAGGCGATGCTCTACTAGTGCTATATACACGCAGCAGCACTCGCGCCACAGCCACGTGGGTACTCTAATCGACTGCCGCGCGGTGCGGAAGCCACCTGCTCCATCACTGGCTAGATGTGTATTTACCTAACTATCGCAGGATTCGGCGGTCTGGATGCCATGGCGTGTATGTAAGGTGGTTTTGCCTACATACCGTACTGGTTCCGCGTTCAGTGTTCACGGGTCACTCGTCTTGCTCAACGCTCGACGCTCGTTCCGTAACTTCTGTTAGCGACTCGTGAGGGTCCCGTGTTTGGGACGTGGGAGTGTCGTGCTGTTTCTGCTGTCCCCAGTGTCCTGTCCTCTCTTCTCCATGTATGCCACGAGTACCGGTAACCGTAGGCGGGGTGGGAACTTGGAAGGCGGGGAGGCGGCTGATGGCGGGATTTCTTTTCTTATCTCACTGCAGTGGCGTACCTACAGGCTACTACTCGACCACTAGTACGCGGGGATTGTCCCGTAGCGGAATTTGCCTCCCATCGCTCGTCTTCCCCACTCGTCAGTTCCCCGCTCGTCTTTCCCGCTGCCCATGCCTCGAGTCGCTGGCGTCGTTTGAACTTGAGCTTGCGGACGCCGGATTCACGCGGACGCCGGAATCACGTGGCCACGCCGCCACGCAAATGGCTCGGCTTCCCCGCTCCCCGCTCTTCGCTCCGCCTGCGGACCTTCATAGAGCAGTCTAGTTTAGTCTAGTCTAGTCTAGAGTACATAGAGTAGGCAGTGGGGTGGCGGCGATTCCAGATTCCAACGCGACGAAGAGAACGCCGCCATGTGGTGTTGTATGGCCATAGTTGAAGCTGCAATCGACCGCGACGAAGGAGCAGATCATCGCATCCGTGTGAAAGATCTCGTCGCCACCTGTGTATGCACCATACCCACCACCGACCGACCACCGCCGCATCGTGAAGAAAGAAAAAATCCCCGCAAAAAATAATAAGAATGAGCTTCCAGCAGCCAGCTTCCCCGCCCCGCCGCACCCCCGCTCTTCGGCCGCCCGTGTGGGGGCTGGACTCTCGACTCTGGAGCCCGCCCCCCGACTCCGCACGCGGCACAGCCCACCTTCCTTGCACCTGGCACCAGCGGCCAAATCCCAGACCCCAGAGCTCTTACATACTCTAGTCTTGGAGGCTTGGCTCAGCCCCTCAGATAGTTACGGTCGCACTCGTATCCCCCTCCCCCGTGTCGCCGGGATGTTGTATTACCTACTCTACACCCACATACCCACATGCCCACATACCCAGTGCCCACATACGAGCGGCAGTAGACGTACGTGGAGGGATGAAGGATGAGGGATCATATTACTCTGCGGTATGGTATATAGAGTGCCGCACATACGAGGATGGGGATGAATGGATAAACTGTGTTGTGTTCCTGGCATTAGCGAGCTGCGATGAGGTGGTGGGTGTGCGGGGAAAAAGTGGGTAGGTTTGGTCGGCGAGGGAGGTATCTACTCTAGGTACTCTGGAGAGAAAGAGAGAGAAGCGGTGATGTGTGTTCTTTCTTTGTCGGGGGATGGAGGAATACATAGAGGACGGGATGGCGAGGAATTCGAGAGGGGGCGGAGAGGGCGAGAGAGAGCGAGGGAGGGGCCGGGTCGACGTTTAGACCGTTCTGTTCGGATCTCCTCCGTCAATTGCCTCCCGCTACGCCTATCCTCGTTGTGCCTGCCGGTTTGGGACAGGGCTGTGCTGGAGGGAGGACTTTGGAGTCTGGAATTTTATTTACGAATTCTTTTTGTTTTGTTTCAGTATCTCATTCTGGTTTTATTCTTCAGCTTTTATTTCGTTTCGAACATTCTCCTCTGCAGATGCGAGGACGCGCCGGCGTCGCCAGCTTACGGGCTCATTCATTCCTCCATTCTTTCCTTGTTGCGGCTGGGGCTGAGGGGGCTGAGACAGTCAAGCCGGGAGATTACGTTATCGCTTCGTCTCTCGTTTTGTCTTGTCTGTTGTCTCTCGTCTCTCCTCTCGTCTTGTCTCGCATCTCACGTCTCTACGCTCGCCTCCCGGTGCCCGGTTTCCGGTGTCCGGCATCCGGCCTCCGGCCTCCGGGGTAGCGGTCGAGCGCTCGGAACCACCGCTCTCGGCGCCCAGCCGGAGGTGGAAACGCGTCCGTGCACTGGCCAACGCGCGAGGCGAGACGAGACAACGAGGCTTGGATCGCGAGCGACGGGAGAGCCACAGCTCAGGCAGTTCAGCCACAGACCGAGCCGCTGGCAACTTGTAAGGAGATGCGCTGCTGATGCTGGCGGTGGGGGCAATTGGGCAACTCGGGGGCCAGAACACTCTAGGTACTCTATTGCGGAGTGGCTGGGCCATCTTCCCGGCCCCTCTCTGTAGAGTACAGATGTATGCAGAGTGTGCAGAGTACTCTACAGTGTACCGTAGATACAGTGTGCTCTATTTTATATTCACATAGGAGGTGTCTGGGTACGGGCTGAAGCCTGGACTTTGAAGCCTGAAGCGCGTGAGGAATCTTTCTTTGTTCGTCTCTCCTGAAGGCCCACGCTCTGCCGACACGACCGATTGACGTCCCTGAAGAAGTGGAGCAGTAGTGAAGCTTGGTTTCCCGGCAGATGCTCGATCCGCCCCACGTATCTAGACACGCGTAATTCGGTAGGTAATTGATTCCCAGATCCCAATCCCAATTCCCAATTCCCAATCGCGCGAAGCCATCGCGCGAAACCACCGTCCGCAACAGCAGCAGCAGCACGGACCAACTTCAGCACCGTCCGACTCCGAGCCTCAGACTCCTCAGACTCCGTCCAACTCCGCCGCACACACAGCACACACAGCACACACACAGCACACACACGGACGTCCGACACACACGCACACACACACGATACATACGCGTGGACTCCGCTAAGGGTTAGTGAGTCTAGTGGGATTGCTATGGAGATATCCCAGCACAGCACCGCTCTGTGTAGAGTATGCTCCAAGGAGATAGTTCCATCGCCAGCAGCAGCGGGCGGGTGGCCAACCAGCCAGCCAACGAACGATGCTCACTGCTGATGCTGCGGCGCCTGCTCCGCCGCATCCAGATGCTGTGAGGAATATTTATTTTTTGTGGCTGTTGTGCTGAGGATTCGCGTGTAGAGTACAGAGAATATGCGGATGAATGGGATGGAATGTGATATGATAGGTATCATACAACGTATTGTACTTACGCAGGTGTGATGCGATGGTGTTGCTTCGCTAGTTGTAGATACCGTAGCTTTGCCTGCTTGCTGGCTCATGCTTCTCTATTCGGTATTCGCTGTACTGCCTGCTTCTTCCTGCTCCTCCTAATCCTCCTCATCCTCATCCTCCTCGCCTCGTCTGCTGCTTGGCCTGTCTTCAGTTTAGCCCACATCTCGATAACTAGCTCTGCTCTATCTACGAGTACTCCGTGGTACCGGTCCCCCCAATCCCCCCATCCCCTCCCCCCCCTTCCACCCATCCACCACCCCTTCCCCAACCCCCAATCCCGCCGCCTCCGCTGCATACATACCAAGAAAAGTACCAGCCAATCCCACCATCCCCCAACCGGTCAGTGGTCCCCACAAAACTAAAAAAACCCCCTTCCTGCCAACCCCTTCGTGCTCGCTCGCTCCTACCCCTTCCTTCCTTCCTTCTTCCTTCCCCTTCATCTTCTCTCTCCCTTCACATCTCCTCCAACCCCCAACAATCAATCCTTCTTCCTTCTTCTCTTCTGTTTCTTTCCCCCTTCCATCTTCAACTCCTACATCCCACTCCAGTTCGTTCCAATTGAGTGGTCTTCTTAATTCTCAATTCCCCGACAGCCATCTACCGCAACCTCATCCCGACATCACCATCTAGCTCAGCTCGATCCTGTCGCGTGTTCTATCCTGACACCTAAACACACTACGATCCGAGAAACTCAATTCTACCCCTATCCTCCTCCGACTGCGATAACCGCGACTTCCATCCGCTGTGAACGCGGCGCGCCCTCCCCCCAGCTACAGAAGAACGGGCAATCCCACTTGACCCCCCTAGCGTAACCGCGAATCGCGCATCGCTCACTACACAAACGCAATGGCCGCCTTCTTTTCCGGCGCACAAGCCGGAGAGAAGCTCCTGGATGCTTTCCCATCTGCCGCTACGCTGGTCGAATTGAAGGACGACAAGCTTGACGACCGGCCAAAGACGAAGACCAAGACCAAAACCTCAAAGGCGCCTGCGAACGGCAAGACGGCCAAGAATGCCACCAAAGAGGTCAAACTCAACAAGGAGCAGAGGGAGAGCGCTCAGACTACTACTCCGACAATCGCGGCGGGCAAGGTCGGTCCCGAGTGGGGACGGTTCAACGGCGGAACGTGGCTCGGTGCTCTCGGCTGCGGTGGAATCATCCTCATCTGCCCCGTGCTCGTGATCCTGCTCCAGATCGCCTTGTTCTACTTCAACGGCTCGATCCTGAACGTGTTCCTGTCGCTGTACGAGCTCGGCCCCGTTGAGTTCACGGTTCGCTACGCGCCGAGATACTCGCAGACCGCCACCTTGGGATACGTCGCGTGGCTACTGTTCCAGGGCTTCCTCTACATGTGCCTTCCGTCCAAGATCTGCTACGGCCAGCAGACCCCCGCCGGCCACCTCCTGCCCTACCACATCAACGGACTCTACGCGTGGGCCGTCACCCACATCGCGTACTTCGCCGGCTCGTACTTTGGCCTGTTGGACCCTGCCATCATCGCCAAGAACTGGGAGGGTTTGATCATCGCGTTCAACATGTACGGTTACATCCTGCCGCTGATCGCCTACATCAAGGCGCATCTCGCGCCCACCCACAAGGATGACATCAAGTTCTCAGGATCCATGATTTACGACTACTACATGGGCATCGAGTTCAACCCCCGCATCGGTGCTTGGTTCGATTTCAAGCTCTTCCACAATGGCCGTCCCGGAATCGTGATGTGGACTTTGATGTAAGTTGTCACTTTTTTCTCTCTTTCGTTTTCCATTTTTTGCACGCGTTAGCGTCGCGGTTGAAATCGCTTGTTCGCGACGGAGTGAGATCGGATCTCGCATCTGGTTCCGTAGTTTGTTCCTAGGGAGATCTCGCGTCGTGGTGGGGGTGGGTGTAGGTTTCGTATGGATTTGGGCTGACAGGGGGCAATGTCAGCGATCTCTCGTTCGCCGCGTACCAGTATCAGCTCCACGGATTCGTCAGCAACTCGATGATCGTCGTCAACATCCTGCACGCGTTCTACGTCGTGGACTTCTTCATCAATGAGGACTGGTAACTTTCTCCGCTCTCTCGCTCGCTAGCATGGCCGCTGACAGTTTTCAAGGTACCTCCGCACCATCGACATCTGCCACGACCACTACGGTTTCTACCTTGCCTGGGGATCCATGGTCTGGCTGCCCACCGTCTACACCCTCCAGGCTCAGTACCTCGCGTACAACCCGTACTCGCTGTCGAACTACGCCGCCGCCGGCCTTCTCGCCACCGGAGTCTCGGGCTACGCCCTCTTCCGCGCCGTCAACTACCAGAAGGACCTGACACGCCGCACCAAGGGCGAGTGCAACATTTGGGGCAAGAAGGCGGAGGTGATCAAAGCGAAGTACACTACCGCGGACGGCAAGGAGCACGAGACGATCCTGTTGTGCTCCGGCTGGTGGGGCGTCTGCCGCCACGCCAACTACCTCGGCGACCTCGTCCTGAGCTTCTCGGTGTGCGCTGCTTCGGGACTCGCCACCCTCGGCACCGGCGTCGATGGTCTCGATATCTGGCAGAAGGGCGGGTTCATGCTACTCCCTTGGACCTACGCCATCTTCATGACTATCCTCCTCATTCAGCGCTGCATTCGCGACGAGGAGCGCTGCAGTGGCAAGTATGGAAAGACTTGGGAGGAGTACTGCAATAAGGTCCGGTGGAGGTTGATTCCTGGCGTGTTTTAAGCGTCTGGTGGCGGGTGTTGGGGATGGGCGGGCGAAGGGGACGGATGTGGGACAGATGGACGGTGTATGGTGTACAAAGGGTGAAAACCAGTGGTTGTCTGTCGGTCTGTCTGTCGGTCTGTCTGTTGGTCTGTCTGTCTGGCAATTCTGAATTCTGTCTTGGTCTTTGTTCGGTCTTTTTCGCAGTCTTAGAGCGGACGATAGAGTTTTCATAGTGACTTTTATTATACGTCTTTTTTCCTTTCATTTTATTTTAGAGAGGATAGAGGTGAGAAGGGGGTTTGTTGGTGTGTGTTATGTGTATTCCGTCCTAATGGTTTCTTCTGTTTGGCTATGGTGGTAGGGTTCGGTCTTTGGTTTTTTGTTATGTTTGTGTTGTCTGTTTTGCCTATCTCTTGAATTGGCTGCCCGTGAGGGCGGGTGTGAAAACCGCAATACGATTGCGATGTGTCGAAGGGTAATGCAAAAGTTCTTTGACTGTCACTGTGCAATGGCGAGAGGTGTGGGGGTGATGTGACGTGAATGTGACGACCTAGATGTGATGCTTCCCTATACAAGTACTTATGAAGGTCCATCTCGATAGGTAGTCTGATTGTATTTGCTATAGATACGGCCTGTACACACAGTAGGTACGTATCGCTCAACTCTTGGTCTCACCACTTTACCAGAGACGGGCTACCAAGACAATGTACATAGAGGGATATTCATGAGATCTCACGCACAGCCCAGCCGCCTACCTAAGGATGCACGTATCAGAGATTCAGAGTAGCAGGCCGTGCCCACTGCCGTATAGCGGGAAGCACTTCTCGCAATCAAATGATTACATACGCCAGTGGCCACTCAATCACCGGAATTAGATCTTTCACGTTTCAACGGTTGTCACCCGGGTCACGTCATCGTCGTGCAACACATGGGCCGAACCGTGTGCCACCCGCTTCCCGAACCGGGCACAGGTACAGGTACACGCGGAGGTACGGCCGGAGGCGCAGGAACAGGCACGGACACGGGCATTGGCATGGCATTGGCACGATAACTAACCCACCCTCCCTTCTATATAGGCCGGCAGGCGATATCGATAAGGGACATACTTGCAGTGGGTCAGCAGTAGTAGCAGTGGCAGTGGCAGTGGCACGCAACATTGAATACCCCGCGGTGTCCAGCTCCCAGCTACACCCAGCTACACCGAGCTCCTAGCCGTTCACTGTCTACTGTCCACTGTCCGCACCCTTCCCACACCCTTCCCCACCCATCCCTTCTTCATATCCTCACTGCCCACAACTCCCAAGTCCAAAGATGTCAGCCTCAGCCTCCTCCACACCCCGCAAGCTACCGATGTCTCCCACCGATGACGACGAACACTCCTCGCCACCAGCCTCCTCCCAGTCCCTCGCCAGCGACGTCCCACCCCTCGGCGCAATCCCCGACACCTCCGTCGACCCCATCTACGCGGCCAAGGCACACGCTCTCAACGCCGCGATCCAAGAGATCGGCATGGGACGGTACCAGTGGGGCCTGTTCTGCGTGGCGGGGTTTGGGTGGTTCGTTGATAACGTGAGCTACTCCCGTCCTGGAGGGGGGATGGAGGGTATGGTGGGGAGGCGAAAGTGGGGGAAGTGGCTGATGTGCGAGAGGGGGACTGTAGCTGTGGCCGCAAGCTACCGCGCTTATTCTGCCGGCGATTATTGCGGAGATGAGGCCGCATAGGAAGGAGATGCTTGCGTTGGCGCAGAATTGTATGTTGTCCTTGGTTTGACAGGGGTGGGGTTAGTGGTGTGGCGGGGCTGGCTGACGGTGGTGGTATGTGTGCAGTGGGCCTCATGATCGGTGCTTCGTTCTGGGGTGTCGGCGCGGACATCATCGGCCGGCGGTGGGCGTTCAACCTGACGCTGCTGATTGCGGGGGTATTCGGTGCGGTTGCGGGGGGTTCGTCGAGCTACACGGGGGTGGCGGTGTTTGCGGCGCTGTGGAGTGTGGGCGTCGGCGGGAATCTGCCGGTCGATTCTGCGGTGCTGCTCGAGTTCCTGCCGGGAAGTCATCAGTGGGTGCTCACCGCTATGAGCCTGTGGTGGGGGATGGGGCAGATCGGTTCGTGATCCGTGCATGTCCACGTGGGTGCGTGCTGATGGGTGGGCGTGATGGCTGATGATGAATAGTCGCGAGTGCCGTCGCGTGGCCGCTGCTCACCCGCTTCTCGTGTCCGTCGACCGGCCGCTGTGATGCTTCGCAGAACATGGGCTGGCGGTACCTCCTCTTCACCTTGGCTGGACTGACCCTCACCATGGCCCTCCTCCGCGTCCTTTTCTTCCGTCTGTACGAGTCCCCGAAGTACCTCATGGGCCGCGGTAACGACCCCGCCGCCGCCAGTGTCATCGCCAAACTCTCGGACTACAACGGGCACCCGACAACCTTCACCGCGGAAGCCCTGACCCGCCTCGGAACGTACCACCCTTCCTCGTCCACCTCTCACATCCGCGCCCTTTTCAGCACGCCCATGCTCTCCGCCAGCACGTCGACGATAATCCTCCTCTGGTTTCTAATCGGCACGGCCTTCCCTTTGTATAACTGCTTCCTACCCTACTTCCTCTCGCGAGTCTCAGGCAGCACCTCACAAGTCTACCGGAACTACCTAATAATCGGTGTGTGCTCTTTACCGGGCTCGCTGCTCGGTGCAACAATGATCGAGCTGCCCTCTCTCGGCCGCAAGGGAGCAATGTCTTTGTTCACGCTCGCTACAGGCGCATTCCTGTTCGCCGCGACCACTGCTCGCACGGGGACACAGCTCCTCGCCTTCAACGCCGCGTACGCGGTCACGAGCTCCGCTATGTACGCCGTCCTGTACGCCTACACACCAGAGGTCTTTCCGACTAAGGATAGGGGCACGGGAAGCGGCCTCGCGGCGACGGCGAATAGGATCGGGGGCGTGCTCGCCCCGCTGCTGGCTATGGCTGCAGACCTGGATACACCTGTGCCCGTGTATGTCTCCGGTTCGATGTTTTTGTGTGCCGGCGTGGTTATGTTGTGGTTGCCGTTTGAGAGTAGGGGGAAGACGAGTTTGTGAGGTGGATTGAGGGAGGGTTTGTGCGTGCGGGTACTTGCTTGAATATGATTGTTGTATAATACCATGAAATGGCAGAGGATTGTGGATGTGGCATAACTAGGCGGGAAGTAGGCGGGATGAAGTGAATGGATGGGATCATGCGATGGCACTCGCTTGTATCCATCTTCTACTGGATTTGTATTCGAGGTTTGTCGGATCGCTCTATGCTATGACAATAGCACGAAATGGCGTATCTCAGGAAGAGGATCTCGGACACAAGAAGTGACCGCAGCCCAGCTCTTGTGCGAGCGGAGACAGTTCGCCATGTACCTGAATTTGTACATACTACGGAGGAGGAAGGCTACATACGGGAAACCTAACCCAGCCCAGCGACGACCACCCGCTGCCTACGAGTATCTACTATCACCAGCTACTCCGACCACGCCCTCACCAGCGAACGACTATACTGGACCACGTACGTAACCGCTGACTGACATAAACAGAGCATCACGGAACTCTAAGTCGATCGATCGAGTGATGTAGTACCTACCTAATGAATACGCTTCACCTCCACCGCCGTGTCTGTCTGTCTGTCGATATTACTATATAATTCGTCCCTACTTACTCAGTAACGCGCAGGCGTCTGATCTGATCGGACACTTCCGCAAAGCAGCAGCTAGGTGGGTAGGTAGACTAGGTATTGAGAACATCTGCAAATCTTCGATCTCGATTCTCGAGGGATCCACTGCAGTGCAGCCTCACACTGCACCCGTTTCCGCGTCGTGGTGTAAGTTGTAAGTATTCCCTGAATAATGTAATTTAATGGGGAACCGGCACTGCATGGTACGTACTACTACTACTACTACTACTACTACTACTACTACTACTACTACTACTACTACTACTACTACTACTACTACTACTACTACTCGTAGCCTTGGGCATCTATCTGGTACGTTACGTCACTGGGATGCGTCGCGACGAGGTTGAAATGATTCAGTGTCATTGCGGATGTACATATTGTTTATTATTTGTTATTTCTGATAAATTGAAAGAGAAAAAGAATGAAGAAAAAAACAACAGCGATCGGAAACCTTAAGACTCCTACGGCGGTCGAAAGTGAGTATTTTGCATCTCCATAAAACTGGAAAGAAAAGAAAAACATATTCGCGATAAAAGTGAAAAAGGAAAACAGCCCCTCAGCCTTAAGATTGCTCCTCGTCCTCCCTCAGATTTCTCATCTCCATCCTCGCATTTCTCATCTCCATCTCCATCCTCGTCCATCTCCTCTACTCGCCATAAATGATAAAAAAGGAAAGAAAAGAGAAACATATCATGACAATATCACCCCGTCTGGCCCCCGATTTCAAGCCTCTGTCCCACGCGACTTGCATCGTGCGGCCGATGTACGATTCTCTGCCCTCGCCGTGCCCTGTCCCGACAATATATGCGCTCGCCAAAGAAATAAAGCTACGGAAGAACAGTTCACTCCTCACTGCCCCCTGCCTCTTCAACAGGTGATACCATGAAAGAAAGTGTGGGAAGGAACAGCGGGTGTGACCTCGGCTCGTCAACCTCAGCATCCTCCTCTTGTCTCAGCATCCTCCTCTTGCCTCCTCCTCCTCCTCTTGCCTCCTCTTCCTCTTGTCTCCTCCTCTTCTTGTCTCCTCCTCCCCTTTGAAAAGGTGCTGTGGGACGCAGCTGGAACTGACGTCTTGCCGACAGTTTTCGATCGATCCTTGGCTGCGGACCTTGGACGGGCTCGTTGCCAATATGTTAGGACTAGGTGTCGGGTGCGACTCTGTTCAGCCTTGCTTGTTTTGCCTGCACACTTTTACTTTGTTTTGATCGTTCCTGTTCGCTTGGGCGGTGTTTTGACGGTCGATTGCGCTAGGGTCACCGCATAAGACCTCCACTTGCAGGCCACTCATAAACTCGTGGACTCGAGGGCCAACGTAGTTCATGAGATTGAGCATCTTTGACTGGGCTGAGTCCGCTGGATCCGTACAGAGTGACTGTTCCCTCTTGGAAACGAAGTTAATGGTGTTGATGAATGGTCGAATGTTCTCTCCCTTCATTCCCCCGAAGACAGGAATGACCGGAGGAGTGATCATATTCGACATTACCGTGGACACTGGTGGATTGGTCGTGGTGAGTGGGGTGGCCATCTCTGTCGATTTATGTACTGTCAACTTGGCTGATATCCTCGCCGTCGACGATTCCCGACAATCGGCGGTGTCGCCGATGCAGTATTTGATAATCTATTTCGTAGCCAGCCAGTGCTTTATTCAATTTATCGTATCTGTCTTGAGACGGTGCCGTCTCGATGAGCGGTGGGAAGTGTGGCTCGTCGCCGAGATCGTCGCCGAGACCGCTGACTGAACTGCAGACTGGATGGAGGAAGAGTGCTTATATTGTCATACATGTCTTCATAAATCAATGATGAAACCAAAACAGCCGATTTTGTTGTCTACGGAATACTCCCAGTTCGAATAGGCGGCCATTGGCACATAATCCGTCTACTTATCATCCACCCCTCCATTCCGCCCAAACCTCCCTGCCTCCTCCGCCATTACCCCCTCCCTCCACCTGAGGACGTTCTCGACCTGCTCCTGCTCCTCCTTGCTCAGGCGCTCCAGCTCCCCTGCCAACATCCCCGCCTTCGCATCCGCCACATCGACCGATCTCTTCGCCAGCTGCACGACCTGCAGCCGTCCATCCTTCAACTGGTCCACACATCTCTCGAAGGTATCATCATACCCGCCCTTCCCATCATCCCCCCAATTCTCCCCCTTCCCAGCCTTCCCCCCCTCCTCAAATTTCCCACCCTTCCCATCCTTCCCGCCCTTCTCATCATTTTCCCCCTCCTCCCATTTCCCCGCTTTCTCCTCCCTCCCTTCCCACCACCTCCCCACCCCCCTCCTTCCCTCCTTCCACCCCCCACCTCTCCGCACCCTATCCCCAGCCCCAGCGGCCCTCCACACCCCCGCCAAAACCCCCGCTACCTCCTCGCGCATCACTTCATGGCGCCTATACACCTGCGCGGCATGCGCGTGCAGTAACCTTCGGTCCTCGTCCAGCGCCGCGAGGTAGCTCTCCACCTCTGACGGGACCTCGGCGTGCAGGCTTGCGACGCGCGCAGTGATGCCGGCGTGGAGCTCTGCGCGTAAACGGTGGAGGGCGGACTGGTCGGCTAGGATTTGCCGCGAGAGGTGGTGGAGGTGTGTGGGCGGGATGGGATCCGAGGGGGTGGCGATGGGATCTAAGGGGGTTGTGGGGGAGATGGTGGTGGGGGAGGAGGAAGTGCGGGTGCGGGTGCGGGTGCGCGGGAGGAGGATGAGGGGGATGGGGGCACCGGAGATGGGGGCAGGGAGGGGGACGAGGATGGGGGAGGTGGCGTGTGGCTTGTGTGGTTTGTGGTGCTTCGGCATGTTGCGTGTCGTGGAGGCGCGGTGGAGGTGAGGTGGGGTGGAGGCGCGATGTGGGATGAGGGAAGGGCGTGGGGTATAGGTGTACTATCAGCCGGCCGGTCAGCTTGATGTCAGCCTGCATCTTGATCATGCATCTCGATGGGCAGATGGTGCTGCAGCCTGCAGGGGCTTGTGGAATCCTGGGGATGCAGGTTGCATGTTGCATGTTCTCCCAGGGGTCTGGCAAGTGGTGGAAGGTGCATGAGAGCGGGAGGAATCGTGGAGAATTATTGTGGAGAATTTATGCTGCTGTATTAGTGGCATATAAAGGTCACTTTGAAGCTTCGAAGGCGGAGGGTGCAGTGGGCATGATTCGTCCCGGTGATGAGTGGTGACGGGAGGGTGCAGTGTCGAATGACGGAAACGTGCATGGAACGAACAAAAACCCGGATTGAAGAATATAAAACCTCGACCACGGTCCACAGCTCGGCTGTATCCCACGTGTCGTAACGCTGGAGTTCCAAAACCGCCTCCGAAATGGCCACTCCTCGACGCACGCAGTCGCACCAGCAACACCGCGGATTGGGACTGTGACCACAATTCACATAGATAGAGTTGTTTTTTTAGCTACCAATAAACAGTTTCAATTCTATTACGGTGGTTGTGAATCGGAATGATGGTTTACGGCACACATTCCACGCGCAAGTGCAAATCCGCGTGATTTTCACAGCTTTCCACGAGCATACTGGCCCACCACCAGATAGAATCTTGCCCTCAACCCATACGATTCATAGGGACATGATGCAGCCGGTCTTGAAATTGCTGTCACGTAGCGGCGTCCTCCAGACCGTACGCGATCAGTGGGTTTGGGGCGCAAATGGCGACTACTCGAGGCTTTGGATTTTGAGAAGAATCTAGACACCTGGATCGGTTCAATGACTTCCCGTGACAGGGAAGTGGGCGAGGTGAAGGTCGGGATGCGATAGAGCAGTGCCGTAAAGCAAGACGGGTGAAATCTCGGCTTTCGGAACTTGTTTTGAGACGGCAGAGATGTGATTTTGGTGTCGGCCAGGTTTAAGCGAGTGATATGCCGTGTGGTGGGATTTATTCATCAGTGCGTTGTCTTTTGGAGAGTTGGTGACCATACAACGGCTTCGCCTGTGAGGTGGCAATGTGTAGATGACGATTTCCGTGCTGAACGAGGCAGATTTATATCTGGAATTTCGGCTTGCCAAAAGATGAGATCTCTTATGCCTCTTCTCGTTTATAACCTCGACCACAAGCCTGAAAACTTTCTAGAATTCACTGAATTGTAGCCAGGGGTCGAGAGAACAACACTCTCCGCGTCACTCTTTGGACTTATATCGCCTACTTTTGGAGATGTTCCAGGTTGAGTAGACTCGTGTAGTCATTTTGGAACTCAACGTCTAACTTACGATCCATGAGATAGCCTAGATTCTTCCCTGGCTCAAGGAATCCCCTGGGTTTGGCGTTGTGTGTCCAGCCGCCAGTGACGTGCTTCCAGTGATGTCCCGTGATATCATGCGGCCTCCCGTATCTGTATTTTATGCCCGCCGAGCCTCACTCGCATCTTTCCTCTTCTGGGTGTACTTGCTCGCGGCTGGACCATTTTCCGCCGAGACTGCTCTCCCTCCCTCCCTCACCTCTTCCACTCTCTCTTCACCTCTCCCACCCCGCTCCTCTCCCACTCTCTCTTCACCTCTCCTACTCCGCTCCTCTCCCACTCTCTCTTCACCTCTCATACTCCGCTCCGCCCTCGGCCCCCTTCGCCCCCTCCCCTCTCTAATTCCCACCTTCGCTCTTTCAAGTACAGCCCGCACGACCGCTCTCCTCAAACCAAACTTCAACCGGAACATTTACCGTCAAGATGTCTGGCTGGGAAGATTCTGCGGCCGTTGAGGATGGTCAGTTTTCTCCTCTCCCTCCTGCTACTCCAACCCCAGCAGTATCAATCATCGGTGTTGTTTACTCTTTGCGTCTCCCTCATCTCGCTGGATGCGCTGAGATGAGCCACTGTCGCCCTCGACTTTTCTTTGCCCGTCGCTGCTGACTCTCACTCGTTCTGCAGCTTGGGCCACGCCCTCTTCTCCTGGAGGCGACTTTAACCCTGGTCCCCCTCCCTGTGCCGGCTTCGATGCTGGCTCCCCTCCCAAAGGCGATAATAGGTCCGGTGGCTTCCGTAGCTTCGGTGACGACGACGCCGCCGCTGGAGCTGGCGGTGCCGCTGAAGGTGACAATACCTGCCGCTAGTACGTTATCTCTCCACTTCGAACCGCATCACCGTTTGCTGACTCGCAGCAGCTGCAAGTTGGAGGGCCACATCGTCCGTGACTGTCCCACCAAGCCCGCCACCGACGGCTCCTGCTTCAACTGCGGTGAGCAGGGTCACTCCAAGGTGGACTGCACAAACCCCAAGAAGTTCACCGGTACCTGCCGTATCTGCTCCAAGGAAGGCCACGCCGGCAGGGACTGCCCTAAGAGGGGTCCTCTCATGTGCCGCAACTGCCTGGGTGATGGTATGTTCTGCCCTTCAACCCTGTGTTCGAAGCTTTCGCTGATTAGCTCCTTGTTTAGGCCACACCGCGGTCGAGTGCACCAAGCCGAGAATGCCTAGCTACCTAGCTCATATCAAGGAGCGCGACTTGGAGGAGGCGTGGGATCTCATGAAGCAAGCGAATGACGACGATGACTTCGATGAGTTCAAGATGCACATGCTCGAGTACATCAAGGCTAGCCCTAACTTGACTCTCGACGAGCTGGAGTCGGCTTTCCGCACCCAGGAATTCCGCTACTACCTGTACGCCTTGACCATGGACGTCACCTACGACAAGTGCCTGGTCGGTATTCACGGTCAGAAGGATGCCAAGTACCTCTGGTCTCTGAACAAGAGTGCTCGCCCCCGTCGGTCCAAGGCCATCGCTCACCGCTTGGCTGCGACTCCCGAGGAGAATCTCGAGCGCCTCAAGTACGCCGGTACTCTTGAGGATGAGGTCGGACCTTTCTGTCACCAGTGCAAGGGTATGAATACTTCGGTGCCTGCCATCGATGGATTAAGACTGACCCGTGAACAGAGAAGGGCCACTGGCGTACCGCCTGCGCGGCCGAAGTTCCCGAGGACGCAATGACGAAGAAACAGGTTATTCTCCAGTGTACTAACTGCCTGGGTCTCGATCACCGCCTGCGTGACTGCCCACTGCCTCGCAAGAACTGGGATGCTTGCAGGAACTGCGGACAGGAGGGTCACCGCTCTACCGAGTGCGAGAACCCCCGTGTTGCCAGCGCGGATACCGAGTGTCGTTCGTGCGGCGGCAAGGGTCATTTCTCCAAGGAGTGCCCTACCCGTGCTCCCCAGGAGTGCTTCAACTGCGGGTGAGTGACGTTGTTTACGTTCTGGTGGAAGCATTCCATTCGCTGACGATTTGACAGACAGGAGGGTCACCGCAACACCGACTGCACGAACGAGAAGGTCATTAAGTGCAGGAACTGCGACGAGCGTGGTCACCACGCCAAGGAGTGCCCTAAGCCCAAAGACGTCACTCGCATCAAGTGCAACAACTGCAACGAGAGTGAGTATCGCCTACTCCGTTGCGATGGAACGATCGTTCGCTGACATTTACAGTGGGTCACTTCTCTCGCAACTGCACCAATCCGCCCGCGCCGGAGCCTGAGCCCGAAGCTGAGGAGGTCGTTTACGGTGCCCCCAAGACTTCGTCCTCCAGCGTCGAGCCGGTGCCCGTGGCTGCTTGGGACTCTGCCAAACCCGCTGCTCCTGCCGCTTCTTGGGACTCTACCGAACCCGCTGCTCCTGCCGCTGCCGGTTGGGGTGCTGAGGAGGCGACCTCCAGCGTCTGGTAAACAGCGCAAAAATCGTCAACTGTCAATTGTCAGAACACCCTTCTCCACGCAAAGGTAGCGAGCATGTGTTGTTTTCTTTGTTTTCGTCAAGTTTGGGAACGGTGTTTTGATTTGGGTTCGGTTTAAAATAAATGGGGGGTGTCATGCGATCATGCGAGCACTTTAGTTTCTTCATTTCTGAACATAGATGGTGTATTACTTTTCGAATAGACTGTTGATCTCTTCGAATACCCTCGTAGACTGTTGGGAGATGATCTTGATGGTGATTGTACGTCTTTGTAGTGCGCGAGGGTGACTTGATCAATGGCTCCGGCAATGTAGGCAGAGATCAACCACCATAACGGATCAATTACTGGATGCCACTGGATTTATCGCCAGTCCGTCCGTCAAATGTCATGTCCACTCACTCGTGCCCAATCGCTCTGCCAAGACTGGTAACGGTCTCCGAATCTTAATTTTATTACGTAACACGACCGCATTCTTACTGCCCAGCTGTCACTGCCAGTCAGTACTTTTTTCCATTCAAATCCAAGAACCTTCGCTTCCCAGGCTCAAGCCACACTTCCTCGCCACAATTAGTCAGGTCCATTCAGACTCTTGAGTCTTAGCGCTTATCCCACATGAGCGACTACTTTGTATAAGATACGGTAGCCGAGCTCATGATCTGACATAGGTAAATTCGATGGTGTCAGGAGGGGTGCAACCACCACTTTAATTAACACCCCTACACGACGACGAGGCGGTCAACGACCGACCGAACGACCGACCGACCGACCGACCGACCGCTAACCAACTGCTCCCCCGCCCCTCGCCCCCACCAACGTTCACCACGCCACCGCGCAACCCACAAAAACCCACGACTCCAGTTCACCCCACGGTGTGATGCCCGCGACCATGTCGCCGCCGCCGCCCACATACGCCGAGGACGACCTCGCGATCCCGCCGTTCCGGCCGCGCGAAGACTCCCTGCCGCCGATGGCGGCGACGCCGTCGCCGAGCCGCCGCAGCAGCACGCGCCCCGTGCCGCCTTCTCCTGCGCCGCATCCACCGTCGGCGAGTAAGCCTCCGCCGCGCATCGATCACAAGCCGGAGAGCCGCCTCGGGCAGTACCGCATCATCAAGACGGTCGGCGAGGGCTCGTTCGGAAAGGTCAAGCTCGCGATCCATGAGGTCACCGGACAGAAGGTCGCGCTCAAGATGATCTCACGGAAGAATCTGACCAGTAGGGATATGGCCGGGAGGGTCGAGAGGGAGATCGCTTATCTCCAGCTGCTGAGACATCCGCATATCATCAAATTGTGGGTTTTCTCGAGTCCGGTTGCGTGTGTCGGTGGTGGTGGGGCGAGGCTGATGATTGGTGCGTGGAAAGATACACGGTTATTACTACCCCGCAGGAAATCATCATGGTCATCGAGTACGCTGGCGGCGAGCTGTTCGACTTCCTAGTCAGCAATGGAAAAGTCCCCGAAGACTCTGCGCGCCGCTTCTTCCAGCAGATCATCTGCGCGGTCGAGTACTGTCATCGACACAAGATTGTGCACCGCGATCTGAAGCCCGAGAATCTACTGCTCGACATGAACCTGAACGTCAAAATTGCCGACTTTGGACTCAGCAATATCATGACGGACGGCAATTTCCTCAAGACTTCCTGCGGTTCGCCGAATTATGCGGCGCCGGAAGTCATCGGGGGGAAGTTGTATGCTGGGCCTGAGGTCGATGTGTGGAGTTGTGGTGTTATCCTGTTTGTGCTGCTGTGTGGAAAGCTACCCTTCGACGATGATTACATTCCTAACCTGTTCAAGAAGATTTCTCGTGAGTGTTTCTGTCTCGCCTGTCCTGACAGCTTTTCTGATGTTTCGAAGAGGGGAAATACTCGATGCCATCGTACCTGTCGCCCGACGCCAAGGACCTGATCGCTCGCATGCTCGTCGTCAATCCGATCCAGCGCATCACCATCGCCGAAATCAGGAAGCATCCCTGGTTCAAGAAGAACCTCCCAGAGTACCTACTGCCGCCGAAGGAAGAGTTCTTCGATACGGGTGTGGATATGACCAAAATCCCGCAACTGGAGGAGCTCGAGCGCGGTCCGGCACAGCGGCTGAAGGGCGAGCTTCACGATGCCGTCGTCGGGAAGCTGGGAAGCACCATGGGCTATGCTAAAGACGATGTCCAGGATGCGCTCACCAAGAACGAGCCGTCGGCGATCAAGGACGCGTATATGATTGTGCGCGAGAATCAGATGATGATCCGTATGCGTGCCCTCTTTCATGCTTTACCTCGATACTAAAGAAATACAGCCCGGCTATCAATGAATGCAAAGAACGATGGATTCATGGCTCAGTCGCCACCGGCCTGGGACTCTTGTATGCCCGGCTCCCCGCAGAGCTCGCGACCTCCGAACTCTCCGTTCACAGGCCCCCACTGGGGCAACAACATCAATCCTTCCCGCACTGGCTCACCACTTGCTCTGAACCCGAGCAATTCTCCGCGATCCGCTGGCCTCGGTATCACCACGGAAGAAGAGAACCTGACGGCAAGTCCCCAGCTGTCGGCCGCGCACTCCCCCGCTTCATCCATCTCAATCCTTCCGTCCTCGATGCCTGCCTACCACCAAGCCGTCATGTCGGGCGCCAGCCCGTCCACCACCAGCGGCAGCTTCCGCCCCAGCGGCATGAAGCCACGCACGCTCGAGCGCTTCACGCCGGTGGTCACGAACCCGCCGGGCACGTCGACGTCGCGCAAGCCCAAGCAGACCAAGTGGCAATTCGGCATCCGCAGCCGCAACGCGCCGCTCGAAGCCGTCAGCTGCATCTACCGCGCGCTCAAGCGTCTCGGCGCGGAATGGGTCGACACTGGTCCGCCCAGCAGCGAGGACTCGGACCACGAGGACTCGGACGGCGACGGCGACGACGACGACGACGACATCTACAACTCTGAGACCTCTGACGGCTCCGAATCCGCCGCGCACATCGAGCACCCACACACGCACACGCGCCCGCTACCCGCCTCGAAGAAACCCGAGCGCCGCCGCGCGCCAAAGGATCCATGGATAATCCAAGCGCGATGGAAGAAGTTTGCGCCGAACCGGCGGGCCGACGACCCCGCAACATCGCCCGTCTCTGGCGGCGGCGGCGCCCCCACCGAAAAGAAGGAGGAGGACTGCGTCTACGTCCACCTCACCATCCAGCTGTACCAGCTCGAGCACGATAACTACCTGGTCGACTTCAAGTGCGCGGGATACGAGCGGCTGCTGCCGATGGTGGTTGGTGCCGGGGGCGGGAAGAAGAAGGTCGGGTTCGAGGAGACGCTGGGCGGCGATGCCGAGGGAACACTCACTGGTCAGGGCGCGGGAAGACGCGCCGAGGACCAAAAGGAGGTTAATAGTCCGTTCCCGTTCCTGGATGCCGCCGGCGCGCTGATTATTGCGCTCGCGGAGGCGGGGGATTAATATTTTATCTTATCTGGCGGGGAGATTGGGGGTGTAATATTTGCTTTGCTTTGCTTTTTTTTTTGTTGGGCTGGGCTGGAAGGGCTGGAGGGGGCAGTGCGATGAAGAGATGATCAGATGAATTTCACGTTGCGTTTTTGTTTTGTTTTGCTTGATGAAGTGTGTGTTGTTACAATTACCATTTTACTTGTATGCCACCACAGTGCCCTTGATCTCGCACCTATCCAGCACCTATCCAGTGATACTAATACATCAACTCATGACATGATCAACGACCCGCCCGCGCTCCCCACGACTTCCTCCCAACTAACCTCGCGGCCCACATACTCTCCGGCATCCATCCTCGCCCAATGCACGCGCACCGCCTCATGCGCATCAAATACATTCCCGAACCCAATGGACCTCTCCATGACCTCGAACCTGCTATCGACGATATCTCTCTCCGCCGCGCCCAGCGCTCCAAACCCCGCCGCAAACACGGGGAAGATGAGCATACTCTCTACGAGGTCCCCAGGCGGAATCGTCTCGAGCGCGGCGAGAATATTCCGTACGGCCACCCTAACCTTGGGGTGTTTTACATCGGCGACATCGGCGGCAACCAGATGCAGCCGCATCAGCGCTGCCCACTGCAGCATTACTCCGGCGGCGGTGATCTTCCTTTCCAGGTGCGGGTCCCTCGTGACGCTGCTGCAGCGCGCGGGCGTCCACGACTGCAGCTGCAGCTCCAGTGTGCTCGCCAGCGTGTGGAAGTTCCGCGAGGTCGCGGCGCTGTGGTACCGGATGTGACGGACTTGTGCGAGTTGCGAGATGTCGGCGATTATTGCGAAGAGCAAGTGCGAAGTGCCGAATAGCGCGTGGGCTGGTAAAGACGGTGAGAGGAGGGGCGGGAGGTAGAATTGTTGGTCCAGGAACGCGGACTTGGAGGAGGAGAGGGTCGCGATTGCGTCGAAGTATGCGACGGCTTTAGGGGGTCAGTTACGGAGGGCGGGGGGCGGGGGGCGGGGGTGGCGTACTCTCGATTAAAAACCGCACCTCGAGCGGATAACTCATCGGGCCGCCACGTTCATTAATGATCGTAACTGCAGCCTGGAGGTGCAGGGGCCACTTGCGACTCTTCCCCTCACAGACCTCCTGGAGGCAGAGGAATAGGACCGCAGCGAGACCCTCCATCGCAGCGTCCTGCGTGCCGCGCATGAGCAGCTGGTTCGCCAGCTTCAGCGCACGGTTCTGGTACTCCACCGCCGTCACCTCGAAGCTCGAGTGGATGCGCTTCAGGTGCGTCGCGGAGAGCCCGAGCAGGGCGCTGCGCATCGCCGGCTGCGCGAGCGCCATCGGCACGAAGAGGGTGATGAACGCGTTTATCTCGTCCGGGACGACGGATAACGACCGGCTGACGACGTGTGTGTAGTGCTGGAGAAGGTGCTGCTCGTTCGACGTGCACCCGTTGTACAGGCTGAGGGGGGTCAGTTGCAGCCCCGGGCTAGAGGCGTGGTGGAGCGGCCGGCGGACGGCTGTGAGGGAGGTGCAGACGGGTGTGCTGCTGCTGGTGGATGGGGTGCGCCGGTGCGCTGCCGACGGGCGCGGTGGCGGCGGCACCCGCTGGCACCCGAGGCCCAGACGGTTACAGTCGCCGCAGACGGGGAGGGCTTCGTCGCATTTCTTGCGTCTGGGAGGAATGGTCAGCCTCCAGTTCACCACGGCATCAGAGAGCAATACACACCTCTGCTTGCAAGTGATACACCCGGACCGGGTCCTCTGCACGCGCTTGATCCTGCACGCGGGCCTGCTGTGGTGTCTCTGCTGCCCGGCGGCGTCGGCGGCGGGGGAATCACTCTCGCTTCCGGCACTAGACACATCCGCGGCGGAGACGACGTCGTTGTGCACCATCCCCACCACCACCGGCGGCGGGGCCACCACTTCCTGTTCCGCAGTCGCAACAGCAGCCGCAACAGCAGGCTTCTTTCGCGGCCGGCCCATGGGCTACATCTCCCCACACACAAAGGACTGCATTAGCCAAAGCTTCTTTTTTGTACACATGTATTGTGTTGGTTGGTTGGTTGGGTGCCTATGTATGATGGCATTGATGGGAATATATATCCTCCCGTCGCGCGCGCGCGGGCGGGAAGAAGCGACCGACCGACAGACCGACAGACACGTGGGGTGGTGGGGTCGGTCGGGGGATATATTTTTAAAAACTCTCCTGGGCGTCGGGCGATGTTCGGCGACGGAGGGTTTTCGCATAGACATCTCCTCTGGTGCAGTGGTGCTGGATATAAAGAAAGAAGGACTGTGGGAGAGGGTATAAAGTACCTTGTGGATCCGGGTGATTGCGCATGGTAATTCCAGTCCTTCCCGTCGCAGCACATCCATCAGCATCCACCACTCTTCGATATATCTATGGAGGATAGAGATGGTACTCACTGGCACACCGCGAACACGCGCCACCGCCGTCGACACGATCGCACACCTGCTTGATGGCGGCACAGCGATCACAGGCTTTCAGTTTCGGGGTCTGGGTCTGGGTGGTCTGGGTCTGGGTTGTGGTTGTTGTCGCCGCCATTCTTCTTCTTCTTGCCGTCGCGAAAAAAACTAACAGATTCTTTTGGTTGTCGAAAAGTCGCCGCGAGGAGACGAGATGAGCTGAGGTGATGCTGACCTGATTGATTGATGATCTGCCCAGTCCTGTCCTGTCCTGTCCTGTCCTGCTCTGCCAGCTGCCTGCCTGCCTGCCTGCCCGCTGCTTTTTAGAGGAAAAAGTATGTCCCGACTATGGCCCAACTCAAACTCGAACGTAACTCCCCGCGGATGTGCCGTGAAGGCCTTCTAGCTAAGTTAACTAATGGCCCACTCACTCACTCAGGGCTGGCCTGCCTGCGCGTTGCATTGGGCCATTGCTTCCCCGTAGGCAGAGTAGGGGGAGTAGGCCGTTGGGGGCCGAGGGGGGGGAAGTTTTTGCTGTTAGCGGTTAGCGCGTGGTGATAAGCTCTGCACTCGCCGGCCACGAGGGGGGGAAAGGCTCGGGGATGGCCGTGATGGTGGTGGTGGTGATGGTGTTGGGATGGAGGGCCGGTGTTCACGAAAGCCAGGACATAGGGTACTCTACCTGTGAAGGCCGGTACCGGTGCACATGAGGCCGTTTCGAAGAGTCCTCCTCGTGCACCACTCGGCCTCTCCTGCCATCTTCCCCCGATTGTCCCCCGAGTCCCGACACCTTCACCCGTCCATCTCCATCGCCACCTTCCCTACTCTAGCCTCGCAAGCCTCGCAACAGGGCTGAACACAAGCATCCGACACATTCCAAACCCACAGTCCACTCGCCCTTAGCACTCGCCTAATCCCTCGGCAAGCCCATCCCATCCCTTCCCATCCCGAAAAGAAAAGAAAAGAAAAGAAAAGAAAAGAAAAGAAAAGAAAAGAAAAGAAAAGAAAAGAAAAGAAAAGAAAAGAAAAGAAAGAAAGAACAGAAAACGGCTTCCCTTCCCTTCCGGTTTGCAGTCTTGCTTGCCGAAACCAGAACCATAATCCGAATTCCATAAATATTACGCAATCCGCCGCGCCGGTCCCCGGCCTCCGGCCCTTCGGCGGGTTGAACAAACTTGAACTTTGAAGAGTAAGAGCATGCACGCATCGGCCCACTTTCAAAGACAAAAGTTCCCGTCGCGTCGGTCGGTGACACCCATACGGTACTCTAGGTAACCACCCCCTGGAGGTTCGGGGTGTTATGTAAGGCTGTACTCTACATGATGAACAGGTACCGCCTGCTCGGGAGTCGGTGCCGCTGTGTACATACTGGGTACATGACTAAAAGGTGTGCGCGTGGAAGTGGTAGGCGACGGTGCGGGTTCGGGTTCGGCGATTGATACCGAAGGCCGGTGGGCACTGGGTGACTGAGGAGTCAGCCGTATGGAGATACGGGGGCCGATGAGCGAGGCTGGGTGCGGTGACACGGTACTGGTAGTGTACACGGCAACTACACCATCTACATACGGCACGGATCACCCGTCAACGTCCTGACCCAAAATGTGCAACGAGCGAGTCAGCGCGACTTGCGACACGTGACATATCCCGTGCACTCTCTTGTCTGGTCTCGTCTCTCGTCTCCCGTGAACGTGAGGTGAGTATCCGTAGAGTACTAGTATAAGTGTATCCCATGCACCCATCCATCTATTATCATATCATACACTCCCCCCGCCTCCCCCCCCCATCTCCCCCACCACCCCCTTTCTCCTAATCATCTTGAGCTCAATCCAATTTCTTCCCCGCCTTCCCCGCCGCCTTCCCCGCCTTCTCAAGCGTACTCCTCACCGCGCCCTTCCGTCCAATATCCCAGCCCCACCCGCGCAGGGTCTTGACAACCTTTGGCGTCACCGCGGCCGTCAGCGGCACGCGCACAAAAATGAAGCTCTTGTGTATCGCGTAGGCGAGCGCCAGCTCCGTCCAGATGCCTGCGTGGTGCACTATCATCAGCCCTTGCCCCACCCCCCTCCCCACCCCCACCAAGCATCAAGCAAAAGAAGGGAGTAACTTACTAGCCGCCCCCCTCCCCCCCTCTCCCTCTGCCTCCCTCAGTTCCTCCAGCTCCCCCTCCCCCCTCCCCTTACGCCAAACCGGCAACCCGGCCACAGGCGCAGCAACATTCCACCACCCCCTAGCGTGCGCCACAACTACCTCCTCGTACTCGCCGATGCGCTCGGAGCCGATCGTGCGCACGGCCAGGAAACAGAACGGGAAGTCCAGTGCGGAGAGTGCGAGGTATACGCCCAGGGCGGAGTAGCCGTATTCTTTCGAGAGGGACTTGAGGCGGGCGGAGAGCGTGGGTTTCGAGGCGGGTGGGGGCGGGGGTGCGCTGGGGCGGGGGGTGGTGTGCGAGAAGGGGCGGCGAGGGGTGGTGATGGGGCGCCGTGGTGTAAGTATGTGCGCTGTGCGGAATAGAGGCCGCGGGAAGAGGCGGGCAGACATTGCGGCGGGGTGTGGTCTGCGGTGCTGGGTGAGCTTGCGGGCGGTGGGCGGTGAGCAGTGGGGTCGCGGAGAAGGACGGGACGGGCCGGGGGTGCCGGGTGCGTGGTGCGTGGTGCCGGGTAAACGGTGGTGGTGATGGTGATGGTGATGGTGATTCGGCGGTGCGGGATGCTGCTGCTGATGATGATGACGGGGATGATGTGAGGTGGTGGATGGTGATGGAGTTATACATAAGTACCTACGGTGCTCGGGTACCTCCGGTGGCGCGTGTCAGCCGTTGGGATGGGTACTAGTTACTCTAGATGTTGGGAATTTGGGATAGGTAGATGTTGAGTAAACACCTGGCAGCAACTGCTCGCATACGTACCGAACCTAGATGGTATCTATGAGGTAGTTGTGGCTGCTGCTGCGCCCCCGCACGCTGGCCGCACTTTTGGGCAACTAGTAGCCAGCTCAAGCGGCAATCTCCAGCGAGTCTGCGATATTTGCCCCTCCAGTCTCGACTCCCACTCCCAGTCTCGACTCCCACTCCCAGTCCCGGGCGGACACGAAGAAATACCGGTACCGGCGCCGGAAAAAACTCGGGTGCGGCTCCGCTCACGTTACTCGCACTAATCAGTACAACACCACCACGCCCCGCCTACGTCAGCAGAACCTCACCCACCGTCCACCGTCCACCGTCCACCGTCCACCGTCCACGCCCAACAAACAGCAACAGCAGACGAAACAACACACTGCCCCTACGACCACGACCACGACCAGCACCAGCACTAGCACCACCAGCAGCAGCACCAGCAGCATATCTCTCCCACGCACACACGCACAACCATCCGCCAGCCCTTCCGCCGCCGCCGCAGCCGCCGCAACCCCAATGCCCTCCAAAAACATCATCGGCACGCCTCTGAAAAAGCTCTGGTACACATGGCGGTCCCACCGGTTCCCATGGCGGAAGACCTACTTCATCGGTCTGCTCTCTCCCTCTTCCCCTGCTCCCTCCCCCCCCTCCCCTCTTCCCCGCTAACCCCCTCCCTAGGAATGGACCTCAGCGGCAACACATTCTGGGAATACCGCGACCGGCTAGCCGCGCACCGTCCGCGTCGGAGCGTAACCTTCTCCGACCCCAATCTCGACTGGGTAGACTACGCCTCTGCCGTCTCTCCAGCATGGCACCAATGGCTTCGGGCGACGCGGGTATCCGCGCCCACAATCGAGGAGCAGCGCGAGGATACGCGGCGCCAGGAGGTGCTGGCGGTTAATGCGGCCCGCGCCGATGCACGCTGGGAGGCAATGCCGAGTCTGGTTAATGCCCCGCCGCATCCGCCGAGGGACTCTGTCATTGAGAGTAATACTAAGTTTGCGAATGATTCGGGGTTGCAGAGGCCTGGGGGTGGGGGTGGCGGGCAGGGCGTGGGGAGGGGGGAGGTCGGCGCGGAGGTGGGAGGGAAGGATATCGAGGGACACAGGGAGGCGGGGGAAAAGGCAAGTAGCCCGCATGGGTTGAGGGGAGATAAGGATCCGTGGGCGGAGGCGGAGATCGGCAGGGCTAGGGGGTTTAAGCAGGGCGAGTGGGATCCGAATGCCAATCTACCCCGCGTTAGGAGTCGCGGGAGGAGTGATAGGTAGGTGATGAGTGAGTGAACTGTCGCCTACCGACTCACTCACTCACTCACTCACTCACATACCGAGCGGAGAGGGAGGGAGGGCGGGCGGGATGTATGTATTGTACACTATGTATGTAGGTAACCAGGTATCAATGTGTAGTATCCAGTCGTGTAGTAAACAGGTATCCACTGGATGCAGAACACCCATCGAGGCGTGTATGTGGGTAAATATGGGTAGGTAAGCAGGTATCAATGTATTGTGCTCGTAGAGCGCCAAGGCGTGTATGTAAGCAAGCAGGTCTCCCTCAATGCTCATACTTTGCATGTAGAGTATCCAGGCGTGTAAGCAACTATAGTACCGGGATTAGCCAATCGACGGGTATTCCGCATTCCAAGCGCCGCTTCCACCTCGGCGGGATATCATGCCGAGTCGAGACCCCTCCCCTCCCCTCCCCTCCCCTCCCCTCCCCCTCTACTCTAGAGTCTTGGGGGTTAGTCAACGAGGGTGAAACACTGAAAAGGCCCCCGGGTTTCATTCATTCACTCATCCATTCGTTCACATGTGTATCTATACATATGCGAGTGACGCCAAGTGCTGGTGACGCAGTGACTGGTCCGGTGCGCAGAGATGTGATGTGATTGCGGAATCCCCAGTTGCAGACAGACGATATACATAGCTGACTGGGTACGGTAGGTACGGTATCTATCGACACAATAAACGAACCCGGACCCACCCCAATCCACCCCGCCTGCCATGCCATGCCATGCCACCTTACATACCACTCTGTGCCCCGCCCCACGTTCTCTACTGGGGGTAGTGGAGGGGATGGTGGTGTGGAGGGGGAGGGGGAGGGGGACGGGGAGGGGAGTGTAGATATACCTAGCATTCGTATGTACTGTAAGCGAAGCGAGAGAGGGGAACGGGAATGGGAATGGGAAAGGGAATGGGAGGATTCGTAAGCTACAGTATATACGGGGCGGGTGTTGGAAATTCGCGGTGATGACGGTGGGTGAGGTATCGTGTTCGTGATTTGAAGGCCAACGGAGTTTCCCGTACCATATGTACTTGTGCACTACGGCCTCGCGTATCTAGTCGTAGTCGTGTTTATGTAGTCGTAGTCGTAGTCGTACTCGAAATCGTGTACGTACGATTTCGAGCTGTAGGTAGGCACCGTACAGTATCTACAGACTCTCGCAACGAGTGGAGTACGGTAAAGCAATGCCCAGGAAGTTGGGCGTCAAAACATCCACCTCCAGATATCCCAGTCTTCTGTCGAACACCACCTGACAAACCCCCACCACCACTGTCCCCCGTCCCCCGTCCACCCCTCCACCACCACAACCACACCGCTCCCACTCCCCCGCACTCCTGATGAGTAACTGAGAATACAGTACAGTACGGTACAGTCCAAGCCGCTGCCGTTGCTGCTGCACAAATGCCTACCCATGATACCATCCCATAATTATCCCATGATACCATCCCATACATGACATACCCACCATACCCACCATGCCATACATGCCATACAGACAAAACCCCCTCCCTCCTCCGGCGGCACAGTGCTATATCCGCTCCGATCTCCGATTCGACTCATCGGCATGACGGCGTGCCGGTATTACCGCTGGCCTTGCTCCTCTCGTGCTCTCTCTCGGAGAGCATTTATCATCCCCCTCCTCCCCTCCTCCCCTCCCCTCCCCTCTCCGCCCCGCCCTCCCACACACCCTCCCACTCACCCATTCACCCCACCATCCTCCTGCTCCTCCTACCATTGCCCTCCTCACGATACGATAAACACACAAAGAAAGCGACAATGCTCCTCCTAACACAACTACAAAACCCGGTCCTGGTGGTCTACAGCGTATTCATCGCCTCGCTGGCGGCGCTGTCGCTGCTGTGCGCCGCTGCGAAAAAGCTCGGCGAGGACTTGAAGATTAAGCCGCCGGCGTCGAATCGCGTATGAACTGAAGAGGTACGCATATGAGCTGCAGAATGCAAAAAGAAAGAAAGAAGGGTGCCACGCGAGGGATGGAGTGCTGACAAATTGGATTGCTGGCGGACAGACAGACAGGCGGAGTTCTTGCTCCGACTTCCGAGAGCGAAAATTCGGTATCGCGGATGGTACAAGGACGGCTTAATAATGTGTTTCCTCGAATCTTCGGTTCTTCTTCAACGACAATGGCGACAACGACGACAACGATAGTAACGACAACAACGGCGACAACGGCAATAACAACGCCGGCGACGGCAATAAAACAACGGCGACAACAGCGGCAACAACGGCGACAACGGCGACGACGGCGACGACGGCCCTTCCTTTCCCTCTCTCCCGGCTGTTTGTTCACCCACCACCACCGACACCACTTATCCGCACACACTCCACTCGACTCCACTCCCTACCGGACAGAAACTCCACACGAGAAAATCCTCGCCAGAACGTCGTCGCCATGTACACCGGTACTCTGCAACTCTGCAACTCTACAGCAGTGACGTCGCGATCGCGCAGATAGTATTCCTAAAGCGGCCTAGCTAGTAGTTTTTACCACCCGGCAGGCAGGCAGCCCAGCGTTCGCTCGTTCGTTCGTTCGTTTTTTCGGCAGCGTCGGCAGTGTCGGCACGCTGATGTGTAAGCACCACCACGAAGTGCGCTAGAGTACCGGTGGAAATCGCCCACCACGAAAAGCACCACCACCATCGTGCAGTGCGCTAGGAATTAGAAATCGACGGGGCTCTATGTAGAAGACCGGATTCTGGGGATTTTCGGATTTTCGGATTTTCGGATTTTCGGATTTTCGGATTTTCGAGATTTAGGGATTTTGGGGAATACGTGCACGTGCGTGACTGCGAGTGGACTGGAAGGCGAGTGGGCTGGAAGGCGAATGAATGCACAGGAAGGAAGGAAGGCGCAAGGCGGTGCGAGAGAAGTTCGCAATACGGGCGGGGGGATGTAGATGGAGGTGCAACAGATGCAGGTTCACCGGGGGCGGGGGCGGGCTCGATGATTCCCTACATACATAACGACGAGCGTGTGTATGTATTTACATAACTTGTGCTTGCTCTCTGCTTGCTCTCTGGAAGGATGGATGGATGGAGCAATTCCCGTCACTGTCACTGTCAGATAAAATACCCTGTTCGGGCATAACTACAAGTCTACATACAACTGTGGACGGAGGCACTTTGTGGGGTGGGGGTCTCGCTCTTTCACTCGCTCCTTTTGGCTGCTGCTATGTAGTACTTCGGCTATATCCATCCCCTCCACCCATCCTCCCGCTTAATTATGCGGGCTTTTACCGCACACACCTACCGCACACACTCTATGTACATACAAGCTCTCCAAGCTCGCTCGCGCGCTCCGGTCCAGTCCAGTCCTGATTTTTCTTCTTTCCTGTCTGTCTATGGATCTGCCTCTTTGAGTCACAGCCCGCCCGGGTCCGGGAAATAAAAGCGAAGACTTGGACTGGGGAATGGAGGATAGTTAGCTGGAAATGTCGAAGCTTCTTCTAACCTCACTCCCTTGAACCTTCATCCACGAGAATTTCAAAAAGCTGCTGAGCTGAGCGGCGTTGCCTATTGATTGATTTGCCACACGATGCCGCAACCCGCGCCGCAACCCGCGCCCGCGCCCACGCCCGTGCCAATGGCCGTACCAATGGCACCACCCGCCGACGCCGACGCCGACGACGAGAAGGCCGACTCCCCCTCGAGCTCGATGTCGCGCCGATCATCGCGCCGATCAACCCGATCATCACGGGAATCGCGAGAAGACGAGGTTCGAGAAGTGGAGGTGGTGGAGGTGGTAGACATGGGCCTGCAATTGACGTGCAGTCTCCGCAGCGGCGTTGGGCCGCGAGAGCTCGAGCTCGAGAAGCCGCCGGATGGTGGGGCGAGGGCGTGGTTGTGCGGTATGTCCACTGTGGCGTCGCACGGGGGAGGTGGGGGGGTGGTGGCTGACGGAAGGGGATGGGGTGCATGTAGTGCTCGGGGTTCATCTAACGGTGTTTACCACTTGGGGGTTTATCAATGTTTGTTTCCAAGGAAAAATATTCAGGGAGTGGATGGGTGGGTGAATGGGTGGATGGGTGTTGACTGTCCGTCCGCAGAGCTTCGGCGTATTCCAAGCGTACTACGCGACGACTCTGGCGGCCTCACCCTCGACAATCAGCTGGATCGGCAGCATCCAGATCTTCCTGCTGTTCACGCTGGGGACATTTACCGGGCGGGCGCTGGACGCCGGGTACTTCTTCGCGGTGTACCGTCTCGGGAGCGTCCTCGTGCTCCTCGGGATCTTCACGACGTCGATCAGCGGCGGAAGTTTCGCACGCATCTTCCTGTCGCAGGGGCTATGCTGCGGGCTCGGCAGCGGCCTGATCTTCTGTCCCGCGCTCGCGCTGAGCTCGACGTACTTCCGCCGGCGACGGAGTCTGGCGCTGGGGATTGGCGCGAGCGGCAGTGCGACGGGTGGAATCGTTATCCCGCTCGTTGTCCAGACCCTGCTCCCAAGGATCGGCTTCGCCTGGACCGTTAGGTGTCTCGGCTTGATCTGTACCGTCGCGCTGCTGGTCGCCAATGTCGTCCTGAAACCCCGTCTGAAGCCAAGGAAGGTCGGCAGTCTCGTCGAGTGGAAGGCGTTTCGCGAGCCCACGTACGTGCTGTTCGCAATCGGTATATACCCTTCCCCTCACCCCCGCCTCCCCCGCCTCCCCCGCCGTCCCACTAACACCCACCTCACCCGCAGGCATGTTCCTCTCCTTCACGGGCGTATACTTCGCATTCTTCTACGCCTCCTCCTTCGCGCGCTCGATCCTGTCACTATCGATCCCCTCCTCCTTCACAACGCTAATAATAATGAACGCGGTCGGCCTCCCAGGCCGTATCTTACCAAACTACCTAGCAGACCGACGCCTTGGCCCCCTAAACCTTCTGATCCCTATCACGTTAACCGTCTCCCTCCTCCTCTTCGTCTGGCCTGCCGTCATGAGCCAAACGGGACTGTACATATGGGCCGGCGCCTATGGCGTTGCCGCTGCGGGGATACAGAGCCTGTTTCCTGCTACGCTGAGTAGTCTTACTACCGACCTGGAGCGCGCAGGCACGAGGATGGGAATGGTTTTCACTATTGTGTCGTTCGCGTGCTTGACCGGGACGCCGGTCGGCGGCGCGCTGGTGCAGGCCGCGGGGGGAGAGTATTGGGCTGGACAGGTCTTTGCGGGCACGTGTGTTCTCCTTGGTGGGCTGGTGCTCGCCGCGGCGAGGGTCGCGAAGACGGGGTGGAAGTGGAGGGTTAAGGCATAAGCGTAGGGGGATATCGTGCATCTTGGGGGTATATATGGAGGCGAAGTAGTGGTGGGTATATGGAAAGTGTAGATATTGGTGATGCTTATAGTAGACGCTGGGTTATGTAGATATGCATGTGCATGGAATATCACTCGTATGGACACGGGACTCGGGCTTGGGCTTGGGCTCGCGGTCGGGTTGGGGTTGGGGTCAGGATCGGGTTGGGATCGGGGTCAGGATCGGGCTCGGGGCTCGGGGTAGTGGCTACCGAGAGGAAACCTGTACGTACATGTGGTTGGTGATGGGGATCTGACTCTTGGGTCTTGGGTACCGTGGTATGTAAAGAAGGGTGATTCATGCGGATAAGGAGCCTTCCGTAACTAACTAAACGGGAGACGAGTCTCCGTGCGTGACTACATGTCTGTTTGAGTAGGTACCTACTATTCCTAAGCATGTATGTAGGTCGGCACTGCGCACAGTCAGCACCGTCACTCTCCGGAATCCGGATATGTCTTCTGCCGGCCAACTATCTACAAACATCCTGGGTATTTCTCCTCACCTCATATATGCCGAGTGATATACCGACCTACATATAGAGAGTACCCCGCTTCGAGGCAGCCGTGGATCCCTCCATCGTTCCGTTCGTAGATCTCACCCTGATTACGGTAGTGACATAAGGCTCTACTTTCCGCTGGGATGGCCAAAGTAAGTACCTACTATAATGGCAAGTGGTATGTACTAGTACCGGTATTTGATATGCCCGTAGATTTATAGTTTCAGTTTGTATGTCCCCCAACTATCTCGTTCCTCTCGCTCACTGTGAACATGCGATATCACTCGTCATAATATCTTTCACAGTAGGTTCCTATTCGACACATCGAATTTATTCCCCTCTCCTCTCTACTCTTTTTAACCTCCCTCTTTTGCCTCCCTGCCAAACCCACGATATAACGAAAATCACATTTTTCTATCGCATTCCATCCCACCCATCCCACCGACCCATCGATCCATCCACTAACCTCAGCGGACCAAAAACCCCTATTAAAACACGTATAAAGAGAAAGAGAAGAGAAAGTGAAGTGAAGTGAAAGCCGCCAGCAATTCCGTCTGGCCTATGCAATGCAGGTGTTGGTATGGTATGGTATAACAAAAAAAAACGGGTATGTACCCAAAGGAGTGGAGAAAGAGAGAGATCAATGCCGATAGCTAGCACCGAATCAATACATGTCAAGAATATCATCGGCGTATCCGTACTCCTCTGCCTGCGTGAGCTTCTGTGTCTCCATCTGATCGCGCTCCCATTCCCGTTGTCGCTGGCGCTCCTTTTCGCGTTCGCGCTCGAGGAACGACATTCTGTGAAGAGTTAGTTAGTACAAAAGTGAGACATGGTAGTAGCGAACGAAACTCACCGGCTCCAGTTGATCTGCACTTCTTCGCTGTTCGGACTGAGCGGTCTATCGTCGTCGCCTCTCTCCCAGCTCCCCTGTTGTCGGACCGCCTGGGCAGGCGTGGGAGGGAGTTTTCTCGGCGGAGTGGGGAGTGCTCGGGGGGCGATGGCAGGGCCGAGCTTGCTGAGACTGGATGGACGGGAATCGGTGGGTTCGGTGATGGGTGGGGTGGCGATCATCTCGCGCGCCCAGGCACCCTGCAGGAACCGCCGCTCTTCCTCCAGCTCTGCCGATTCGCGGTCGTTGTGGCGGATGACGTGTGCGGGCATCGGGCGGTCGCCGGTGAGGTGCGACACGATGTATCTCTCTCCCGTGCGTTGGACGGGCATGGTGGTGCGGTTCCGTTCGCCGGTGCGGTGTCGTATCACCTCTGCCGCGTCACGGCGGAACCGCTCAGTCTCCTCGCGCCGTCGAGCCTCCTTCTCGGCTTCGTAGAGTCGCTCGCGCTCCCGTGCCTTCTCCAATTCGCGCTCGAGCTCCCGTACACGCTCGCGTTCGCGCGCCAGCTCTGAGTCGGCGGTGCGGGATCGCTCCTCGCCTAGACGGGCGAATTCGCGGTGGCGCTCGAGTTCGCGTTCGCGCTCGATTTCTCGCTGCAGGTCTTTCTCGGCTTGCCATTCCCTGCGCTGCTCTTCCTCTTCGTGCCACCGACGCTTCTGCTCTTCGACCTGGGCTTGGTGTTCCCGCTCATCCTGCTCGCGTTCTTCCTGCCACCGGCGTTTTTCGTCCGCTTGTCGTGTGCGTTCGGCGTGGTTTTCGTCTTCTTGTCGGCGCCGGAGGAGCTCGCTTTCTTTTTGTTGTCGTATGGTCGCCGCTTGTTGCAGGAGTTCCTCCTTCTGCGCCGCCTCCCGCTCTAGCCGTTGCAGTTCTGCTTCCCGTGCCCGCTCTTCCTCTTCATGCCTCAACGCCGCCGCTTGACGAGACTTTTCCTCCTCGAGCTTGATAGCCGCCGCCTTCCGTACCTTCTCCTCCTCAAGCTGTGTAGCCGCCGCCGCCTTCCGTACTTTCTCCTCATCAAGCTGTATAAACGCCGCCGCCTTCCGTAGTTTTTCCTCCTCAACCTTTGCAGCCGCCGCCTTCCGTATTTTCTCCTCCTCCCGAAGCCGCATCTCCTCTTTCAACGTCCTCTCCTCGCCCTGCTTCTTCAGCAGCGCGCTCTTCTCCTCCTCATCTCGCCTGCGCAACGCCAACCTCTCAGCTTCATTCTGCTTCTTCAGCGTCTCCCTCTCCTGCGCGGTAGTGGTCGTAGTTTCCAGCTTCGGCATCCCAGCGCCAGTCGCCACCCCAGCCGTACCACCAGAGCCGGGCCCGGCCGTTAAAGGCGGCGTCGCCGTGATCTGCCGTCTTCCACCAAACATGATCCCCTGATTCCCCTGGCTGGCACCGCCCATGTAACCATACTGCGCGACGTTCCACGCCGGGGCCGTAGCCCCCTCCTGACCCGGCTTCGCCCACGCTGACACCGTGACCTTCTTTCCCGGCACGGTTGGTGCCGGTGGCTTCCCCGCGGCCCCCGTGCCCACCGGGGTAGCACCGCCCTTCAGCCCGCCCACGGTGTCCGGAAACGTGGTGGGGTTGAGGGAGTTGGCGACGCGCGAGAAGGCACCGAGGCACTGCAGGACCTGCGCGGGATCCTTCTTCTCGAAGAGGTCGACGGTCAGGAAGCGGTCGTGGGGCGGCAGCGAAACGGGCGGCGACGAGATGGCAGTCAGGAATTGCGAGATGTTCTCCATCTGTACGAACGGCATCGCGGACTTCTTCGGCTTTAGCTGCTTGCCGCCGGTGGTGATCGCGAGGTGGTTGGCCAGTCTACAGGAGTCAGCGGGGATGGGTGGTGGAGAACCCGAGAGATGACGTACCGGCAAAGCAGTGTGCCGTCTTTTAGAATGTCCATGAGGTCGCCTGCGGGCAGTGTTTCACCAAGGGTGGAGCTGAGCCAGGTGCTCACGGCCGCGGACGCCTCGGGAGTGTATTTTGATCGGCGGAGACGTGCGAGGTCTTTATCGAGAGAGGAGACGGAAGCCATGGTGACGCGGGCTGTGTCGTGCGGTATGGAGTATAGTGCGTACCGAGCGATAAACGAATTCGTGTGGACAAGTGGGAGGGTGAATGGGTGAAGTAGGTAGAGTGGTGGGATGAGGTGCGGTGTTTGGAGTTGAGTGGGATGTTTTCAGTTTCTTCGTCTCCTTTTTTCTTGCTTTTCTCGGGATAGACGGGTCCAGTGCGGCTGGAGGACTTGTTTCTCTCCTTCTGGGCGGTAAGATGAGGGTCGGGCTCTGACGAAGAGTGTTGGTATTGAGGGAGGGGGACCGTGTGGGGCTCGCGAAATGAACTGTAGCCAGGATCAAGGATTACGTAGGCCGTGCCGGCGGTGGCGAGTGCTGTCACTGCTGTGGCGTTTTTCTGCTAAGAATAGGGAGCACAAGTTTGAATGAGGATTGGGTAGAACGGAAAAATCATCACGGCATTCGTTACTACGGAGACGCATGCTCTTTGATACAATCCGACTCCGCCGACCCATCTCGGTCACTTCTCCCATGATATCTCTCGCCATTAAAGAAGAACCCATCAACCCGTCGCTCGATCCCATCCCGCAACGTATCTACTAGATGAGGTGCTTGCTTCTGAAGTACGCCCTGAGGTACACGACCTGCCACCCTCCGAGTCCCACCAGCGTAGCCATAACCGCCAAAGAAAAGAACTTGACACGCTCGTTGGTGCTCTCGTTGGTATCTCTGAGCTTCTGCTCGCGCCGCCGTAGGTAATCCATCTGGTTGACGATCTCGGCAGTGACGGCTTCGATGCGTCGCAACTCGACTTCGACCGGCTTCAGCTTCTCCGCCGCTTGGATCGCGGACCAGTCCCGCGCATCGGCACCGATATCGACGTCTAGCTCAATGGAGCGAGCGAGGCCAAGTTTCCTGCCTGGATGGGGTCAGCAAGCACGGACAAAGACCGGTGAAATGGATGGGCTAGTACCATCGGAGAGCGTGTTCTCGAAGCAAACATCGAACGCGGCCTCGGCGTGACTGGTGAATGCCAGAGGCGTCTCGCCAACCGCATCCTTCGCCTTTCCGTACTCGTTGCCGACGGTATCTTTAATCTACCACGTGTCCTAGCAATCAGTCTCAACTCAACTTCTCGTCCCAACCTGCCCATCTGCAGTAGAGAAACATACGTAGATGTTGACGGTCTGCCCATCTCCCTTCGTCCCCGACAGTGTCGCCGTCACGACTACCAATGTGTCCTTGCCCACATAGTTCCGGATGCATCGCGGCTTGAGGTGCTTTTTCTGCTGCGCGGGGAGGTCGAACTTCAACGCCGAGGCGACGGTGAGGTACGAGAGGAGCACGGCGGAAAGCCACATTCTGGATTATATATTCTTCTTCTCGTCGGAGGTCGTGATGATCGTGCCCGATTGTGTGTTTCGTATTGGCGGTGCGGTGGTGGTTGTGGTGTGTGGGTGGTGAGGTGAAGCTATCTTTCTTTCGACAAAAAAGGAGACAACGCCAAAGGTGTTGCCAGAGTGTCACCGCGTGTGGCTTGGTCACGGTGGCTTGTGGCTGGTGGTCGTGGCTCGCGGTGGCGTCGGCAGGAGAAGCATCTCTCGCTTCAGCTGAGTTGGTGCGGTCCTCGGCAAACCACCACACGTGAAATCCACAATTGCGTAGGTTTGCCGCCGCCATGCCAGCTCACACTACTGCCATTACAGCCTACCACTGCCCCAGCCACCAACACCGCTCGGCGCACCTATTCAAACAAACACCCCCCATCACCCATCCCCCTCCTTGCGATTCACGAACCAACTTCCAATAAACCATCATCGCGAAATACTTGAATACTTGACGCCCTCGGCCCTCCCACCCACCCACAAACCACACGTCGTCCCCATGTCCGCTCCGCGATCCCGCCGCTCCGGCCTAATCCTCCCTCTCGCGCTGACCGCCACCGTCGCCGCCGCCTCCTACGCGCTCTACTACTTCATCTCTGACAGCGACACGCACGACACGAGCAACACCACGCACGTACACGAGAGCGACGCGGAGCTCAACCGCCGCACCGGGTCCCGCCGGCGCTCTGGCTCAGAGTCGGCCGGTAACTCCGCGTCGCGCAAGCAATCGATCGCGCTGGTCGTGCGGGAGTCCTCCGACCTCTCGGCGATGCTGAAACAGCTGCCCAGCCCGCTGCCGCTCAGCCTCGCGGACGTGTTCGTGCTCATCTACTCGCCGCATATCACGGCGCACCCCCTGAGCGATAGCGACGCCGCCGCGTTCGAAAACAGAGGCGACGAGGGAAAGGTCTATCGTCAGGCGCGGAAGATGTTTCCGAAGGAGTCGCCGAGGGAGCTCGTCATGCCCTACACCGATGAGGCCAGTCTGGTGCCAATGCTGAAACAGCTCGCGCCCAGGGGCGTCTACATCGAGAGCTCGCTGGTGGGGCCCGATGCGTCGGTGGTGAAAGATGTGCTCGGGCGCGGGTGGGTCGGCGGCGTGGTCGTGTCGGTCGAGGAGCCGGCGGAGGGCCAGAGGATCGCGGATGCGGCCGGGAGGCTTCTGAAGAGGGTCAAGGTGCTCGATGTTGCCAGGGTCGGCGATGATTGGACGGAGCGCGTCGGTTAGTGCGTAATGGCGATGATGGAAAGGGATGTATTATACACATGGCGGTTTGCTTGTACGTGCGGGAGGAGCGTGTTATGGATTGGGTTTGCGATGGCATAGGGGTTACGTAACGAGGTTATGACTACGATGAGTGGGCTGGATATTATACCAATTAGTTTAGTTTAACTGCGTGTTCTGGCCAGTGAAGAAGGTCCGAGTTCACACTTCTTATCTGTCACGGCCCTCATCCTTATTTGGTCATTCCCATAAACCTTCTGCCAGAGGCATCTTCACTTCCTTTCCGAAGAAGATATGCCGCCCTCCAGCCCATCCGTGTTGACGAACAGCAAGTTGCGACATTCCGTACCGTGGGAGTTGAGCAGAACCATTCAACAGATCGACTTCAAGGGGGCTGCTCTCGTACAGCTTGCGGAACATTATGGAGCATGTAACCGTGTCTTGAGAATCTCGAGAAGTCCAAATGGGATCATAACGGAAGTTATGCAAGAACCGAGTGCTCATAGATGTTTTCACCGCCAAAGTTCACTGTTCGCGAATCGCCACCAATGACCATTGACCATCACTTATGCCGGAATCTATATTTAGCATTGCAACGTTTAGCACTGTCTCAGACTCTCAGGACTCAGGAGTCCAGTTCCGCACCGTGCACCGCGTTCCCATCGCGTCCGCTGCATCCCGCTGTAGAGTACCATAGTCCTTCGTAGTCTTTGTGCCCAATCGATGCTCACCCTCGAATCCCTCAACGGCGATGCGACCTTCCTTCTGACCTTCTACGCCTCCGCTTCCTCTCACACGCAGTTCACAGTCCTTCTAGACCCGTGGCTGCACTCAGACGCGCCCGTTTTACACCGGAAGTTCTCGAACCAAACGCACTCTGTCGCGCCGACGCTGCGGTCACTGGCGGACCTCCCTGGACCCCTGGACGCGATAGTCCTCAGCCAGGGTAAGAGCGACCACACGCACCAGCCCACGCTGCGGACGCTGCGGACGCCGCGGGCAGGGGAAAAGGCACCCAAGATATATGCCGTCCCCGACGCGGCGAGTGAAGTGTGCAGCTGGCGGTGGGCGGAGCGGCCGGAGGTCGTAGTGCTCACAAGGGAAGGCGTCAAGATCGGGATCGAGGGAGGCGGGTCCGTCGAGATCGCCTATCTGCGCGCCAGGCCGTGGGAGGTGCCGAGTTTGCATTCCGCCGTTGCGATCAGGTTCGTGGACGCTGCGGGGGAGGTGACTTCGGTGGTTTTTACGCCGCATGGGAGCTCGGTGGGCTGCGTGAGGGAGTGGGTAGGTATTGGAGGGCTGGATCTGCTGCTGTGGCCGTGGACGGAGGTGAGGATGCCGTGGTGGGCTGGTGGCGCGATCTCGAGTGGTGTCGACGCGGGGAGGCGGGTTTGTCGGGAGATTGAGGTGGGGTGTTGGGTTGGTGCTCATGATGGGGAGAAGTGCGTGGAGGGCTGGGTTAGCAGGTGGTTGAGTAGGAAGGAGTGGAGTGGTGAGGAGGTGGGGAAGGTGGTGATGAGGAAGGCGGTCGTTGGTGAGAAGGTGGTCGTTGGCGGCGATATGGCGGGTATATAGTAGAACTTGGCGATAATGTGGCGGGTTCGAATTGTTCTGGCGGTCTTGATCTGGCGGTTTGTATGTACCTGCATGCTTAAGATCGTTAAATAAACTCCTGTTACGGTAATGGGAGACTCGGGGAGGAGAACCGGAGGGAGGTACTGCCTCGTAGAACTTCCCAATGCCGTCCGACCACGTATTGACCATTGCCCGTCAACCATATTCGTCCCGCATCAAGGTTTTCATCCAAGCGTGCTGAGATACCAGGACGGGACAGCAGTTCTTCCGGCATTGATAATATCGCCAACCAACCCAACTTCTGAATGGCATGAGATCGCTGTCAGTTCTTCCAGTATTCCCCGTTGATCCTGCCCCCATTGGACTCGGCACTCGATTCGGTGATGCCACTGCACTGGAGTGTATTAACGTCAGTGTTCAGCCCAGGCAACGAGATCGTCCACATACCCGATAGGGCTCGAGGGCAATTGATGATGTCCACGCCGACTACGTCACACATTTCGATCACCTGAAAATTGCCCAGCGACTCGGATGCAATCGAAACAGCTGGTGTACGATAGCTCGGGGGTGAAAAATGGTTGATATAGGTAGGTAAATCGGTGACCTTCGGAATTTCCCAGGACGTCGCCGGGTTGGCTGGCGGCGGCTGTGATCCGGATGTGGCGTTCGTAACTCGTCCCCAGTAGGTGATGGCTTGTATAGTACTGACACACCGGGTAAGGAAGGTACTGATGAGGAAGGCGGTCGTTGGTGAGAAGGTGCTCGTTGGGGGCGATGTGGCGGGCATATAGTAGAAACTGGGTGATATATTCGGGGATTGAGTTGTTCTCTTATGGTCTTGATCTAGCGGTTGGTACCTGTATTTCTAAAATCGTGAATCCGATTCCTGTTGCAGTCCCGGGAGACTCGGGGAGGAGATCTAGAGGGAGTTATGGGAAACTCACCATTGCCGTCCGACCACGATTGACCATTGCCCACCAACCATCTTCGTCCCGTATCAGGGTTTCCGTCCAAGCATGCCGAGATACGATGACAGGACGGTAGTTCTTCCGGCTTTCATAATATCGTCGACCAGTCCAAGGTCTGGATGGAAAGACATCACTGCCAGTTCCTTCCGTATCCCACCGTGATCCTGCCACCACTGGAATCGACACTCGATTCGGTGATGCCACTGCACTGGAGTGTATTAACGTCAGTGTTCAGCCCAGGCAACGAGATCGTCCACATACCCGATAGGGCTCGAGGGCAATTGATGATGTCCACGCCGACTACGTCACACATTTCGATCGCCTGAAAATAGCCCAGCGACCCGGATAGAATCGGAACAGCCGGTGTCCGATAGATCGGAGACCGGAAAAATGGATGATATGGTCCATCCGTGACGTTCGGAATTCTCCAGGACGTCGGCAGGCTGGCTGGCGGTGCTTGAGATCCGGCTGTGGCGTCCGTAACTCATTCCTAGCAGGTGATATCCTGTAATGACGCACCAGGCCTCGAGATTGTGGAACCATGGTGAGCGGTGATCGTTTGTGATAGATGGCGGACGCCGTGCCGCACGGGGAATGAACTAGGTCTATGTATAATCAGCAATTTCGGTCTAGTGTATGAGCGTAGGATCGTATCAGGTCTTGTTTTCACTCCATCACGGTCAGTATTCACCCAAAGAAGCACGGTGTAATTCAGTTGAATGCTCCCCCTCTTCATTTTCCCGCGCTAAATTGCACTTTTATGGTCAAAGATACCATCGCCAGAAATCAAACGTAAACTCCAAACCAGAGCATGAAAGATGTGTAGAACAATGCCAAACAAAAGCAAAGAAAGACCCCGCAAAACAATTGGTTAGAAAGGTAGGAATGGTAATAGGTATGAAATAGGAACCGATGTCCAAACTCCCGTAAAAAAAAAGCAAAAAAAAGCAAAAGCAACTCTCCATGAAACTCCAAACAGTACTCCCGAAAAACAAGACCAAATGGTCATCAAATAACCATCAACCCCCCTTCAATCCCCACTGCCGAGCAAACGGACAACAAGCCCAGACGTGGCTCCCACCCCACGACTGAGACCTGTCTCCGTTGCTGGCAGTGGTGGCCGTCGCCCGAGTCTTGCTTCGAGTATTCGAAGCCTAGATCACCGGGTTGTAGGAGGCCAAACTCTCCGGCCCTCCTGTCATCGGCCGTCCCCCCGGGAATTCTTCCTCTGGCGGGGGACCTCTCCGGCGGTTGGCCGCGTGCCAATCGTCGCCGTTGTCGCTTACAGCGACAGTCTCTGCGGCTTCGCCCTTCTGGGTAGCTGCCGCGAGCACTCCTTCCGGATCGTCCGGAATCTCGGGAGTGTTGCCATGGTCGTTGACCATGGTCTTCTCGGCTCCGTCCATGCGCTCGGCGCTGATGGCGGAGTTGGAGGACTCGTTGCTGTCCTCGTCGTCGCTGACGACAATGGCGCCACTAGCGCTGTTGTCGTTGGAGAACGTATTCTCCGCGACCGGGTTGTCGCCGTAGCCGACAATTCGGCGAGCCGCCTTCTTCGCCCGCACACTTCTCTTCCCGTCGGCATTCTGCCAGAATTGCCAGTAATCGACCGGCCTATAGCCGAATCTGTCTCTCGCGTTGATGTCGGCTCCCCTACCGACCAATAACCCCGCCAGCACGGCCTCGACCGTCGGCTCCCGCAAATTGCGGAGATGGTGGAGTGCCGTCCATCCGTCGGCATCGGTGTGGGCCACATTGGCCCCTTTCGCCAACAGGATGTCGGCCATCTCCACCTGCGCAAAGCGCACCGCCAGCATCAGCAGCGACATATTGCCGCTCTCGACCACACAACTGGGACTCAGTCCCACGTCCACACATTGGCGAAAAGTGCTAACACGCCCTTCCTCAATGGCCCAAACGGGCAACAGTCGGAACTTCGGCGCAACCCGAAACTCTGTCAGGAGCGCGAACCGGTAAAGGTGGCCATTGAGGCACCGGTATGTGTGAGGACTTGTCCTCGTGAAGTAATCCAGCTCTGGTACGCTGGGAAGATGGTTGAAGATTTGCGCGAGCACGTGCTCGGGCAAATCATCAAGGCCAACCATCTTGGCCCCTATAAATAATTGTTAGTTAACATCTTCGAGAAAGTTATGTGTGTATCACTTACCGGATGATCGATACCTACTACAATTAAGAGTAGCGAGGCAGTCGGGGAGCGTCTCCTATAAATAATTGTCAGTTGAGAACATCTCCGAGAAATCATATGTGTGTATCACTTACCGGATGATAGACACCTACTACAATTCAGAGCAACGCGGACTGTCCGCGAAGCTAAAGATGTAGGTGGTGGTGGTCGGGGGAGATGGGGAGGAGGAAAGGATGGGGATGGAGGATGGAGGATGGGGTTGGGGATGGAGGATGAGATGGGAGTGAAGGAAGTGGGTGGTGGTTGGTGGGATGGACCGGGGTCCGGAGAGGGTCAGAGAGTAGTTGGCCAGTGAGAGTAGTCGTACAGTGAAGAGAATCAACTGTGGGCTAGCTCGAAGGGGGGAGAGAGAGTCAGTCGAATAGTGAAAGGTGTGAACGGCTGGGTTGGGCCCGCAGTCAGTGAAGGATGTGAACTGCGGGGTGGTATGTAGGAGAGAAAGAGGAGTGGTATGTAAGGAAGAAGGAGGGTCGGGCAGTGACAGAGAAGATGTAGGATAGAGGGCGGTCCACGGTCAGTGAAGGATGTGAACTGTGGAGTGATGTGTAGGAGAGAAGGGGGAGTGGAAGGTAAGGAAGAAGGAGAGTCGAACAATGAAGGGAGGGATGGAGGGATGGAAGGGCGGTACACGGCCTAGCCTGCTTCTCAAAGTGGGATAGAGCCACGGAACGTAGTAGAAGGTCGCCCTGTTGTGACTGTCTCGCTCTATGCGGGCGTCCCGTTCTATGCGGGCGTCCCGTTCTATGCGGCCGTTCCGTTCTGTGCGGACCGTTGTGTGGGGTAACGTCTTGGACATATTTCCCTATAATTTCCTGATCAGGAAAGACCGAATTTCTGGTTAAGATCCTTAAATATATTCAGGATTCTCCCACCGGCTTCTTTCCATTGGATTATACGTTGGCAAACATATGGAAAAGTCTTGACGGAATGTGGGTCATTGGAAGCCGCTCACTCAGCCTCGTCGGTGTGAGGCTTCATGACCCCACACGGCCGCCGAGAAAAATCCGTCAGGACTTCCCTCTCTTAAAAGCAATCAGAATATGGTAAAATAGATCATCTTGGATTGTTTAAACGATGGTTTCCTCATCAGCATGGTCTTCACACTCTCATCAATGATGTTCGTTAATTTTCACTTCGACCGCCTTTTCGAGTCAGGTCATTCGTTTGCAGGCAGTTATCGCATGGGAGTACTAGGTAGAGCTAAATCTCCAGTGCTGGGTCACATAAGCACTGTGTTGGATACCGATCTCCGCCTCTGGCGTACGGGCCCGGATCAAGAGCCTCCTGGAGCATAGCGATGATTCCAAAGCGAGCGGATTGGCTACTTTCGAGATCGCCGTGGACGAGATTCCTGGGCTGCTCCTTGAGGTCAGACAATCAGCAACCTACCGAGTAAGGCGATGATCTGGGCAGCGAGGCTGATGGAGATGGAAGGCGGATTGTTACGCAAAGTGAGGCCGGTTCACATATCTGGCACAGATGTCTGTTGATCGGTGGACGGGCTCATGGGCAACATGTATACGGAACCGCACACTTGTGAGTCGAGGTGAGGCGTCTAAACATGTCCTCACTCGGTCAACTTTCAAGGGCAGTCGGTGCTTCGTGATGGTCGGAACCCTGGGCTGGAGCTCGACCGAGACGTCCGCCATCCAACGTGATACCCCCGAGGGCATGGATGAGAATCTCTCTTCTCTCTACACATCGCGATTCTCGTCCCACAGGGAGATCTATATCGCGATGACGTCGCTGTAGTAGGTGAAATGGGAGGAACGGACAACGACATAAAGCTGTGCGGTTGAACTCCGCAGCCATCGCCTGGGCGTACAACTCGCGCGAACGGGAAAAACACGGTTTGGCAGAGCTCATGGGCTCAGGCAATGAGCGGCAGGATTGGATAGAGGTGCCGAAAGTGTGGCAGATGAGATTTTCCAGTTTGCTTGTGGGTGGGATGTAGATATCCGGCCTGCTCTGGACCCATCATTCGTATAGGTATGTCGTATCTACATAGTAGCCACGTATCAACGGAATTGACAAATTATCCCCACATTCAGTCGGAATAATGAGAAGATGATAACCTTTAATGACCAGGAGAGCGATGATGAGTACCGGTCTATCGCGGCCATCGACGGGATTCTGATAGAACTCTCCCGGAGTCAAAACCTAGATGTTTTTTACTTGTACACGACAGGCTGGTGGTCATATCATCGCCTCTAACAATGAGGAAGACAGCACCTGAAAACAGCAAGAAATAGAACCGCTCTTCGCGAACGCCCCGGAGTCGAAAATGCAAAGCTGAGATCGATGTCCCTCCACCGCTGAAATGACTGCTGTTTCACCTCCTCCAGAACTCCAAACGGGTGGAAGGAACGCTTGAGTGAATCCTCGACTGCGAAGAGTAATATCTGAACCGGTACGATCGGAAATGGAGTCTCCTGTGAGTGACGGCGGATCCAGGATGTGGGAAGTCGGCGTTGGCCTCTTTCCTAGTGGACGAGCTTAACCGGCAATCAGAACTGCACGGCACCGTCTGCTTCTTCTTCTTCTTCAAAGACGACAACGACGAACAGAAAGACGTGACTTTTGCTCTCTCCGCACTGCTGCACCGAATCTTCACAGCGAAACACTTCCTTTCATCGCCAAGGGGGAGACGTTTACGGCGGACTTGGATGCGCTGTGGTGGATCTTCGTGGCAGCGAAAACAGACCCGCACTGTGGTGATGTCGGGTGTGTCCTTGACTGCTTGGATGAATGCGAGGAATCGACTCGCAAGGGACTCATCGAGTTGATGGTCCGCCTCCAAACAGTAAGATTCATTAAAGGGATGACTAGTCACGGACTCGTAGGAATGACTCTAGTCAATCCGCGTGGTGACGCCGAGGGGTATCTCGTGAGTGTCAAAGGTAATCCTCCGCGACTACTTATCGACTGGCGGGAGCTCATGGTGCCGGATGAGGAGTGGCTACTTCGACTAGGAATATAAGAGAAGCTTCAGGTAAAGACAAGCGGGGAGGGAGCGGTGCGTGGTGAAGCCTGGAATAGTTCGTACCGTACAGTAGGTATGGCATAAGTACTCTAGATTTACAAACGAGGGCGGAACGCGCACCTCAAGCGATGTGGATTATCCTCCGTTGGGAGAGATTGATTGCCTTAAGTATGTATATGGATAGCTCGCAGACGTCGCTGGGCATACAGCGCGTAGTTACGTCCTCTCTACATTACTGGCTGAATCCATAGAACGCGCGCAAGATTTGATAGGTGCCAGCCGACACCATGCATGATGTGCGCTTACACTACAAGCCGCACATCACCGACCCCGCGATCGCCAACACGCTCCGCCCACCGGACCACCAGCGTCAACCGGCCGCCACTTCCAAGATGGAACCTATTTCGTTTGCCGCATCGGTAGCATGCTTATTGCAAGTCGGAGCCAAGGCCATCAGCTTTCTTTCCACCGCGATCGACGCCCTCAGCACTACCCGCAACGTTCTCGCAGAAGCCCAAGCGCTACACGGGATATTTCGCCAGTTGGACGACTTCATCGTCAATTTCCCCCAGCAGAGCAAGGCTCGCAAATCCAGGATTCAGATCGAAGACCTGGTTGTCATTCTGACGGGCTGCGTGTGTACCTTCTCAGAGCTGGATAGGGAGCTGGAAGGCGTCAAGACGGACTACGCCTACAGCACCAAGTATCAGTTTAGGCCCTGGGACAACGTCAAGTGGGCAGCCAAAGACCAGGATATCGCCAGGATACTACGGAACCTACAGATGCATAAGACTTCGCTGAATCTATTGCTGTCAGTGTATACATGGTTGATTCATGGCTCTTCTCAATCGATCATCGATGTGTATCGATAGCTTCCTCGGGCTCCACCCATGTACTTCACCCAAAGACTGATGATCTGTTTCTCACCCGGCCAACACGTGGGTACGAATAGTTGCTGATACAGAGCTTACCTAGTGCATCAACTCAGGAACTGCAAAGCGACATCGATGAACTAAAGCAGTTCATAGCGACAGTCAGGGAGGCGGTCCCGGACCTCGTCGAGCGTATAGCAGCAGCCGATTCCTCTATGGTCAACGTCGCCCCATCCTCAGTCCGCTCCAGAGCTTCGATCTTCTCTAGTGCATTGTTAGAACCTTTCGCAGGATTCTGGGAGAGACTCAGGTGTATAGGAAAACGGCCAGGAACTCTTCAACAAACTCCTTCACGACTATCCCCACGACGGAATCCAAATTGTCTCAGCTCACCGGTCTGAGCTTAGCCCAGATATCGAATATATCCGTCATCTATCTGCGCATCTACAGTCTCGAGCTGAATAACGGCCCAATGTATGAGCAGCGGAAATCCAGCGATAACGTGGCGCCACTGCTCAGTATCACCGTGGAAGGACTCCAGCGGTTACAGTAGAGCGGCAACAAGATAACTACCACGGTTCGGTATCGCTTAACCCCCGTGACGGAGCGGGCCGTTATTTTACACGACGCAGCTCACAAGGGAAACAACGTCATGGTCAATACGCTTGTCAAAACACTAGGCATCGATATGGAGTCCCGAAACGACGCAGGATATACGGCGTTGCACTGCGCAGTAATCTTCAAGCAGAGAGATACTGTGCAACTACTGCTCGACGGCAGTGCAGACATCGAGGCCAAGAGCAGTACCGGCCGTAGGCCGCTTCACCAGGCGGCCGAGAACGGGAACACAGATACACTGCAGCTACTGCTCGACCGCGGCGCAGACATCGAGGCCAAGGATGACATCGGTTGGACGCCGCGCCACCGGGCGGCCAGGTATGCGCACTCGGATACACTGCAACTGATGCTCGGCCGCGGTACACACATCAAGGCCAAGTGCAGTACCGGTTATACGCCGCTTCACTGGGCGGCCGAGAACGGGCACACAGATACAGTGCAACTACTGCTCGACCTCGGTGCAGACATCGAGGCCAAAGATCGATACGGTAGGACGGCGCGACGGCTGGCGGCGCAGAGAGGATACGGGTACGAGCATATTGCACAGCTGCTCCTTGATCGAGAGGCCGCAGACGCTGGCGAGCGCAATAAACCCAACTCCCAGGCTTAATTCATGTTTCCAGCACAACAAAACCCCGCGTGGCCCAGTGCCACGCAATCGGCGAGGCGAGTTGAGGGAAAATTCCAGGTTCAACCCGGGTGAAAGTCCTTCTTGTTTAGCTGTTGCGGTTTCCAAGCTACCACCGGGGGTGGTGATGGTTTTTGTTTTTGTTGTTGGCGTGACGGAGCGAGCACAGGTTGGATATCACTCGGTCGTTTCACGTGACACACCTTGTGCTGCTAGCTGTGCAGGCGAGAAGGGGTGAAAACTGGTCTACATAATGAATAATTTCATTCGTTCATATTTCTGTCGTTCTGTCTTTCGTTCTGTCGGGCTGAGTTGGGAGCGGGAAGGGAGTAGGGGGGGCTGGGTGGAGAGCAATCGGGTCCAGTATCGAGCTACTGTTCTCCTATATCTTCTTTATCTTGTTTGGCTTCTCCGTTCGAGGGGAAGTGTTTGATTTGTTAATGCAGTTAAATCTTCTATCTATCTCATTCAACAAATAGTTTCTATACGCGATCCTACTACATAAAGTACTAGGTCAAAAGTTTTTGTACAGGGGCCCTTTTACACCAAAAATGCCCATTTGCAAGTGACCAAATCCCACCCTTCATGTGGCGGAAAAACATCGAGTCTTTCATAGAAGCTTTAGAATCTCAAGATGCATCACATATAGGAAGTCTGACGACTTTTGCTTCGGATTGGTGGTGCATGGTATGGTGTTGTGCTGAGAGGTATCCGGAATTCCTTATCACTAGTTGCCCGTAGGGCTCGATCGAAAGAGGTCTCGGAAGACTGCCAACAATCAGGTTGGCAGCGGAGGAGTAAGCACCAGTCATAAGCGTAGACATCGTGCTTATCGTCGACTACTGCAGTTGCTGCCGCTACAGGAGAAGGCTCGCGCCTTGAGCGAGCCTGCAGCCTTGTAAGGAAGAAGATAGCGTTCCGCTGTACGTTTGCAGTAGAGTACACTCCTATTACCTTCGATTAATGATCGTACCAGCTTTCCTCTTTGCGTTATCAGGAACTTCCGTGCTCACGTCTTTCACCATCACACGCCACATATCATTCGCTTGCATCATGAGAGACTACTCGGTGGCTGAAAGTGCAGTGTCGCCACATCGTGCTGGCTGGTAGCGGGTCCCAGCCCCACGCCGGCCAGAGTGGGCAGGAAAAGAGTGCGACGGTTTGCCATAGTCTAGGTAGGCTGCATGCGAACCAAACAGAAGATCTTCCTCTCTCTCGGTGGCTGATAACGATCTCTGCCGAAACCTCGCTGCAGGCAGTTTACGTAGGGTAGGTACGGTGTATTACTGACAGACTCCTGACTCCTGAGCTGAAAGGGGATCCTCTCAAGCACATATAGGAGGCTAGTGATATCGACGCCGAGTGTGTTGTACCTACTCGAGGACGTTGCCGGAGTCTCTAACAGTGAGTACGAGGGATTCCACGACCCATCCTGATTCTAAGTGCACAAACGCTACGGTCGAGGGAGTGGCTATCAAATGTACCTGCGGAAGTACGGACTGCAATGTAGCCCGGCGAGGAGTGTCGGCCGGCACACATCGCCGTAGGTGTGCTTCGTTCATCTAATCTAGATTCTACCCGAGCAAATTTACGGAGAAGCATGGGTTGGTATGTAGCAGTCACGAGGGAGAGACTCGGCGAGGGGAATGAAATCTTGATTTTTGATCGCTTGTTGCTAGACATGCGACTGAAGCTCTAGCTACCTACTGAGTTGTCTTCCACTTCGTAGATAGGTGGTGACCTTCAGATCCACGCATCTCTTTTTTTCCTGCCCGCTCCTTGGCTGCTCGCGTTCCGTATCCGGCACTTGCTCCAGGTGAGCGTCAGGAGTCGAGACTAGCATAGAACATCGTTAGTTCCCGTGGCGAAATACTGGTATAATAGCTGTGGGAGGTTACCTTTGTTCGCTGGTGGTTCCGTGCGATACAGCCACGTGGTAGGTCCGAAATCTACGGCGGTCGCGGGGATGTCCTGCAGAGCCAACATGTGTGCGAGTTCCGCTTTTTCAGCCCTGCGGTGCTCGCGGAGAGCGCGGGTGTTCATGACTGCATTTCCTCCGTCGGGGGCCGTCCAGTGCGTGTTACCGTTTTTATCCTCGTAGTAGAGCTCTTCGTCGGAGTGGATGATACACATGAAGCGCGGGAGCGGGAACGGGGCTGACATTGGTGTAGTTCCCGGTCGCTCCGGAATGCGTGTAGTGGGGTAGGTACGTGCATCTGCTTCGGGCGGGATAATTATAGCGGGGGCGGAGCCGGAACATGCTAAAATACCGAGTGCTATTTGGTCAGATGTGTAGGGAGCTCGGCGTTCGAACGCAGGCCGACACCGACCGTTATTCTCGGCCGCACAGTAGTAGATTTCGCCAGCTGCATCGCGACGTCGGCAACCATGGCCTTCCCCTTGGCCACATCGGCCCGGAACAGCACTTCCACGCTTGTTTCCCCGCCACCTCGGCCGGCAGAGCGCGATCACCGCTTCCGTCGCCCGCATCAGTTGCGCAAGCCTGGCGATCTGCGACTACTTTTGCTTCGAAAATCCGCGCAGCTCCCACTAGACCGCACGAGTACGCTGCCTCTGCAACCTGGGCTCCTCACGTGCGCGCCTGTGCACGCACAGCTTGTCTTCTCCATCTCTCACGAGCGCGGCCCACTCCTACACCGTAAGCGCGTACGGGATCTCTTTCGTGCGGTCCCACTGCACGCAGATCGCAGTGCTGAGAGGATCGTCATGTTCGCTCTCGGACATCTCTTCGGAGGTGCTGGAGCTCGTGTCGTCCCTTTCTGTGGAATGCGGGGAACTGGACGGATATGGTCTACCGACGCAGATGCTGCGGAATGTTACTGAGTAGCTGGAGAGGCGGAGTTCGAATATCGTGGTACTCGTCGACGTAGGTAGGTCAAGTCTCAATGCTGTCAAGCACAGCTGCGTCGTGCCCTCATCGCGAACGATCCAGCTAACTTTCGTGATTTATATACCATCGGCGATTCCGAACGGCTCACTGCCGCTCTTTCGGATTCTTTCCCCGAAGATTACCAATTAGCGACTCCCTTTGTCGTCGGAATGAAAGCCCCCACTGCGTGCAATTCTTCCCGAGTTGACTGCCCATTGCTTCTTGCGTTGTTCTCGGGTGATCATCGCGAATACACCTCGGTTCCGAGTAAGCTACCGGCATCGTCCATTCCCCGCGGTCACCATCCCACCCGGCGGACTCGATAGTTTACCGATACCGGAGGTTGAAAAATCCACCGCAGAGCATTCCATAATACTCAACTGCGGGAGCAGGGCATCTTTGCCGACGATAGTTCCTCCACTGCTTTACCACGCCGGCAGAGCATGAAGCAGCGAAGCGCAAGATCCAGAATGTTCCGCACATAGGTACATAGTCGATTGTTGACTACGTACATCTCGAGAGTTGAGGTGTGGGTTACTGGGTATCTATGGCTTTTCCTTTGTTTGGTCGAGTTTCTCTTTATTTCCGGCGGAGAGAGGAATGGAGCAGCTGCAACGATGTGGTTTCTTATGGGGGACAGGACGTCACAGGAGACCTGGCTGGCGTGTCTACACTTCCACCATGTTGCCTTGCTATAAAAGTCATCCTCAATCGACGATTCGACGATGAAAGGAACAAACAGTTGCCAGTAGTTCAAGGATCTCGAATGAAGTCAGAGATGCGCGAGTTCGCGGAATGAGGACCAACAAGGAATGAGCTAGAGGAAGTAGATACGGAGGAGGGATTTCTTTCAACTTTCGTTATCCTTTCGCCATCTGATCGCCTCAAAGGAACGGCAACCGGACAGTGTGTAGGTATGTCATCGCGATTCAGCTGAGTCGCACGCGGAGGATGAACGAACAAAACTAAAAGGTCACTGTGAGTGAAGCGTATACATAAATATGCGGCAGTGTGTGGCTTCTATCCATTCAAACCAATACCTACCGCACGAACCACCATTGCTCCAGATGCGCCAACGACGACGAAACTGCCTCCAACACTTCTATCGAAGTTGGCATTCCTTTCCGGGTGGCTTCCACTACGACTGAACCGACCGAGCTATGCTTCCATGACGACTGAGGGGGTCAACAGCCCAAGAGTCGCCGGAGTCGCCAGAGTAACCGAAACGCCGAGAAATCCCCGAGACGTCAGGAAGGAAGGAAGGAACGCAAACCAAAACTACGATTCTGAAGTTCGACAGCACAAAGGCCCAAAAACTGACTCATAATATTGCCCTCTTCTGCGTCAGTCTGGGATTGCCGGGGTAAAACAAACAAGAAGTCAAATTCTCATGTACACCATTCGAGTGTTCGGGGACGCAACGACTATCGTCCACTTTCGACAACTCCAGGGAATGTGGGAGCACCGTTGGCTGAGCGTGTCGGTGAAAGCAGCACACGCGGAATGATGGGCTGGCTCTCGGGGGTTCCGTCGGGACTGCTTTTGCACATCCGGGTATAGCCTGTCGGAAACCTTCAGAGACGAAGAGGACGACGTCAAGTTATCCTTGTCTAAATCGGAAGCGGAAGAGTCTGGGGAAATGATAGGCGACCGGCGTTTACGATCTATCCCCACACCAAGCGCCTCCCGGCATCGTTCGGCCTAGAGATCCGTTGGGACATGGAAGGCGGACGGCGAGCCGGATCCCGTTCAGGATGAGAGAGCTTTGGAAGTCCCGCAGGCGTGTACACTGAGGGAGGATGGCGCAGCTCTCTGATGGTCAGAAGAAAAATGAGATTTTTCTTCAGAACTGAGCACTGTCCGAATGCCGCCATGGGTGGTAGAAGTTCATCACCGGAATTCGGACCTTGGAAGGGGCGATACTTCCCCTCGGAGGGGCCCGCAGGGGACGTTGGATTCTGTGAGAACAGAATTACCTGCGATTGGGGCACCTTCACGCGGTCTTGTGAATCGTCATCTCAGCGATGTTTCGGGACCTGCGGGTCGCGCACTGCAGAGACCGTGCAATGATCAATTCTGCGGTGCAAATCCGTCGATAGACGCGACAACACATCACAAAGATATTCGGCCCCATGGGAAGAATCATTTATGCCCAAGAGCTATGTACCACCCATCATGGAGGACGACAACACGCTCTGGAAGTATCTCCTGACTGCAGGCGAACGCGTGCCCGGGAAGAGAAAGCGGGTGATAATTCATTGGTGCCGTCGGCAGGTCCACCACCAGGATGTGACCACCCGGGCCTGTGAGTTCCGGATGAGACAATCCTTACAAATGCCCCTGCGAACCGCCGGGTTCGTACCCCGATCACAGCCTCGTGAGTCAACCAAAATCTGCAATATTGGCTGCGAGAGAAACCGTCGGGTCAATAACTACAAATCCAGCGACGCAGAGGCATGGTCTACGTGGAAACTTGAGTCCTCACACGACGTCGATGAGAACGTCATTAGGGAGCTGGTTTTCAAGAACAAATTCCCGGCAAACTGAATTCGTCGGTGGCAAAAGTGATGGTAAGAGTGATGGCAAGGGTAGGAGCAAGGAGAACCATAGGGACGATAATGACAAGGAGAAGAACAACATCAGCAACGACAACACAGACGAAGACAACGTCGGGGGTGAGCGGAGGCGGAAGAACAAGAGCAGAACCGAGAGCAAGAGCAAGGAGAACCAAATGGACGTCAACGACGAAGATGTTGGCGAGGAGGAGGACGAGCAGGAGAAACAGGACGACAACGAACACGACATCTCATATATTGAAGACTACGTGTGGCGGAGCGTATTCCGGAAGTCCCTACGGTTCTAGCAGGTAGTCTCAAGTACGTAGTTCAGGGTCTGTGCGGATACAGAAGTAGAATGTATATTGCGACGCCGCTTTTGCCGTTTCCTTCGTGCCGCGTAAAGATTCATCATGTCATTTCTCTCTCACCATGCCATCACCTTATCCCTTTGGTGTGCTCTATCTTCATTGCTGGGACAAGCCGAGGCGGAGCGCAGGGGAAGCCACATCAGGCTAGAGGAAAGGCCCGCCGCGGAAAATCCACTCGGGCCAAGAGGAGATTAGTCACAAGGCCCGGGCGGATAAACCCGCAACGCTGAGATCCGACGGAAGCGAGAGACTGGGGTATGATAAATTGTACCGGGTACTTACTTAAGCGAAGCTTATTTCAACATCAAGCTCGAGTTTGCCGCGTTCTAAAATAATCCTGGATGCCCCCGGGCCCCGGGACCCCGAACGGCATAATTTTGTTGGCGGGAGATGGTTGTCATGATACATTACGGGCGGTTTCTACATGTTAAATACAGGTAGTTACCATGCTGGTGAGGCTGGAATGTTGCACCTCTTGGGTCTCCGCCCATCTGATTCAAAAAGCTCTGGAGTGATGCGGATAAAGTACAAGTTGTACGAGCAAATAGAAAGAGAACATTAACTTGTACATTCTTGGTTCCTCAAAATTTTGAATCATATTACCCTATGTACTTGATTATCTCCTTGGGATGTCACATCGACTGGCCGGTGATATCGCTGTGCATCGTAGTCGGGATTGAAGCGGGGCAACTCGGGCTCGGTTAACTCCGCTGGGTAATGGACACCGTTAACGGCTTTGAGCTCTTGGTGGAGCAGTCCGCACTCGGCAACTTCCGCTTCACTTTACGTTCGAACTCTTTTTCTTCGCCATATTATCTCTCTTGAGGCCGCCCACGGTACCCGTGGCACCCGAGCGTCGGCGGTTTATTTCCAGAGACACGGTATGGCTCGGAGGCACACACGACGGGTATCCACTCTCTTCTTTTGACGAGTACCTCAAGATCCGTCCCGGCGGAAGAGCCAGTTCCTTGAGCGGCCACGAGATGGCCGCGCAGCACCAGAACCACCTGACATTCGGCCTGTTGGGGACGGTGATGAAGACCGAGATCGCCGAGAGCACGCTGCTACGGCAGAACGATCGCGGTGAGACCGTGATGACCGACGCGAACCTCACCAGGCTGCTGCGGCACTGGCGCTATCGCATCTGACAACTCGTGAACAGCAAAGAATGTCGGCAATGGGCGGTCCGTGTCGAGACCACGTTGAAGCAAGCGCGAGCCTTGCTCATGCTCGAGTTCACGCACCCGCGAATCAGCTCGTACCGGATAGCGCAGATCCAGCCGGAAGAGATGGATGCCATCATCTGTCTGATCGCGTCCATCGGGGAAGCGGTGGCAACCCGGCATTGCGTCTCTCTGCGGGCAGCCAAGAGAGCTGGTGCTTGTCCCCTCAGCTACGACTCGTACCTAAAGATCGCGTTTTATCCCATTGCCATTGCCCACGCTTTCCATCACGGTCTCCATTTCATCCGCGCCGTGCTTCGCTTACTGCCAGCTCCCTAGTATCCGCGCCGGCTTTCCCCTACTGCCAGCTGCCTATTCGCAACCCATAACGTTTGAATCCTCGCTACCGATCTTTATTTCCGTCCGCGACGTCTTTGCATACCCCGCCAACAAGTCTTCCTCTCTCTCTCTCTTCTCGCTCCCTCCTCTAGCTCCCGCTCCTCGCCCGAAATCTCTCCCATCGCTCTGAAACAGCGCTATATCAGTTTCTGTCGGTTTTACTAGGACGGAGCCCTCGTACCGCGAACAGATCATCGGAGGAGTCATTACCACCGTCGTTGTAGCCACTTCAAGTCGTGAGCCGTGCGTCTCTCTACTCAGCAGGTTGGTTCAATCCAAGGGTGAGTTTCGTATTCTGCGTTCGAGTCTCTTTCTGCCACTGAGCTGACATTTGAAGGCATAGGCGCTCATCCAGGCACTAGAACCACCCTACAATGGATCACCTACCGCTTCCGCATGATCCTCTATATGGTTCTTTCGAAGTTCCGTGCCTGAGCACCGAGACCCACGATGGGGGAGACTTTATAAGCTTCCCGGAACGACAAGGTTGGGGGAAACGAACCATCGGGGAATCGCAGACTGTTTTCAAAGAGCCACCGAAGAAACTTTTGGCTTTTCTTCAAACATGGCTTTTCTTCGGGCCGATATCCTTGTACTCTGGTGAAAGAGTCGATCTTTCTGACTTCACCAGATGGGTCGGCGATCCTGGCTATCGAGTCATAACAACTGGCCGGCTGCTACCTATGATAAAGAACCAACGCCACAGCGTGGAGCAACGTCACCGTACTCTCTTCCTGTTTATGCAGGTTGTAGCAGTGCACGCATATTTAAGACGTGAACTTAGATCCTCCGAGTTTGCGCTGGACCATGCGAAACGGACCACGCTCCTCTCATTTCTCGAGACCGCCAGTTATAGGGATCCCAGACCACCACAAATTTCTTTGTCCATTGCACCACTTTACGAGGCTTTGCTCGCCGCAGTTGTCTGCGTATCGTATGGGAAACGCAGCACTACGCGTCTGATACCGACTGGAATATCTGGGGTATATAACATATTGACTTCGCGATTGAGAACCAATGGTTGGTGCCCGTTTGAAATATCATCCATGGGCAGGAAGCTCAACTGCGCCGAACTATACGTCATGACTCACCTAGAGCAGCCACGCTCGACTAGCCAGCATGCGATGATCCGTGTTCACTTAGCGGCCTCTAGTGAATCCGCCGCCACGCCTGTCAACGACAAGGAGGGAGGGTGCCTTCACTCTATTGGCCTCTGCACGCCAAACCAGTGCTCTTAATGTCAGCTCAACAATCAGACATATCAAACGAAACATGCTGATGGATGCATCAAGGCCGACTGTTATGATATGGTGATTGAAGAGAACGAAAGTTTCGAAATCTTGAAGGGCGGAGGCATACCTTTGATTCTCTCCATTGATAGTGACAAAGATAACCGGAAAATCACGCTCATCGCCTCGGAGCCTGATACCTCATATGCCGCCATCTCACATATCTGGTCGGACGGTCTGGGAAATGTCCATCGGAGTGCACTTCCTCGTTGTCAGATGCTCCGCTTGAGCGGTCTGATACGTAGCTTGCCCGGAAACACAAAGGATATCATTCTTTTCTGGATTGACACTATTGGATGTCCTTCGGGCGCAGGAGTTCAAAAGGAGGCGAAACAACTTGCCATCAGTAAGATGCGGCACACCTACCAGATGGCAAGCGCAGTGCTCGCTTTAGACTCCTGGCTACAGTACCAAAACCCAGCTTGTCTGTCCAATCCAGAAATCCTTTTAAGAATTGTTTGCTCCCCCTAGAATAGCAGACTTTGGACTTTGCCAGAAGGGGCCTTACCGAAAATGCTATTTTTCCAGTTTGCCGACGCCCAGTAAGATCTCGACGAGGGAATAAATCACTTCAACAATCAGCCCAGCCACGGTCGAATCAAAGATCCTCGCCCTCTCGAATGCCCTCAGCTTTCGTTCCACCAATGTGGCATCGGATGAACTAATATGCCTTGCTTCCTTACTCGACCTCGACGTGCTCGAGATCGCTCTAACTCCACCCAGCGACAGGATGGCAAAGTTCTGGAGCAATTTTGCGACTTTGCTCGAAGAGCTTGTCACCAACGACCGATCGCGGCTGAAAACCAGAGGCTACCGTTGGGCGCCAAAAATACTGCTATGTGGAAGTGGTGGAGCAGCTGTCTGTGAGAGGAGGAAGTGAAGGAGGAGCTGTCGGCGGAAGAAAAGGAATGTGATTAGTAGTGAGCATCGACCTTGGTGGGCATAGCGAAGGGCATGGCGAGGTCGGCCGAATGAGGAGGGGGGACTTAAGCTGGCACCCGCGGGTTTTCTTTCCTGATCATCATCTATCAATGAGACGGTCAACCCCCATCTCCGCTCTCTCCTCTGTGTGTGCTCCCTTCCTCATCACACTTGTTGGCCTGGAGAGGCGTTCGCAAAGAGCTCTCGCAAGACTGTCTTCGCCGTGGATAAGGTGCTCTCGTTGCAGTGAATACTAGAGGGAGAGAGACGAAGAGGTTGATCGTCCATTTTGTAGGTGACAATGACAGAGAGAGGAGACGTTTATTCTGTAGATGATGAGAGAGAGAGAGGGTGAGAGAGATATTATGTGACGACACTGAGGAAACCCCGTTCATCAGTAACTCTTCGAAGGGCGTGGAGGTGGGGGGCCCTAAATTTCCGGCCGTGTGAGTAGATGGTGTATGGGAGAGAGAGAGGGAGAAAGAGAGGAGACGTCTATTCTGTACACGATGAGATATAGAGAGGAAGAGAGAGGGAGGAGGCATGGAGGTTGACCGTCTATTCTTTAGATAATGATGAGAGAGAGATGACGTAGCCCGGCGAAGGGAACGGCGAAAAGAAAGATGACGAAGAAGTTAAGGTTGTATGCAACCTCGAAGAGCCATCTATTGTGGCTCTCCTCCGCTGTCTACATACAACGGTCGGTATCACTCCATCCGGTTAGGGGCTTTAGTTACTGTGGGACACAGCGGAAACGGCGGGCATGGCAGATGCACGAGCGGTGAAATTCCGCCGACCTGGCTAGACCAGATTCGGTGGGGTTAAACGTTCAGATACCTCTTGTGGATATACTGTGTCGGCCGGCCTGTCTGTCTGTTCATCGTCTGTCTGTTTCATCGTTCTCTACTATCTGTTCGTTATCGTTCTCATCAGGGTACTTTTCGTTGTTATTTGTCCTGACCTCGCTATTCAACTCGCAAAGTTTTAGGATCTCCTGAAGAACACAGGAGGCTCTTTCTTGGTTCTTGTCGTTTCATCTCTCGTGAAATACAATCGGTCCTCTCTAGCTATCACCAAAGTTGCCAAAGGGTCTCTCCGGGTCCTAGTGCTTCATTACCCACTCTTCCTTATCTTATCGCATCCGTTGCCCATGATCTCATCCTCCTATATATCCTACATATCGCTCCTCTCAGTGGTGACAGACAGCAAGGGAGAGGGGAAGGAGGAGGTAGGGGTTGATCGTGTATTGTGTAGATGACCAGAGAGAGAGAGAGAGGAGGCCTCTCGGACAGCCTCTCAAGTTCGCTCCCTCCCCGCTGCCCGCTGCCCTAACCATCCACACTAACCACATCCGTTTCCTCTCGCCGACTACTATTATCCATACTACAACGCATTCTATGACAATGGCGCATTCATCATCACCACCATCTCTGCTGGTTGCTTGCACATCTTACGTATTAACTATGATATTCGCATTTACTAACACCACGCATTCAGCACGAGTGAGTTTGCTGCATTTACTAGCAATAATGCATTTAGCACGGTGCGTATCTGTCACCAAATGAGGAGCACTTCATTCTGCGACATTTTGGTTGCAGCCAATGAGTGATTCACTCATTCCTTGTACCCTAGGGTCTCTCTGTACTGTACGGCGAGTGTGCGGGAGCGAAGGCGGAGGGTGAGGTACTAAAATGATGGCAATATGTGTTCTTGCATAATTACCTAATACGTGTCGGACCGGAAAATGGTACCGCTATGCACTGGCACCTCATGTCTGTGCTTTAATGGGCCTACAATTTGTAAAGCTCACAAATACTACGAAGTGGACGGTCTATTCGCCTCGTCGACTCTGGTCTATAGGTACAGTGCTAGCCGGGATCGTCTATTTAGCCTATCTAGCCTAGGTATTTGGTCTCTTATCTGATCCGATCCGAGTGATCGCTATGAACTCGTCTATCCTTTCATCATCCTTCCCGCCCCCGTCGGTCCCGGAAATCTGAACGAGCCATTTCGTTCGGTGCAGTTCCCGGTGACTCGGCTAGGGTGGGGCCGAGGATGACACAGCGGGAAGAGGACGTATCGGCGGGAAGAAGCGAATGAGGTTAGTGGGCAGCACCAATGCTGGCGGCTCTAACGGGTCGTATGCTCTCTTAGCCGTCTGCTTCTGCCTCTTTTCCTTCTTCTTCTTCTTCTTTTCATCATCATCATCCTAATACCTAGACGATCAACCCTCACATCTTCTGTTTCCTTTGCGTGTGCTTTCCTTTAGATACCTCGTCAGGCGTGGAGGAGTGTTGACCGACGAACCGCTCGCAAGACGGACTCTACCACACTATCGTCGCCGCGGACGGCCCCCCACGATCGTCGACCTGCCGAAAATCAGTCTGTATTCGCCGTGAACACGGCCGCTCGCACAGGACCCGACGTCCCGCCGCGCTACATATCGCAATGCCTTCCCCACAGCCACTGTCAGGGGCTAGTTACTGGCCGGTCGAAGATTGGGAGTACGAAGACCCTGGGCAGGACGGTTTCGAGAATTACTACAGCGAAGATGCATATAATGGTTACGAGTCTCCGCCACCATCACTGTCGATGGGCCGCGGCTCCGCTCTACCTCTTCGGTCGGTCTCACCCATGCCCGCTCAACTAAATTTCCGCAACGTCACACCCGATTCATACAGACAATTCAGACACGGCCGCTCGCACACGATCCGACAGCTCGCCGCAAACCGTATCGCAATGCCTTCCGCACAGCCACCGCCAGGTGATAGTTACTGGCCGGTCGACGATGGGGAGTACGAAGAACCTGGTCAGGACGGTTTCCAGAACTACTACAGCCAAGATGCATATACTGGTGACGAGTCTCCGCCAGAACCCATAGCGAGCCCGATCCTTGCTGCTGCAGCCAATTATTCTGCATCTGGGAATCGCAAACGGAAGCAAGGAGCTACTCTCGAGTCCGCAGGGGATAGTGGCACTGTCCGCGATGAGGAGCTGATTCGCCGTGAGATGTTGTCCGCCGCAAAGCGTCTCTACGGCCGATACTTCGACATCAGCGACAGTAACGCCGACATTCTTGTCCACCGGTTCTACCTCGATTTCGCCCCCGGTGTTCCTATCCGCGAAGCCGCCCGCAAACGCATCCTCGAGTTGAAACGGAATTGGCAACGCAAGATTATCCGCGCCATTCGAGATCACGTCCAGAGCGAAGTGCTACGTCAGCCCAACCTGCTCCATTGGAGCGAAGACAAGGTTGAGGCGCACTTCCACAGTGCATACGATTTGGAAGCGATGGAAACGAAGATTCTTAAACCCATCAGTAAAGTCGTTGACGTCAAGGCGATCTTTCGCGGCAAGCTCGCTTCCTTATACGTGGCCTGGTACATCCATGTGTGCCGGCTTATCCTCAAGGAGATAGCCCCGTATCTCAGATCAAATGACCCCGATATGCGTAAGCGTATTAGGGGCCACAGGCATACGGAGGAGGTCTACCACGCGTTCCGTACGATTGCGCTTCAGAACACCTATGAAGAAGTTCGCGTTGAGGACGTACCGATCAAGGCTCCTCGCGGTAACGGTGGAGAACGCAACAACAGAATAAAGACGGCGTAGATGCTGAAGACGACAACAGGTTTGCTGAGTGAAGGCTCGTCAGTTCACTATCTCTACCATCTTTTTTTGCTAATAATTTTAGGTTCAAGTGACGGCACGTTTGGGGTTTTCTCGCGGAATTTTTGCGTGGGATTTCAGTCTTTTAGGAGTATCTTGAGCTTGATAATGAGGCTCCAATTGTGTACAACGGGTATTTGTTTTTGTGCAATTTCAAACGCTCGAGAATTTTCTCGTCTCGGACTTTCCGAAGAATATGAAGCTACGGCCTAGTTATGGGGTCACAATCTCTAGATCCGACGTGTTTGTTACGTATTCGGGAAAGTCAGAATCCTTTTGAGGGAGAATAACAATGATTAGTCGGCCGCTATGAATCTCAGATTCGTGCGGGTGACGTCGGTTTAAGGTTCTGTAGCGGCCCGCCTGTGAGTGTGCAGCGATCACACTCCACTCGCTGTACTCTGGAGTGATATCTAATAAGGATTTGTGTTAGTGTTTCGTGTGTCTACCCTATGGTAGAGTTCTGTTGGGTGCCGGTAGATAATTAATGGGGAGCGAGCACGGAAGGATCATGAGCACGTGATGCAGCTGATGAGCACGTGATGAGGCTGATGGTATTATTGGTGGCTCGCGCCTTCCGGAAGAACCATTCTATTTCGGGCGGCGGAACTTAACGTTGTGTCAAAGAGAGGTTCATAAGGTGGTTTTTAAGGCGTGGCCAAAGGGATGACCTTTTCTCATCAAATATTCTTTGAGTGCCGTACATCAAGCTGTACGGTACACAGGTAGCTGTAGGTGTCGCGAGATAGAGAGCTCCCCGCAAAGATGGACAACAGGCAGCTGCATTAACTAGCGTGCGGTCGGTTGCGACACACCATCGCCAACCAGGGTCTTCATGTGCATGACAATTATGACTCGCGTCGTGGACGGATCCTCTCTATAACTACGCGAAGCTACAGCTGAGCCGCGTGCCAACATCAACATCACCGTGTACACACCTTCCATCACGCACCCAGCACCGACGATGCGCGCGCCAATCCTCACCCTCCCGCCCGAGATCCTCAAAGAGTTCTTCCTCAACCTCCCGCACTACGGAGATGCCATAATGCTCGCGAGCACGTGTCAACATTTCCACGCCGTATGGACAGCCAACGCTGCCGTGCTCTCTGCCGCATTGCTTCCGACGTGCCCGATCTTTTATCGTGACACGCCAGAGTACAACCCGTGGTCGACATGGGCCGTTGCTGTGCGACTGTACGATCTACGGCATGGTGTGAAACCCCCTCCCGTTGCATGGCGGAAGTCACACTGACGGTTGCCAGCAGCCGACGAGATCCCCGCCGACCCCCTCCTCCGGCTCCGCGGCATCCTCGAGCTCGGTTGTGACATTTTCTACACTAGCCAAGAAATGGCCGAGTACATCGGGGGGCGGTGCCCGCCGTACGACAAAAAGTGGGGAGGAGGCGGGAAAAAGCTTCATAAGTGGAGATGGGCCAACTTCAGCGTTCCTGCGACGGCGTCGCTGTTGTACGAATACTTCTACACGCTCGAGGTTGAGGGCGAAAAGTGTTTCCGCGACCGCCGCATGTGGGATGCCGCTGCGTTCTTGGAGTATCACTGGGAGCCGTCCTGGTGCATACCAGAGATGGACCAGCAAACAAGGGAGTGGGTGCGCGGCGCTGGTCACATTTTTACGGATGCCGCTTCTACTTTGGATAGCCTGAGTGTGGTCGTGTGCGAGCGGGTGTTTAGGATTTGCTTTGGCGCAAATAAATAGTTTTTTGATTAGTACATACGATTGATAATCGCTGAGTACCCGTCGATTCGCGTTCAATTGTGGGGACGCTGATGCTTATCCTCAGCAGCCATTGGCAATCTTGTGATCTCGCCCGGTGATAACACATATACACCGCCAAACTCCACAAATGCTGCTCCGTATCGGAATTCTCCGGTGATCTGGCTTTTCCTTGTTGATTACCGCGGTGATGAGACCCTTGCTTATTGACCGTGTTTGCCACGCCGAAATCCAGAATTTGTGATCGCGTGACCGAAACAAGGGATTCGGATCTATCGGTGGTGTAGTATTAATATTTGATCGTCGCTCCGGGTTTAGTCTGATGGTAGCTGCGGGTCTACATGGCTGCCGACCAAGAGTTATCCCACGGCGGGGTCTCCGATGGCGGCTGGGGCTTCCGTGACGTCGATTTAGGGCTCGCCATTCACATGTTCGGGTGGTGCCGAACTATCCCACCGGGAATGTTGGAGTACAAGATCTGATGTTTCGTATCAGCCTTCAGGTATATACCGTAGTCTCTTTGGCAACGGATGCATCATGCATGTATCACTCGATGTCTTTGTCACCGCCGTAAAGTGTTCCTCAGCCGACGCATCGGCAGTCGGGAGCTCTTCACAAGATATCACCCGTAGTGCTGTGGCTTACGAATAAACCGGCACTAAGCCGTGTGGAGCTGTAGATACTAAAGTTCTCCATCCGAAGTTCCGAACAGCCAGTTCTTGAAGGACAGTCGGCTTGTAAGAGAGCTCGGAGGCGGCCTTCCGACCGATATGGCTATACTCATCAGGGTCACTCGGTGGATACGTAGGATCTCTGGGTTTGAGTCTGGAACTCGGCTGCTAGGTAGGCGGAGGGCGGTGGGTGGCGGGGGGCGGTTGGGCGGGTCACGAGCTTCGGACCGGAGATGGACGATCGAGACTCGGTGGCATTTGGCGATGGCACAGTTGCTGCTGCAGGTTCGACAGAGAAATTGCAATGTGCTTTTCCCGTGTTGATGATGGCAGTTATGCTCCGGGATTTCATCATGCCCTTCCGGTAGTGGTCTCCACCTTCCTCTCTGCTGTCCCTGCATTACTGGACGGCAACTTGGGATCAACGAATTGGCATATACTAAAAGACGACAGGAAAGTGGGAGCGTGGAGCAAGATAATCAATGCTCCTGCTATAGATGTCACACTCAGAGATGGAATTACTATCCAGTGCTCATCACCCCTCATCACATAAATTGGGTCCGCGCTCGAATGACTACAAATAAGTGCACAACAAACAAGACACATTAATCCGGAGTATCACAGTATGACCAACGAATCAAGATACCATGTAGCTATCCTCCAATGCCATCACGTGTTCCCCGAGTGGAAGACGTTGAAATCCAGGAAGCCCTTCACCCTGTTGTCTAACCGTCAGCATTTACTATGTGAATATCATCCCGGGAAAGAAAACATACCTCGCGATACCTCCGGCCTTATTATTATGATGACAGTGTTTCGCAAGCTTCTGAATCTGCTGCCCGACATGATCGCAGCGAACAGAAAAGTTGGTAAGTTTCTGTCCGCAGACGCTGACGCTCGCCGTGAACGACTCCACAAGGTGAGTGCACTGATCATTGACCTGGCAGCAGGGCTTCGCCTTGAGGTACTTGAGCTTTGCGCCAGCATAGGCAACGTCGCTGATGTGCGACGAGCCCTCGGAGGTCTCGCAGTGGCGCTCCCACTTCAGTGCGTCGCCGCCGGGCACGGACGAAGGCGCAGGGATCTAGAGCGCGTGGTCGAAGAATCCGGCTAGGAGAGACGGCAGAACCGCGGACGCGTTGCGCTCGAACAGCGCAATTTGCGCGGCGATGTTGAACGCTGGGTGCGTCGCGTCGAAGCCCGCGGAGAGCTGGTAGATGACCGCCGGAAGCAGTTCGTCGGAATGCGGCTCGACGGGCATCGCCAGGGTTGCGGTCGCCGCGAAGAAGAGGGCGGCGAGGCGGAGGAGGTTGATACGGGTGGCGTACATAGTTGATTGGTTGTCGTGTTGGTAGTGTGTCGTGTGTTGCAGAGGTTATAGAGGTGAAGCTGTCTTGGGAATAGAAAGATGTGAAGCTGTTGGGTGGTGGTTTCGTTGACTTAGGTAGGCGTCGTGACACTAGTTTTGGGGGAATTCAATGGGATTTTCCGTTTTGTTTCGAACGGTTATATCGAGAGCAGACGCTTGAATTGACCCATCATCGAGCCCACTCGCGGTGTGAGCTATGAGTTGCGATCTGTGTGTTGTGAACATCAAAACGCACTCATTCATCAGCAATGACGTGAACGAAATACTTGCGGCTACCATGATCAGAGCCCCACAACAGCTCACTTCCCATCTAGGCGGTACGTCGAGTACGTCCATACTCCGTAAAAGCCCAATGTCTAAGGATTCTCTCATACGCGGGTGTGCCGTCTCTCTTTACTTCGGTTTTCGTTTCTGTCCCGCACGGCTATCATCAACACCTCAGGCCCGATTATAGTCAGCGCCAGTGTTTCCGAGATGTTTCGTATTCCCTCCGCTCGCTACCCTGCCGGACAGGATTTATGTGCATATCCGTGGGCATCACAATTACGGCGATGGATTGAAGTATATCAGCAGTCAATAATGTTCTATCGAGTCAACGCACAAATCTTTACACAGACCTTATGTGATTTTACACGTTATCGTCCCCTCAGCACCATTTTTCTCTTACTCAACACTCGTCCAATGTCTTCCTCGGCTGTTTCCCCTCCAGCTTCCCCCTGAATACAACCACCGGCACAGATGACCTTCGTTATGTTGCCAGTAGGCCGAGCCCTTTTCTGGCTGGATAATGTTTGGGCACCTGGGAGGAGACTGCGGCGGCTTGTTGTGGGTGCTGGTAAAACGGCGGCGACTCGTGGACTGTTCTCAGTTCTGTCAATCAATACTTGAAAGTGCGGCAGAGGCATCTGTAGCTTCTGCTATGGCAGTAATGACGGTGATATGTAAATGCATGATGCTTGAAGATGTAAAGCCGTATATCAGCTGTGTCAAACCTGATATTGGTCTATTCATGGTGGCAAGAGGAACAGCTCTTTCATAGTAGCGAGAAAACGATTTTCTCTAATGGCACAGCAGATGGTTTTAGCTACCGGGTAGCACCGAGAGCTTGCGAGCAGACTAGCCTCCTCACAAATCAGCGGGCAGACCGGTCTGCTCGCAAAAAAATTCCCTACTGTCCGGTCACTTCGTATATCCAGTCACTTCGTCAGGGGGCCGGTCACTTGGTCTGGTGGCCGGTCTATTTTAAAATACTAGTTTTACCCAGAAAGCTAGAACACAGACATGTAATCTGCCATGACCTACTAAGGCCGAATATTTTCACATGATGTTCAAGCAAAACAAAACCGAACGGTGGCTCGAACCAAAAACCTTCACCACCCCTGGTGGGTTGCTTGGAAACCCCGACAGCAGGACCGGTGTCCATGCTAACTCTGTCAGGTGCGTGACCACTAGGCCACGCAGGGTTTTTTCCATGCTGTAAGTTGACTACGCGCGGTTATGAACCCGTCCGAGCTGTGCGAAGCGCTAACTTAGCGATTCAGCAGTAGTGCTACTACTCACTAATTACATTACATACCGTCACTATCGATAGATCGGAGCTATCGACGACCTCGTAGTACCTGTGAAGCTTTACGACGTGTAGACGCGTTAGAACAGACCTGTCTACTTACCTTCCTTCTTTCTCCTCCTCTTTTCTCTTCTTCTTCCTCTTTACAATCCAAGATCCTTGCGTTATGCAATCGCGGCTATACATACGGAAGACCTAATCCTTTACGAGTCGACATGCGTGTATGGGCCAACTTATCAAGCTCTGCATCACAAAAACGCACTCGTCCCGATTCCGAAATCTCGTTTGTTCGTCTGGCATTGCCATACGTCGCCATGGTGGGAACTTCAGCTAAAAATTGTCCGTTATAGATAAGGATTTCAATGTTCCGCTCCTCCGAGAAATTGCAATCGGCAACACAAACGGATGCTGCACCCAGCGGAAGCACATCTGTCAATCGGATCTGATTAAATAAGTGGCGGATCAGGATGCGCAGTGTGTATACCGCAAGAGTAGCTCTCTATCCCGCTACTTACTAAATCAAAATTATGATTAATGCTTCGGCAAATTGTTGTGGGAGTTGGTATCAAAACCACTGATATACTCCAGGCTCGCCTCGGAAAACACTTATACCCGCTCCACCGCGTAGGTGGCATCGGTAGGGAGAGTAGCCAGGGAGGTTTCTCGGAACGAGACATCAGCACAGCGAATACGAGCCATACTCACTGCAGAAGTTGGGGGAGCGAGCGGAAGTCGTTAATAATGACGCGAACTTCCAGAAGAGGCAAGAGATCGAGAGGACGACCAGAGTATTGGTTGTTCTATTGACGGACTAACTGTAGGAAAACACGAGAGAGAAATGCAAGTCTTTATATTCAGGAAACTCAGCTTCCCACGTATACCACTGCCGCGGCGAAACTCGTCGCCCATATCATCCATATCATCCATATCACCCATATCACCCAACCCTCCTATTCTCTTATTCAGCCCATCAATAAAACAAAGAAAAAACATCGGGTTGGTGACTGGTAGCTGCCACAACTAAGATATACATCAGCATCTACACTCCACGACCCAACCCAACCCAACCCATTCGACAGGAAACAGGAGACAGGAGACATATGTGTTCGGAAAATCCAAATTCGCCACCCCCAACCAGAGTGTGTTGTATACGGGATCTGCGTTCAATGCTTTCCCAAAAACATCTTTTGTTCTCTCTGCGTATCTTTTTGCGACGTGCTGCAGATTGCTCATGCCCTGATTCGGACCGCCAGGACCCGCGGGTCCTCCGGTCCAAAACAGTTCCAGTCTTACAAGGTATCCTCTGGCATCAATTATCCGATGCCTGATTTGCGATCACCGCGTCGATGCAGCGCATAAGCTGTTCGATGAGATGCTCGGCCTTCTCCACGAGTTCAATCATCTGATCTTCAAGTTCGATCACGCGTTTCTGGGCTTTTTCGATTGCATCGACGTAGTCGGCCTCCTTGGTATCCTCGGAGCCTGAGCTGCGCTGACGGATATGGTGTTCGACGAGTCTGAGCCGCGCAAGCGGATGAAATTGTGGAGAGCCTCCACGTGGGATTTCCAGCTTGTTCGCTCCTCGTTGATGAGGCCGTCTCTGTGGGCCGAGAATGTTAGTGCGGATGAGACTAGGCGGAAACGCGGATGAGACTAGGAGGAAACGGCAACGAACCTTTAAGTGGAGAGCCTCTACTCGGCTTTCTTGGAGGCCTTTTTGAAGGCCTACTGGACGTTAAAACGCCCAAGCCCCAAGCAATGTTCTTGCAGGCCGCATCGAAAAGAAAAACGTCCAGGCCCTGAGCAATAAAGTGGAGGCATTAGCATGGATCAGAGTGAGGCGAGAGGAAGACGAACGGGAGAGGATTGTGTGCCGAGTGGCATATTGGTTTTTCTTGAGGGGATAGCTAAAAGCCATAAGGAAAGGAATATTGGAAAGTTGTGATGTTGTTAATGATGGAGAGGAGAGTAGAAGAGATGAAGAGTAGGGGGGGTGAGTCGATTCTTATAGGTGGGAGTGCGGGAGATTTCGCTAAAATTCTTGGCACGCACACACGATATTGTGACTTCAATTTCATGTTTGCACTCGTCTTTGTGCGTTGAATTTTACAAGACTACACTAGCTGTTCGAGGTGCTGAACTTTCCTGATCGGGGCGACCACTCACACAAGATCTAGGAAATTCTCTTTGATGGCAAAACAAGTTTGCTCGTTCCCGTCACGTGGGAGTGATTTTCGCAGGGTTTAATCAACGTAGTTGCAAGGCACTAACGGCGGAGTCAGGAACTCTGCAATCGGCGGGGTCCTTTAACGCCGCCCCAACCATAGACCGACAATATAGTAGCGACTACGCCCCCTTTTGACAGATCTTTGATGGTGTGAAAAGGCTCCTCCATCGACTTCGCAACGGTCGTTCACCAATAATTTGGGAACACGAGCAGAGACCCACAGCGACAAGTTCTAAAAGCAAAATGCGGGGCAAAGGATGAGGGGCCGCATGGAATACAGCTTGGCGGAAGCCTGGCAATCGACAGCTCCTCTATATACAAGCCGTTCTCACTTTCTCCATGTATTTACTTTTCGGCACACGCATGTTTCCGGTGCATAAAAATCCCCACTATTCTCGCACACAGCAACCATGTTCTTACCCTTACCAACACCTCTCGCAATGAACTCTGCCACATCCAGCCCCACGAGCGATGCGATTCCCTCAGCGTCCGAAGCGCTGCGCGAGCAGTACGTGCGACCAGGCGACGTAATGTCAGTACTCCTCATCCTCGGCGCGGATGTCGTTCAGCGTGCGCTCGCACAGCTTTCCGGCAGCCCGCTCACCCCGGTCGCGTTTTCGTTCGGGTGGGTGACGTACGCCATCGGCGCGCTGCTCGCCGCCGTCGGCGACAACAAGCTCATACCGCTGCCGGACTCGCCCGGCTTCGTCATCAACTCGAAGAGTCCGTACACGCGGCAGAACTGCTCATGGATCCTGGGACGCATCATTCGCGACTATGAGCACTGGCGACATCCCAAGATCAGGCGGATGGAGACGGAGTTCTTGGCGAAGGAGGGGCGTATCGGGCTCACGGTCGCCATCTACACGGCTAGCCGTAGTAAAACCGCGGGGGTCCCAGATCGTGACTGGTTGTACTACAGTGGCCTGCTGTGTGCTGTGTTTCAGCTGGGCATCGCCGCTATACCGTGGGCGATGTGGAGCGACTGGTCGATTCTGATGACCACCGCGATCGGTATCACCTTCGCGTTCGCGTCCGGCTCGCTGCCGCAGTGGAAAGTCGAGAAATACCAGTGCCGACGGAACACCGACAAGACCGTGATCCTGACGCGCGGCAACGGCCACAACAACGGGTGCATCGTCGTGATCGGCGACAAAGTGGGCCTGGACCTCGAGGACCTCGCGGGAGGACGGCGGGCCGAGATCGATATGACGCACACGCGAGTGTATACGAGCATCATGGCGCTGCTCTGGACTGCGCTCCTGATCGGCGTGTCGGGGCTGAAGGAGAATCCGTGGTTCCTGCTGGTGATCGGCGTGGTCGGCATGATCCAGAACGTGATCGTCTGCGGCGCCCCCCGGAAGCCTGGCGCGTTTGGCGTCCACCTCGAGTTTGTCGAGGCGATTGTCGAGAAGAAGGTCATGAAGGCGCTCCAGGTCTTGGAGGAGAAATATACGGACGTGGGCAGTGCGCTGGTCGATACATATTTTCCCGGTGGCCGGCTATTTCCCGATGAGAAGCAGTATTGGAAGAAGGTGGATAATGAGAGGCAGGCTAAGCTGATTGCTAAGCTGGCTAAGCGGGCAGCGCAGGCAGCGCAGGCATCGCAGGTCCCGCAGGATTCGCCCGATCTACAGGCTCCACCGGCGGTGTAGGCGGAGAACCACGACCTGGCGATTGAGATCAGGAAGGACTGTGTCGGATGTACTGTGGTGCAATTCGCTTGATGCATTCGTTTATTTCTTATATAAGTGCTACGTAGGGCAAAGTGAAAGGGTAGTTAATGTAGTGCTCGCATTAAAGAGGTGGCGCGAAGGCCGGGGGAGCCGGCTCTGGCGGCGGAGGAGCGGAGGGATGAATGAAAGTGTGAAGAATACGAGTGGGAGGAATAATTTAAGGAAACTGGTGTGAGAGGAACTTGGAAGAGACGCGAGATGGGCTTAAAAGAGAGATGGGCCGCTTTCCTTTATCTTGGGCGGTTAATCGTCGCTTGGTTTCTATCACCAGAATTGAATTCACGGTCCTGGACCAAGCATTAAGGCAGCTTGAACTTCAGTCCTGAGTTGCAGATTGCGGCATCATCCAGTGCGTGATATTAAAGTTCTCATTCATACCAGATTGACAATCGATATCCTGAAGAACTAGTCGACTGGTCGAGTGGGTTGGTAGTGATCGTGCATCAACTAGCATTCGCAGGCAAGTGTTTATGATTGCAGAATGGATGGCCCGAATGGCCCCACAGTTCCCGCAGCTGACCGCGTTCGCCTCAGTTGTGATTGGAGAATCATTGGCAGTGGGTGTACGTAGGGATAAATCTGCGACTAGGCATCCGTGCGTGGTATCAGATCACAAAAGCGTGATCTGCAGTATTTTCCATTGCGATCTTACCTACATCCATGTCTCCAGGTGTTCGCTAAACCCCACCCCAGGGACCCCACGGGCCACCACTGCAGCCACACCTAAAGTCGACGGTGCCACAAGTGGCCTCCATGCTCTGGACTTCTGGTACGAGATGTGTACCAAGAGTGGAAAAACCCACTGTTGACGAAATATCGGCGCGATTCACTGTACAGGGTGCGCCTAAGCCGTGAGTCACGTGTACGGTGCACATAAAACGCTAGTGTCCACCTGGACTTGAATCGACCATCGTGATTGCGCTACGGCAAGTGTGAGGCTCCGAAACCTCTACAAAACCCCCACTGCTCTCCCACTCTTCTTCTCTCTTCATCCTCTCCGCTCTTCCTTTCTGTCGTCACGCTACAACCTCTCTACATCTGTCTTCACTCTACAACTATTCTCTTGCAGAAATCTTCACCGATCGACCAACCTCATTCACTCCTATCTCACACACCTCCTACTTCAACACCCTTTGACTTCGATCGACACACCGGTTTGTTGATCCCCACTCTTGGATCGCGTTATTAAACTAACCCAGCGTCCCAGTACCCGCCTACGATGCCCAACACCGACAGGTTGGAACAGAGTGGCCGAACAGTCGATCGCATGGCCTTCAACCCCCTGCAGGCTACTCCTAAGGAGACCCCGAACCCCCTCAGCGTGTACGAGGCAGCATCACCACGGTGGGCTGTCCTGGTGGGCTACAAGTCGGTCCATGTTGCCGAGCACGGGCAACAGTGGCTTCGCGAGTTCGATACTCTTCGCACCCTCGGGCATCCCCACCTGGTGCAAATTCAGCGTGCCCATAAGTGCACGGGCGATATTTACATGCTGGCGGAACCATTCTGCTATGGTAGTTTCGATCAGCTTCTGGGCCAGAGTGTCGACGACCTGGGTCTGGGGGAAATGACTATCAAGGACTTCCTCATTGAAACGGTGGGATGCCTCAGTTCGGCTCAGCGGTACCTGCACTGCAGCCGAATTGTGTATGAGAACATCCAGGGCGCGAACATCCCGGGGGCCCAGGCCCCCCTCGCCTAGTATGAGGGCAGCACCACCACGGTGGGCTGTCTCTCTTCGGCTCTGCGGTATCTGCACCGCAGGCTGCGAATATTCTGCTCGAGTTTGACGATTGCGGCCCACAGGTCTACATCTCCGACTTTGGTCTCTATCGCCGGCGCAATATGCGCAATTCGACGAAACAACACACGAGACCGGCGAGCCTCTCAAGGGTTGGCAGGAGCCATCAGCAACCATCCCGCGACATTCAATCCCTCATACATCATCGAACACCCGTCGACGCCTCTCAGGGGTTGGCAGGAGCACCGATATATACTCTTCGGAATTTGTTTTCTCGAGTTGGCCTTCTGGGCATTTCCACGGTCCACCTCCAGTGGTGGGGTGCGGTATCGTGCATCCACGCACCATACTGGAGCGAGAGGGTAACTCCACAGGAGACCCCGATGTCCCGCGGCGAGCACGAGGGAACCACGACCACGGTGGGCTGTGTCTTTCCGGTTCTGCGGTATCGGCACCGCAGACGGATCTCGCATGAGGACATACAGGATGCGAACATCCTGGTGCAGTGGCCCGACCTCCGTCGGCGAGCACGAGGACAGCATCACCACGGTGGGCTGTACCTCTCCGGCTGTACGGTATCAGCACCGTAACCGGATCACCCAGGGGGAAATTCAGGGAGCGAATATTCTGCTCCAGTTGCTCCTGCATCCGTTAGCAGGACACAGGAGTTCCATGTGGTCACGCAATTGTGACTATCTATCAGCTCAAAGAACGACCTCCAATTGATTACACGCCCGAGGCCCTTTCTCGAGGTAAATGGGCCGAAACCTACAAAGTGGCTGTGACACCGTTCGACTGGGAGGGCTTCAACAAAATTATCAAGGAAGACGCGGACTCAGACTCTCCGCGCCAGGCAGAAGAGACTGGAGAGAACGAACTCCAGCTTCAACCCTGCAAGCCGCTATGGACCAAGATACCTCAGAGTAGGCTTGGGGGGCGGCAAAAAAGCGATTACAGAAGGACGACATGCGGAGGAAGGGATACACTCCTAGCAATGGTGGACTTAGTCTACCGGATCATGGATGTGCCCAATAAACCTCCGCCGCAGGTCGGGGCGCGGTAGCATCTAAATGGGTGTTGGTCACTACGCCCCTAAATGTGGGCAGCCACATAGGTAGAACTAAAATCAGTTTTGTTGTGGTCGAGAAATAAAATCAGTTTTCTTGTGGTGAAGAATTATCCTAAGTCGAACTAACTATGAAGTTTTGTGTGGCGACCTTTGAGGATATAGGGGTCCTTGGGGGATATTCCGGCGCTGGAGGGGTCCCTGCGGATAACAGGCCTGGGAATCGTCCGTCCCGTCCGTCCTTGGCTATGACCCGGACGAGACGGAATTTGCCGGGCCCGAAATATCAAGGACTATAGGTCTCCGGGCAAGCCGGAGGACGGCTGGGGCCCATTCGGGCCTGGAAATGTGGCGCTAGTACTAGCCTCAGTCAGTGGCGCAGTGGCGCAGCAGGCACGAATGACGCTAAGGAGTTGGCAGCACGGCGAGGAATAGACGACTATAGGAAGTAGACGGCCAAGAAGACACCTCTGCCGGCAGATCATACCCTACGTGCATGTCCGTTGCTCGCTGCTCAATTCCGTATCCGATCGGATGCAAAATTTTCATCGGCCAAAATATTCCGGACAGCCAGCACCGTACACTAGTAGCCAGCTACTTCCGCACTAAAAATTTCCGGGCCCCACGGGGCCCCACTCAGACCCCGGGCTTTTTGAACCTGGGACGGAGCGCGACTCGTCCAGTCAAATCCTCGCCCCAGACGGGGCGGTGCCGCCGGGCCCCAATAGTCTTCTGTCCGGACGGACTATTTCTAGGCCTGGCGGATAAACGCCGAGTAAATTGTCGTTGATGGAAAGCCGCGAGGCTGAGACGAGTGATATGCGTGAGCGGACAGGAAGTTCCGTCACCGGTGCAACTTAGATTCAACATGTATTGGGAGTAAATCCTGCGTTGAAACCGCTAAACTCTTTTGGTCCCAGTAAATAAAATAAAAAATAAAATAAAAAATACAGCGCCACAGTGCTCTGGGGATATCCGTTCAGGGGGACATCCTTCCGCAGACGCGTTATCATCACCAAACATTCATCACGCAAGTACACACTTTCCGCGACGCCGATAGCACACTGTCTCCGCCACCAATCATCCGTTGGTAAGTTCACTGTCGTCTTCGCTGTCCGACTGACAGCTTCTGCTCTTTGGTAATTTCCTCGTCGTGGATACCACAGTTTCGCGTCGCAGATACCACAGTTTCGCGCGGCGGATAGATACCTCCATGTCTGTCGACTCACCGCGAATACCATCGTTCAGAAAGATTTTTCTGTCCTCGATTCAAAGAAAGTACTCCGTTGGGGAATGGTTTTCGCGTTGCTATCACGGGTTGAAGTGGAAGAATTGCAACAGATTTTTTTATCGAGAATGATTTGTCTCTTTGGTTCCTGTCGCGGCATTTTACTGAGTGCACGGGGTGATGCTGCTGAGCGCGGGGTGATGATGTTGTCTATATACTTTTTATGCTCCTGAACGCGCCGGGTGATGATGTTACCTACAAACTTTTATTCCAGTTCGAACTTCACTAAGCGCGCCCGGGTGATGCTGCCGCCTTCATACTTTTATTTGCAGTTCAAGGTGATGATGGTACCCACAGACTTTTATTCCAGTTCACTGATCGGACTGCGCGACGCTGTTGCCTATATACTTTTATTCTAGTTCACTGAGTGCGCTGAGTGATGCTTCTGAGCGCGCTTGGGTGATGCTTCTGAGCGCGTCCGGGTGATGATGATGGTGCCTTCATACTTTTATTTACAGTTCAAGGCGATGCTATTGCCTATATACTTTTATTCCGATTCACTAATCGTACTGGGTGATGCTTTTGAGCGCCGGGGTGATGATGTTGCCTATAATTTTATTCCAGTTCACTGACCGTGCCGGGTGATGCTGCCACCTACATACTTTGATTTACAGTTCAAGGTGATGCTATTGCCTAAAAACTTCTATTTTCCAATTACTGAGAGGACTGGGCGATGCTGTTGCCTACATACTTCCATTTTCAGTTCACTGAGAAAACTGAGTGATGGTGATGTTGCCGCTGACTATACATGATACTTACGTTTCCAGTTCACTCGGCGCGCTAAGTGATGGGACATACATGCCAAGTGATGGTGTCGCAGGTGAAGGTGTGGCAGTGTCAATGCCTGTGGGTGGTTAGTGTGCACTAGTGTTTCAACGCAGGACCGCATCCCCATGTGTTCCTCACGATCAAAGTCACAGGTCATCATTGGCAGCAGACACGTCAGCTTTACAGCCACTACCAGTAACTTCAATTATTTCCGCACCGCCGATCCCCAGAATCCCAGCTTTCTAGATAGGTGTGTATGTAGTTTAACAGGAAAAGAAACCCTGCATGCTCCGACTCGCTTTCCTCTACCGTGCATGCATCGATCGTATCATCCCCTGTCCACCGCTCTTATCCGTGAGCCTATCCTCGCCTCTGGGCTGCGGCCCTCTTCCATCCAGTCCTACTTCGCCTATTCCTCAACGGACTACTTGATTTCGCGTACATCACCGAACATCACCCGCCCGGTGCCGTCCGGTAGCTGAGATTTCTCGTCGACCACTGGCGTCGCATTGCTATTCCGCGTCAGCTCGTTGCTCAATCCTGGTCTATATTGATAGGAGGGATATTACCTATCAACCGCACCCTTCGCGGCATCGCCATCCTTAACCGCGATCTCGGACTCCCTCGTGAGCCTGACCGTTTTCTTCCAGTTGTCGACCGCGCCAGGCAGCCTTGCGACCTCCAAATCACACTTACTCCCGGTCTCATGCAGGAACACGTTTCCCTGACCGCGATATAGCTGTCCCACCGTACGCCACGCCTGATCCAGGAACTTCGGCGCCTTGCACGTAAAGTACAGCCAGAACACCGTAGCGACGGAGAGAAGGTGGAAGCCCAGGATCCCGCAGGAAATGAGTAGCCCCGTTATCTGGATTGGCACTAGCGAGGATTTTGTCATTTGCACGGTGCGCGTGACGAAGCGGTAGTCGCTCGTGTCGTTTTCGGCTGGGGCACCGGGGGTGGTGGCGCTGGCGGTGCTGGCGGGGTCGTCGGATATGTGCACGCCACGCCAGTCCTCCTGCGGGTTCGTCAACGAGTCGTAGAATACGCGGGAGGTGAGCAGGGAGAAAATCCCCTGCAGGCCGAAGGCGATAGAGCTGTTGGTGTCGTTATTCCACAGGTGGAATGCCAGCATGGCCACGTATGTATCCTCGAGCTGCTCAAGCTTGACGGAGTCATCGTAGCCGTCATCGCCCGCCTCGCGCGTCAAGTGCCCCGCATACCCGCCGCGGATCGTTTGTACCACGTGCGTGAACTCCTTGTACTCGGACACCGAGTAGTCGACAAGTTCCATGATTCCACGCTTGTCCAGATCCGGGCCACTCGATAGCTGCGACTGGATCGCGTTTGTGGTAGAGACGTTGCCCCAGCGAGAGCTGTACTCTGGCTCGTCTGCCCGCGTGCCAGCCCGAGCTTTAATCGTCGCCATCGAATTCCCCGAGGCGACGACGCACAGCGACATCCGCGTGCCGTATTGCGCGGATACATTGGGCGGGTCGGCGGCTGGACTGCTCCATTCGATGATCTTCGTCACCCACTCCGTCCCGTCGTAAACGTAGCCGGTGCGGTTGTACAGCTGCTGGACCAGTGGCTCGTCTTTTGCCATGCGGCCTCCGCCAAACTCGGTCCAGCCCGGCGTGATCTCGTCCATGATGAGGAACCACGCGTTCGTAGGCGCGAGGAGACACGGCGTCGGGAAGCCGGGACATGGGATGGAGGCGGGGGGTTTCAGCGGACACAGCGAAACGCCGTCGACATCGCCGAGCGTGCAGTTGAAGTTCCACACCAGGTCTGCGGCAGGCTGTGCGCCGTTCCACCTGTACGAGCCCTCCGCCTCTAGCCGCGCGGCGGAGGCGTACAGGTAGTCGGAGCGCAGCCGCCCAGTCACGCGGTCGTGCTCGGCAAGCACCAGCTCGTCAATGTCCGGTGAGACGCAGAGCACGTGCGCCTCCATCACGGCGCCGCGCCCGTGGTAGTACAGCAGCGATGACCGGTCCGATGCCTGTCCGAACTCTGGGTATGCCCGCACGGTAGCGCCCGTATCGCGAAGCCCGCGGCTCGTGGGGTTCTCAGAAAGGGCGAACGAGCGCCCGATTCGCTCCGCGAACCGCGGGAACGTCAGCGGTCGCTGCCCGAGCGGATCTATGGGCGAGGCGTCGAATATTTCTCCGACGTGGGTTTGGTAGGTTTCCTGCGACCGTGGCCCGCGAACGTAATCGAGGTGCAGATCGTGTAGGAGGATCGCCGAGAGGGCCTGCGAGAGAACCATCGCGAGCGACAAGAAGACGATCAGAATGACGATGCCGAAGTTCTTGCTGACGCGCGCGCCGCGGAAGACGGGAGACGCAAGGGTGAACGGCGAGCTGGCGGCGTAGCGGCGGATGGACATCGATGCGGCGTCCTGCAACAGCACGCAGTCCTTCTCGAAGGCAAGCGTCGCCATCATCAAGCAGCAGGTTCCCACCTGCACGGCCATGCACGTTCGCAGGATGGCGCTGAAGATGGCGATTATCGACTTGCACCAGCCGGTATACAGGATTCTAGAGCGAACGGAGGAGGGATTGTCGTTGACTGTCCATGTCCAGAGCGAAATCAGGGCGCCCACGACCAGAAATATGCCCATGGTGCTCACCAATAGCAGCGCTGGTTGCAATAAGCCGAATCGCTCCCGGAGTTTGTACCACCATGAGCTTCTTGCTACGGGATGTCAGTCACAGTGGCTTTTCACGATGCAATTTGAGTATTAAGATCCCCTACGCTGCGGAGTAGTCATATCGGTGGCGATACTATGGTGGGGGTTATTTTTAGGTTGCTACGTCTGCAACACTGATGCTTGGCCGGCGAAGTGGATGGTGAAGCGGAAGCCTTGAATGGATGGCAGAATCAAAAGACGAAAATGCCAAAGTTAAGAGAGGCAGTTAACGCGTGTGTATAGAAGAATAGGATAATTGCTTTGGAAGGGGAAGCCTATTCGGTGAGACTGAAAGCAACACCGAGTGCCCGAACGATATCGATGGAAAGTTATTAGCAGGATGGGCAGTGGGGAAGATATTGATGGCGGTGGGATGAGGCTCCAAGGACCTCCGAAGCGCAGTCAGCATGGTACAGTCCCAACTAAGCTGGTGCGGTGCAATCTCAGCCCAACGCGGACCAGCTGAGCTGGTGAAGTGATAATTTTGCCCGGTCGGCAGCTCGATGAGTCCAAGTCGGTGGTGGCGGACCAGATGCCATATGGCTACTCTGGGGTACACTGCACATTGAAACATGGATGCTACAAACGGGATCCTCGTCGGAGTGATGCGCTGGTATCATTGTATGGTTGCTGTCACAATGTCCCGTTCTCCTGTGGCCCTTTACTGGATGATTTCCGAGTCTGTCTCGAGCTGGTGCATTGTGCTTTTACTCTCTGGGAATCCGCTTTTCTCGGCATTTGTTCCCAATTCACTATGCCACGGTGACCATCATCGTTGGTATGCACGCACACACGAATCAGTTCGATATGATTCGCAGCGACAAGTCAATGGGTGTCTTGCGTCAGCTCTGCGTTTGCCGCTACCTGACAGTCCTGTCGCGTGCGGGGGTGCTGGAAAAGCTCTTTCGGCTGTCGTGTCAAAGAACGTGTGCGATGTAGGGCGCTAGAGGCTCGTGGTAGTCAATCGGGTTTGACCGCGCGGAGAACCGCTGGCACGGCCAAGCATGGCTCTCCCAGTGCCAAGCTTCCAGCGACGGGTCATCACGGCCCTAATTCGTGAGACGGGAAATGATTCCGATGCAACCGGGCCCTGCGTCGGCAGGACATTATTTACATTTTTTATGGAATAAATTTCAGCTGTCATCGTGTCCGTCCCTGTATGCACTTCGTTAATACTGATGGCGCGTGCGGTAGGTTCGAAGCGAAGGTTAGAACGGGTTCTCGCTTGGCTCCGAGGCATTGATCTACTCAAGGAAGATATTTGTGGCACATGTGGCTATCGAGACTCCCACGGCCAAGGCAGTAGGTAGCGCTCGAAGTACGCATCGATACAAGGTCAGTACGATTGCTTTAGTATCACCGTTCGATTCCACCTTTCCATTCGACTTCACCTTTTCTTTCAAGATCACCCGTGTTCGCAACTTGAGAATTCACATCCCGCATGTGCTGCTACGTTGATCTTGGCGAACGTGTATGTAGTGCACCGACTAAAAACTCGATCACCGGAGGCGAGAAGAGTCTAGATCTGCGGGCGCTCGCCATACCCAATCGTACCAATAATAAGATCCAAACATGAGACATCACCCGACTCCGCACACATGTGACTTGTTTATCTTGGCCTCGCATCTGCGTTCAACAACATGCACTTGCAATGATCTCCGCCACTGTATTTGGCGCACTTGAAGCACTACCAATAATGACTGATGTGAAACACAGCGAGTGACATCCGAAGTGAATGACGATGTGGCAAATCGAGTGAGAATCGCAACTCACGTGTTGAGGGTTCCAAGAGGGATTGGTCTTTCTTAACCCCAACCCATCACGAAGTGTCAACATAGTAACGTTTCTATTCTTGTATATAATAGACTATCACCGTCCATACACCCTACCATCTCACTCTGACGTTTGACGTTTCCGGACCTTCCCTTCGCCCCTCTTACTTCCAACACCGCCAGGAAGATCGCCATAATAGAGTCCCACAATCTCCCGCAGGAGATACCACACGAGGCCACCTTTATACGCCCATGCCCTGGGGTAGCAACGGCCAGACGTCCCTTTAGTGTAGGTAGCTAACTCCTCCTCCGTTGCGTAGATTGTAGACTTATAACCCCTCCTCCGACCATCCTGTAGATCGACTATATTGACATGCAAATCCAAAATAGTCTGTCCGCTTTTAGAAAACCCCCAAATTTCTTATGCAAGGGTAAAAACCATACCTGACGCCTCGCCTCAAGTCCCTCCGGAACCGGCTCGATACCGACGGCTTCACACAGTTTTCTCCAAGCTCCAGGATCATTCGAATCCGTACCGAATCGCAGCCCAAAGTCTGCGGCCTCCGCTGCACCGAGTAGCTTCTTCACCTCCTTCCGCTGCTTACGAGTCAACTGCCGCTCGTTACAGAGCCTCTCAAACTCGTCGCGATAGTGCGCCTCGGGATTGAGCATGAACCCGTAGTTCGCTACAAAAAGCTCCCGTATCACATCATGCAGCACGGACTCCCATTTCTCAACGCCCCTGTTCATCATGGCATTGCCAAAGAACTTTATCTGAGATGCGCGAAATACCGACCTCGCCTCGACCATCTGGCTGCTACCAGCTGGCCAGTCGTGGAAAGTGCAGAGACGTGTGAACTCGGCTTCGTAGTTGGTGTTAGGATCGAGTGGGAAACCGTACGAGGCGAAGAATTCTTCGATTGAATCAACTGGGACTATCTCTGTGGCAGCGGCGGTGGTGGTGGTGGTGGTGGTGGTGGTGGTGGCAACGGCGGCGATAGTAGTGATAGGACTGTCGGTGCTGGCATTCGCTCGCAGTTCGGCGCGCTTCTTGTGCTTCGCCCCTGTTTGGTGCTGTTGGAAGCCTAAAGCAGTCCCGAATTGCCTTGTACAGTCGTGACAGAATAGCTCTTCGGCATGCAAGAGTGTCGTAGAGCTTGCGGCGGAGGTAGTGGTAGCATGGCTGAGGATACCGGCCGCCGCGTTCCGCTCGACTCGCTTTTTGTGCTTCGGCGAGATTTGGTGCTGTCGCAAGCCTGAAGGAGTGAAATGTCTGTCGCAATCGGTGCAGCACGTGCTGCTATCTGTATGTGTCTCGGCTGGTGCAGGGGTTCGCGGAATGTCCGCGGATGCGGGGAGCCCAGTAGAATACTGGCACTGCTCAATATGCCGCATCGGGAACCAATGTTTGTCTTCGTTGTAGGATAGCCTGCCCACGACGTCAATCATGGCCTAGTTGTGGCGGTCATACGGGACGGAGAGGGCTTCACACCCTTGAAGACGATGTCGCGGGTTCGCCGAAAGTTGCTCGTTTTGGTCGTTTTGGCCGTTTACCCCCGTTACTATCGACAAGCAAGCGAATGCTGCAGAGGCGCCGGAAGTGTGGGGCAGCCGTGAAACGTGGCTGCAGCACAGCGTGAAGGAGGAGGCCCAGTTTGCATGCGCGGAAGTAATGGACGGTGTTCATGATTGTGTGGTGTGCAATGGAGGATGTAGGCGTGTATGGGAGATGGAGGTTTTCTCCGGTTGGTCTTTGTCTCCCAGCCTCGCTCGTTTTTTGTTCACCAATCATGAGCTCTGGATCTCAAATATCCCTTCTTGGGATGAGGTTCTCGCCGGTCAAGCAATGAGAACATCTCGCCGGTCGAGGATTATGATGATCTCGCCGGTCGAGGAATGTAAAAATCTCGCCGGTCAGGGACTGCGAACATCCACGGGTGCAGGAAATATCAAAGTATACGCGAATACCACCACATCGCAACTCGTACATCCATAATCATCACCAAATGTAGACGCACATAAGTGTGGGCAATTATCACTACACTCCAGCAGGAGATTGAGAAAACGCAAGTATTCCGAAAAGATCCCGTCTAATCCAAAGTGATGTTTCGCCAAATCGTGGTGTCAATTCCGGTTGGATGTTTTCTTTGAAGCGTCTTCAGGTATGGCAAATATTATCCAGCAGATGTATCTGCTATTCACGGTAATTGAGGTGAGCAGTTTAGTGGTAGGAACCGTTTGATTTGAATTGACGGGATCTTGGACGAAGGAATAGCCTGGAAGCACTAGAATCGGTCGGTCCGCAGTGCCCATGGCGAGCCACGGTCGATATCAGGTTAACCTGGAGAGGAAGACAGTGACACATGCCGATAGCACGGAGGGTTCAGCTATCGAATGTGAAGGTATTTGGTGGGTAGTAGCACTGCTGCTGACCTGCCGTGTTAAAAAGTGGCTGAGCTGGGACGGGGTTCATAAACGCGCGTAGTAACCTTACAACACGGAAAAAAGCCCCGCGTGGCCCAGTGGTCACGCACCCGGCAGAGTTGGCATGGACAGCTGACCATATATCGGGGTTTCCAAGCCCCCCACCGGGGGTGGTGAAGTTTTTGGTTCGAGCCACGGTTCGGTTTTTGTTTTGTTAGATCATCATCTCGTTCGGCGTTAGTATGTCATGGCAGATTGCCTGTCTGTTTCCACTCAGCTGTCATCGCCTTCTGGTCACCAGCTCGATGCCGGTTCCCTGTTGCTTTCCGCCCAGCTTTCCCTCCGGGCCAAGCTACAATTTTGCATCCGATCGCATACCCTCAGTTGTCTGATCCCGAGTCGTCTGCTATCGTCTTCTGATTCTTCTATCTCATCATCTACCGAATATGTGATCACGCTCACTCCTCCTCTTTCTTCTGCGTACGCTCTCCTTTCGATATTACCTCCGGCCCTGGATAGGTATTGACGAAAAGCTCGCGCAAAAATAGCAATAACATTGATGGCGTCGTACCGGGGGCAGCCGGGTGCGCCATTGTGCCACGACCCACGTTCAGGGACCTTTGCGTCATTTCCGTTTTTTGGCGGCATCAATGCTAAATAGTCGAACACTGCCGTGGATGCCGTTCCCCCTACCTGCTTACCTCGGCAGGGAGATCGTGTCTCCTGACGGCCTGTGATCCTACTACAGCCGGTACGGATTGTCCTCCTTTGCCGTCCCACAGTATCATGTCTGACTCGCCGTGGAGACACCACAATCGTCGCCGCCATTCGCTGTCCAACAGACCAGTGTCTTCCTTCAGCCGGTGCGCCTTTTCCTACTAGTGTGATAAAATCACAAACTGCCGTGTACCGAATCTTACGAGATCACTCTCTGTTTCTCGAGACTTCCAGTATCGGTTCTCAGAGGAGGTGGCGAGGGGCCTCTATCCGAGGCATCCCCGCCTCCTTCTACATCTTGATTTCTTCCGGCTATGTTTTATACACTGTACACTACTTAAAATCACACGTTTCTCGATAACTAGGACACCTTAGGCTTTCGAGTGAGTTGTGTTGACCGAGTGCGGTGATAGGTGCCGGGCGCCGAATGGCGAACCGTCAGGCCTTGTCCGGATACATCTATATAGAGAACCCGTGCTATGACGAAAGGGATAATCAACAGTCTTTCTGTCTCTCTACTCGTATATTTCACATCCGGCATACCAGAAATAGCACTGGAGTGGACGATCCATGTCAAAATGCTCGCCGGTCACCCGAAGCGGCTGTGCCGCTGCGGGGTAACGCAAATATCCATCACAGATTCACAGTGAACCTCGATGCGCAAAGGATAGTCGATCCAACTATATTTCCCCACCCACGCAATGGCTGCGGACAGGCGCCGTCACCGTGAGCGGGGTATGGTGCTCGAGAGGGAAGCAGCGGTCTTAAACCCCCACTGCCGCACTCGAGCGACGTGCTCATTTGGTTCCAGCATTGCCGGCGGTGCGGTCAATACATTCACAGCGATCTAAACCTGCAAATCCTTCGTAGTACATACCAACCTTCACTCTCCTCCGACCATGGCGAAGAAGTACGCGAAAGGCCAAAGCGTCAGCTACACCGACAGTAAGTCCCCCCACTACTAAACATTCACTGCCATAACGTCGCGACGTTCAGGATCCTGATTGCGGCATGGACAGAGGGGGGCAAAACCTTCCACGGAGAAGTCAAAGCCGTCATGAGCGACGGCAGGTATTCTGTAAGTTGCGGGTCGACCAGTGGGATCCATCCCAGCATAATGTGTATGTACATACTTACACTCATCGGAAAATTCAGGTTCAGCCCACGACCACGGCAAAGGGCCAGACGATAGTCCTTCCCGCCGGCCGGCTGGCTCTGAATCCGTATCCGGGGGCGAAAGCGAAATAGTTTCGGACGTGCCGCGGTCGAGCCCGGCTCAAGCGTCGGTGGTATCATAGCATAGGGCAAAATTGTGATCGTTTTCATCATGCTTCGTTTTCTTGCCTGGCTTGTCCTGTCGTTACCTGACTGTTGAATGAGATGTTGGAACACTCACCGTGAGGGGTAGTCATGCGCAACAAGATCTGCCGTTGAAAGGGAATTGTCGGGGAACTGAATCATTTTCGCAACTCAACGAAAATACAAAACTACCTGCCGTGATAGTAGAGGGCTCGGGATGATTCCAGTCGCCATTCCACGCCGGTGATGTCAATTCATTAAAATTTTATGCTGCTGTACTAGACGTTGTGACACCACCAGGAGGCTCTACTTTCCCTGGAAATCTAGTTTTCGCATTAGTTGGATGGGTGTGGCAGAAGCGTGGAGGCTCTGGTGTCGGTGTATTCTCTTTGCTAGTAGAGGAGTTTAAAATCTCTGCGTGGAGTGACATCATCCAAAACACTTAAGCACTCATTCAAAATGTCCAAGTGAGGCATGAGTCTTGAGTAGAGCAAGACGGGAACAATTGTTATTTCAAATATTGACCGAGACACGGTGCAATTAGCATTTTACCCGTCTCCGAGTATACGTCATCACCATCACTCGGTCTGATATCCCAACTCCGTCTGTCGTTAACCTCAACTATCACTCGTTTCTGAACACTCGAGGAGATTTCAGAAAATTCCGTCACCACACAGTTAGTCCGCTAGTTTGTGCCTCACAATCGCGGGCTAGCTTAGATTTGCGCTGGCATGGTTTGAAGTGGATCCTACCAATGAATAGGTCGACTGACCCTTCTAGAATGGACATCCTTCACGTTCCCCTTCAATTAGCAACACCACCAACAACCCCAGTTTTCCGCACCTTTTGCAATCACTACACACCTATTTGGCTATTCGTACGACAAACGAATACCAATCACACCGAATCCGCCTACGAGGGATAACCAGCAAGCACCACGAACCTCTTCATGTCGACGAACGCTCTACCGCCAACAGTTTGGCCAACTCCGGGCGAGATCTTTGCCTGTTTCGGAGACGCCAACAGATCACGCGACCAGTGGATCTATTACAGCTGTCGTCGGCGATGGTGTTTACCAGGCATGCCGGGAACGGGATATTACACATCAAGAAGCACTTACAGTAATCGCCTGGCTGAGAAACGACGTTGAGCATTAGACTGAGGAATAAGGAACTTTTGGTGAGGATGAAAGAGGTCGAAGATCTCGAGAAGGAGTTGGAATCAGTCAAGGAAGCATTGAAAGTGGCTCTGAAAGGCACTTGGCATTGGAAAGATGAATACGACGATTACTTCGCCTCATTTATCGCCGGCGGCAGCCACAACGAAGAGGTTGAGAACACGGCAGACCGCCAGATCAAACCCCAAGCACCAATCGTGCTTGGTGTACTAGTAGGCCTGGAGACGTTTCCAGAGTTTCTCGACGATGTCGAAAAATACGTCCGTGTGGTAGGGGTAGTGTGCCCTGGAGCATCGATTGACAACCAACACATCGATACTATGCGGCGCTTCCTTGACCCGAAGATTTCCGGATGGCTCGAGACACATCTACAACAACAAGGTATCAACACCATACCACCTCCTGATTACGACTATGGAATTACATGGGCGAGCGTGCGAACCACCTTCTTGAAGCGTTTTATGCCAGCTGAAGATTTTGGGTTTGTTCGAAGGTAATTGCGTACCCTGCAGTTCAACAAATTGGATGTGCTACAGTTCAACCCGAGGGCTCTTGAATTTGTGGAAGTCCTGGGTGGTTCACCCACAATCACCTCGGAGAACCCACTGTGGCATGAGTACCTGCTGAAGCTTCCGCTGGCTCCAGAGACGACATCACAGATGACATTGAATATGCCGAAATTATGCGCCGACCAGGGAATCGTGACCCAACACTTGCAGACTTGATGGGTATTGTGGCTGACAGAACACTGGCATTCCCGCCATCTGCTCAAACAATCGACCCCAGTTATGGCCCATTGGATTTTGCCAAAATCAGAAAGGAAGCCTAGGATTATTATCGCAACACAAAGTGTAATCGCTGTGGTGCGATGGGTCATATTGCGAGACAATGTCGAACTCGCAGGAGTGCTGAGAGGTCTTCTAGCTTTCGTTTTGAACTTTATCGTCGAAAACAGCAAAGACGTGAACACAGCCCGAAGGAAGATCGGGAAGATGAAGTTCGCCCTGGAATGGTTGACGGTGTCGATGGAAATAAGGGAAAGGTGGACTGGGGCCTCAACAGTATGGGCGTTGAGTGGCGAAGCGGTTTTACCTATCCTGGAAAGTGGTCTTGGGAGCTGGAGGGAGAGGGGTGGTCAAGTATGGAAGCCTGTTCCGGAGAGGATACGAAGACGGATGGAGGAAGGAATTCGGTGAAGCAGAAGAAGGGCGGAGTAAAGTCGGGTAAAGTCAGATAGTAGATGTGATACAGCGTCCCTCTACCCAGACAAAGAAAGGAAAGTGGGAAACTTTGTATCTTTAATATCTCGAGGTTGTCACCACTGGGAAGAAAAAATTGAGATTTCTTAAGATCTCACGTAAAAGTGCAAACCTCTCATTTTGAAACCCGCCCAGAATATACCTCAAATGACCCAGGTACTTCGAAATTCGAATCTTCACATCCCGTTGTAAAACACTAAAACCGCACATTGTAGCCTGCTCTCGCTCGCTTATCTGCCCGAGAGAATGTTGGTTGTCGGGTCGTATCGGGTCAGGCCGTGCTCGCCACCAACCCCCCCGCCATCCCAGCCCAACGTGACGGCACTGCTGTACTCTATAGTACCGGTTTGCCGTCGTACCGATCGCAGAACCTTCGGAATCCGGTGACATACCTGTCACAATCGGTGTGGTGATGGCGGCCGAAACACCATAGTTAAGGTAGCCATGGCTAGCGAGTGCGAGTGCAAATATAGCCGGGTGCCGACTGGTGTCTGTCAACCAACGTGGTGGGGTAGAATGATCGATCTGATAAGATCCAAAGATGCGATAAGATGCCCATCCCATTAGTCCTCGACATAGCCTGTCACGTCGCTAAGTGCGTGTGTCAAGTCGGGCGGCGCGGTAACCTTTACCGACACTCGTTTGTTATATAGGAAGGATGCAAAGATCAAGAAAGTAACGTTCGGCTGACACGCCGACCATCATTCTCCTTTGACTGTGTGAGATCGGATTGAAAGAGCACCAGGTAGTTATGTCGTCCACCTGCTACTAAAGCGCGCAACCCGCTTGGATGCGGCGGGCCCACAACCGACTGAAATGGTCCGTGTCTGCATCCAAATCGGGCGCAGCGACCGATAAGCGTCCCTATTAGCAGGTAGGTGAGTGGGAAGGCAAGCACGTAATCCCGTCCCATGTGGCGACCAAGCCGTATCGGTACAAGCAACGTGGCGATTGCGGGCTGGGTGTGGCGCCATGATGTGGACGGACTGCATGTGTGTCGCGCGTTTGCACATAATCTAAGCGGAAGGGCAGGGTTGACAGTTGCGTTGATCGCAAATCCCGGCAACGAATAGTGCCGAGACAGCAGCGGCAAACGTCCCGCACCGATTGTTGGGTGATACGCGGAATAGAAGAAGGTGTCTAGTAAATATGGTATGTACTCTGGCCAAGTGCGGCAGTATCGCGGATTACTTGCCGCCACGTAGGGTCCCGTTCTTCTGGCTGAAGAACGAGTTCATCCCGTCTATACCAATAGCGTCCACTGCAGCAAGGCATAGCCGGTTTCCGGCGGCAAAGCAGACTGAGCGTGCCTTCTGCATTTCTACCAGCAGTCGCGCAAATGTACTGTGCAGGTCCGTCGCAGAAACGCTGTCGCGGCCGAGACAATGCATTCCGCGCAGACCCGATTGGAGGTGGAAGTGTGCGAATCCGCAGCCAGGGTGATTAGCCGCGCATACAGGCTACAGCCACGTACACGGACACGAAAATCTGCACCACGTACGGCGGCACCGCAGAAACATGCACATATCGCAAACGGCGTTGCGCTCGGATAGGAGGGTAGGTGTGCTGCTGATCGGCGCGTTCCTTCCTGTCTTGAACCGTGTCAGCAGCAGCAACAGCCGACGCGCGGTATCTACTGTACAGGCACTGCATCCAGTATGTGCAATTTAGAGTACATATAGGTACCCATCCTAATTGGCGTTTCCGTCCCTCGGGGCCAGTTTTCGAGTGTTGATTTTCCGGGGTGGGTCAGCGCTCGGATAGAACCGGTTTCGACAACTGCTTTTGCCTGTCCGCTGGTTGTCGTCGTCGCTGATTCTGACTGTCGCGGAAGCCTGTGAGAAGCATTCTATGTGGTATAAAATCGCATGCGGTGGTATCAGCGTTGGGGCATCATGCACGCGAGGCTAGGTACCCATCCGGCAGTTGAAAGTCAGCCCACGCCATGCGGGGTACGGCTACCCGCGGTAATAGGCCGCGTGGTGATGGTGGTGGCTGGTGGTGATTGTGGCTGGTGGTGGTGTGCCGGTGGTGCCAGAACTCACTCCGTTACCGATGTCTGTTTCCCGTAGAGTGTCCCGTCAATACGGCCCAATCGGTGGCCCCCCCTGCAGGTACAGACTTTCCATGGTTCCCCGGCAGTGTCTCTTTACCCATCACCCCCATCACCCCCATCATCCTCCGCCATCCCCTCTATATATACGTTGTTACCGCCGTGTCGTTCAACTCTGTTCTCACTTGTCAGTCTGGATCTCCTGCAAACTGCCCGATACTCGAATCCCTTCCATTCCCCGCACCTGACAATCCAACTACGCACAACCTGCTCTCAGTCATGGCAACCACAGTAGAAGCCCTCGATCACGCACCGGTATGTCTCCCCCGTCGGGAATCTGAGGTGTCCGCACCTTTCGTGGCGCTGATTTTCCCCAGTTGGAAGTCGACACCGATCCAGAATTCTCGTCGTCAGACTACTCCTCGAGCCTGTACGTTGTCACCTAACCTCGGGGCCCTACGATGGGACGACAACTGACACGCGCTGCAGCGAGAGTTCCACTCACAGCATAACCTCGTCCATCGTCGACTACGTATACGAGAATGGTCGCCGCTATCACCGATTGCAGGAGGGTAAGTACCTGTTGCCCAACGACGAGACGGAGCAAGACCGGTCGGTAATTCCAGTGCATCTCCGAGTATCTACAGCATCGCTAAACCCGTTGCCGCTGCAGTCTCGATATGTACCACCACCTGCAGCTACTGCTCCTCAAGGGCGCTCTCTTCGTCGCTCCCATCGGCGATAACCCCCAGCACATCCTCGACTGCGGCACCGGCACGGGAATCTGGGCACTAGATGCCGGAGAGCTCTACCCAATGGCGGAAGTCGTCGGTGTGGATCTGAGCCCCATCCAGCCCGAGTGGGTTGTCCCCAACGTCCGTTTTGAAGTCGACGATCTCGAGATGGACTGGACCTTCCGCAAGGTATGTTCTTCACGTGAACTTAGCTGCCATGCCCCCGACCACCGACTGACCAACTCCCACAGGACTACTTTGACTTCATCCACTCTCGCAACGTCGCGCAAAGTATCCGCGACTGGCCGAAATATTTGGAGCAGATGTACCGGTTCGTCTTTACTGACACGCTCTCGCCCCCGAGCACTCGGCTGACACGTGCGCGGTAGACACACAAAGCCCGGCGGCTACGTCGAGCTGGCCGAGATCGGCCTGCACTCGTACTGCGACGACAACTCTTACAAGGGCTCTGCGCTGGAGACGTACATCGTGAGCTTCGTGAAGGCGATCGAGATCGCCAGCCTGATGCAGCCGACGGGCGACGCGCTCAAGAAGATAGTCGAGGCGGCGGGGTTCGTCGATGTCACTGTAACTATCCCTTCCCCCCTATCCCCTCCCAACCTCCCTGCCCCACCGACATCCACTGAAGTCTCCGGTGCCACTACTAGATAAAACAGTTTAAGCAGCCCTGGGGCGGCTGGCCCAAGAACTCGGAGATGAAGCGCGCGGGGTTCATCGTCTCGCTCAACAGCGCAACCGGCTTCGAGTCCTACGGCATGGCGCCGATGACCCGCTTCCTCGGCCTCAGCACAGATGAGGTCCTCACCATGTGCAAGAACGCCCAGGCCGATGTCGAGAGCAGGAAGGTTCATGCTTATCAGGTCATGTATGTATCCTCCCTCCCGAGGACGCCCAGTAGGAAGCGACACGCTAACGGAATAGGTGGCACGTCCTGGGAAGGAAACCGGAGAAGGTCCGGAAGTAGGTGGGCACTGTGCACTGCGGATTCCGTGGAGGAGTGGCTGTGTGGGTGCCTGGACCGACGGAAGGCTGTTGGATGTGTACATAGATTATGAAGTTCCGATTGATGGTTATCATTGAGCTACGGATTTGGCGCTTCCGGTTGACACTCTTGATATCGACGGCTCGAACTGGTTGCCCATGCCCATGCCCATGCTCGAGCCATCGATAGGAAACGCACCTGAATGTCTGGCCAAGTTAGCTGCTTCAGAATCTGTATTAACGGGAAAGACGCGCAGTATATAGCGCACGAATGTTCGGCGGCCGCTGTCCTGTCGTCTGCCCCGGCGATGAGGGGATCACGTCTGGATACATAAGTACTCGTAGATGAAGGATCTGATAAGACAGGAGGAGGCGAACCTAGTCGGATCGAGTAAAACCGAACGTTGTAGGCGGCCGAGGAGAGTCATTTGCGATGACTCGTTGAATTTGGACATGATCTCAACTTCTTCAACCATATTTCATTTTCGCTGTCTGAGTCCTGAATTCTGGGAGTACGTTAGTCGCCCGGCTTGCCGTTGTGAATAAACAGCAATTGGAGCTGTTGATTACAGAGAAACCTCAAGCTTCCGCAACGTTTTCAATATCGGCGGATGTGCCTAAGTTGATGATTGGGATGATATCTTGACAGTGTGACCTACATACACTCAGGGAGTATACCACACTCGCTCGCTCTCGTTGGCCGCTGACGAACTGAGTAGGCGATCGTCCGGATTTCAACACGCAGCTGCGATTCGATGTGGGATCTCCGACGCTTCGATACCCGTCTTGCGCACACCACAGAACCCAAGGACGAGAGAGACTCTACGAGAGAGAGGTAAGATGTAGGAGTATGAAGATTGATAGACAGGGTGATAATTCCCCTCATCATAGAAGATCGCACCCAGCCTCTATGACAGCCCATATCAGCCTTGCGGGCACGATACCTCACTCGGACGTCCAAGTTCCAGTGCCCAGGGATTTTGCGTGCGAACGGAAACTGTGCGAACATATTACGTAGATATCGCAGGTGTGTTGAGCAGTTACTATAGAAGGTGAGATGCATAGGCCATCTGCGGAGAACATTCGAACCCCCCGCCTGACGTCGTGAGTCGTGCCCACGAAAGTTGGAACTTGGTGTGGTGGAACTTGGATTCTGGAAGCCATCGATACGCACTCGACGAAACTCAGCCCAGCAGACAGTTGACCCGCAACCGACTACGTGCTAAGGCAAATGTTTTTCCTGATTTCTGGCGATGGGAAATTAGTTACTACGCATGGTCGAACAGATGCTACATGGCTTCCGGGTATCCACTACACTCTAGCTCTACTTTGCATTCACTCATCACTTTAAAAAGAACAACGGAAAGTCCTGGGGAGGCCCTCGTGACTTGGGAGACCACCTTCACCCTTCAGTGGCAGTGCCCGGGTGTCTGCAGGTAAAGCACTCCTATCACGCTTACCGGTACTCGCACTCGAGCCCACGGATGGGCAGCGACTCGTCCAGCGTAAAAACGACGTTCCCTTCCGGTTTACGTTCCCTTCGACTGCCGCTGTCGTCTGCCACCACTACCTTTGACTAGGTAGGATAGATCTACGATCTGATAAGAGGAGGTGCAGAGGCGAGTCGGATCGGTGGGTCATCGGGACTAACAGGATCCACTGACACCAAACGTTGTAGGCTGCGGAGGAGAGTCATATTCGGTGGCTCTTCGAAGTTGCATACAGCCTCAACGTCTTCATCATCTTCCATTTTCGCCGTCTGATTTCTAGAATTACGTCAGCCGCCCCAATTTTCGCCACGAACAAAAGCAATTGTGGCTGCGACATATCGTGGCTTACGAGGAAACGAGGAGCTTCTGTAACGTTTTTAATATCGGTTTTTGACGAGGATAATCCAGTTTACAAATTGAATGACGAGGGTAATCCAGTTGTCTTTTTTAGACGAGGGTAGTGTAGTTTTTTTTTTTTTTTGGACGAGGATGATCCAGTTTACAAATTTAATGCCGAGGGTAATCCACAATAAGCGCTCAGCTGCCGTGCTGCGCCACAGCGCCAGCGCGCCAGTGTCAGAAAATAATACCACAGAGAGAGAACATCATCAATTGATTGTCGCATGCAGCATTACTAGACTATCCATTTACGACTCTACCCAGAGTAACATTTGTATGCGCCTTTCACCATATAGAGGCATAATGGCCTGTCTCTTTGCATTTTAAGCAGCGGGGTGGAGCAAGGTCTGGGATATTCAACAGCCACCCTGATGCTCCTGCGGGTATATCTTTCTCATTTCACCCTTTGTCATCCGCTTCTTGGGGGGTCGCCCTTTCGGAACGCGGGTGAGTGGAGGTTCACATTTTGCCACCACCACCACCTCCTCCTCCTCCTCCTCCTCCTGCTCCTGCTCCTGATCCTGATCCTCCTTCTCGGATCGCTGTGCTTCACCATGCTTGTTTTCCATCGATACCAGTAGAATTGCAGCATTGTATGCTGCCATCCAGTTATGCCGTGACATGTAGTCAGGCATGAAGGCTATCGGAACCTTCATGATAGCTTGGATAACTGTCACGGCATGTCCACATGGAGCACCGGTATCTTGTCAGCGGACACACGTGCAAGTACGCTGCGTGAGATTTTCTGAGAATCATCGCTGATCGGACATCTAATTTCATGGTCATCCACACATGTACCCATCTGTACATTTTAAAGGGTTGGGTGATTGGGATGGAATCAATCTTTTCTGACGCTGGCGCGCTGGCGGTGTGGCGCAGCATCGCGGCTGAGCGCTAAACTAAACAGACAAAAAAACTGGATTACTCTCGTCAAAACCCGTTTTAATATCGGCGGAAATGCATAAACCTATCAGATACTATCGCTGACCCGAGGGGCTAGGCCACATGGGAGGCTATGGCACCGCTGACACACTCGTCTCGATGACTTCGCATCGTCGTCGCACTCTTGTATCACAGCCGGGTAGAAGTGCCGTATTCAGGTTGCATAGATTACCCCGCATCATCATGGGGTTGGATGTCTCCGACGTGTTTACAGCTGACCATCGAACGTCGCGTAAGACACCACGATTCACATTCCCCGAACAGCCCGAGACGGTCTCAATCTACCCGTCACACGAAAATTTCACAAACGGATACACCCATCGCCCAGATGTCCTCCGATGCCTCGCGATTGCATGTCATCAATCCGAGTCTCTCCACCGATTGCACGAAATATTCCCGCTGGTAGTCTCTCTACTGGCCGTCGGGTCGGACAGTGGCGGGGAACCGCAGTGTGTACATATATTGCCATGATCTGCTTAGGTCGCAAGAAATTACTGATTAAACAAAAAAAAATCTCCGTGCTGGCCGGTAGCTGGGTATCACTCCCATTGCCCAGATCGGTCTGATTGATTGTATGCGCGTGTTTGTTGTCGCAAAAGCATGGAAAAATCGACGTTGTGGTAGCGTTCCACTGAACTCTGACGGTAGTCACGACATGATCGGGGTCGCACTCATCATTGGACATGTTCGGATGAAGGATATGCCCTAATGTTCCATATACTTGTTAAGAGAAGACGAAGATATTCTATTCAATACCCTAACAACATCATTGGCAACTAGTGAATCTCCCAGGTATATACACATAACAGACCTCTTGGTCGACGATGGCTGCCCTCTCAAGGCGGCACTCGGTCATCCGACTTCCTCTCCGCAGACCTCTGTACCAGCCATCAGATCATCTCCGAGCGTTCGATTTTTGACAGTACTGTAGCGCATGTATTAAATCTCCCGCTCAGCACTCCGTCTCGTGGACACCTCCCACCAGCATAACCCGATCGCGTGCAACTTTATCCCCCTTCGGAGGTCATCATAATAGGCTCCCCTAATTTATGACAAATCTCTCAACCGTTCTTGTCTTATCGTAGGACAGCTCCCGGGCTATCGGACAAGACGCCTCGATCACGTGCAGTCGGCTAGCTGCCATAGGGTGCTGCCGTGCATACGCTGGCGCCGACCCCGCTGGTGAGTCGTTCATCCGCATGGGACGGGACGTATTTGGAGGTATTGAGCACTCGAGTCCCACTGTTCAAATTTTGTATGAAGAGCTGGCAAAGCAAGCCGACAGTTCTGTTGCAGCAGGAAATGTTAGTACATAGCAGTGGTTCTTACGGTCTACTCCATTGCAATGTCACCATGTTTGTGGAATTAATACGGATCCGCGGCGGGCACCCTGCACATCGACCGAGCACACGGCGTGTCGCTTTAAACATTCGAGGGTTGCGGCCCAGTCGTGATGCCGATATGCTGGTGGTGTTTAGAGCCACGCCAATTGCTTCGCGTATCTTCCGGTTAAGTGAAGTGAAATGCTTCTCATATCAGTCGTTGAAAAACACATTCAACGTCCCAAATTTGGCGCAACTACGTACATTGAAACGTCCGGACCCGGCGATACATTCTCTATTACTAACTGCAATGATAGAAAGATCGTGACATTGGTCGGCTGCGTTGTGCCCGAATATGGCACAACAGAATCGGCTAAGCCGCGTAGACGTCTCCATTTGTTTTCCATCAACCGACCGCAAACTCACTGCTGACGAAAGAAAATGAAAGCAAGTAGTATTGAAATAGCTGAACTGAATATGACTAACATTCTAACGGTTGGAGTAACAGATTCACAAAAGAAAAATGAAGGGAATCAACTGGGAGGTCGGGGAGCTGGCCTGTGTGAGCATATCACGTTGAGTTGTTTGCATCGCGGAGCAGCTGGATCATGTACCTGCGTCCATGCCTCTCCGCACATCTCAGCGGCGACAACCCGGATTTTTTTGTCACCCGGAGGTCAGCGCCACGTGCGAGCAGCAGCAGGGCAACCCCGCCTTGTCCTTCCCTCGCCGCAACGTGCAGCGGCGTCGAATCGTCCCGTGTGGCCGGCAGGGCGATCGCCTCGTTTCCGTGAGATGCTGCAACATGTAGCGGCGTTGACCTATCCTGTGCAGCCGCCGAGACATCGGCACCACGATTGACAAGGAGCAGGGCTATCGATTCGAATCTGCCCCTCGCCGCAAAGTGCAGCGGTGTCTCCCCGTCAATGGTTACCGCTGAGGGATCAGCGCCACGGGCAAGGAGCACCCGGGCGAAAGCCTCGTGTCCGTTATCCGCCGCTTTGCGTAGTGGCGCACATGCTAGAGTTATGCGCTCCTACGTCTAGCAAATTCTGAGCCACTTCCAGATCTCCAAGCGTACACACGTCGGGAAGCAACCCATCTATCTGGTCCCTGCGTTCTGACTTGAGTTTGAAAGTAGTGGTCAACTTCAATCTGATACGAGCCTCCAGACTAAATTCGGACTCAAATGAGCTGGTGAATTCCCGTCCTAATCCAAAGACGCAGACTGTGGAAAGAATGTCACATGTTTTGTGAAGCATTTTGAACCTACGCCAACATCCGTCGGCGTTGGAATACTTTTTGGCCCGACAGTGGCTGCTGTGATAGCTCAACCATTGCTGATGCGTCATTGCCGATGTGAATGCCTCCCAAAGCCCGATCAAGATTGGACAACCTTCGCCGCCATGGCCAAAATGCCATGGCCAAAATACAGCGGCGTACCAGAACATGTGACGCTCGCTATGATGCTCCTCCTCAGTGTTAAGCGTCCAGTCGTAATCATACCAGGAGTCGAGTGTGCACAGAAATGAGAGGCAGACTTTCGCAATTTTGGTATGTGTATCTACTTTGGCCAGTTTGAAATCCAAACACTCCACCACGGATAGATGTGCAAATCGGAACACGTTGAGGCGTTCGTCCAGAATAATGAGGATGTGGCACGCCTTTAACAGTTCGTTCGCCTTGACTGTAGGGTTGTGGGGAAAATGACCACAGCCATGGACCTGCATTGTGATGGCATCAAGCAGCGTCTCAGATCGTAGCGGCTCGTACGAGTATTGAAGCCAACGGAAGGCTTTGACTGCTAGTTGTGGAGCGTTGCCACTGTGCGCCATAATGCGGTTGAATATCTCGGCGTATGCGTCTATGAGAGTGTCCGGAAGGGTCTTTAGGCTGCGTCTCACGTCGTCCGCGGTGGACATGTTGCAGAGAAAGGTAATTTGAAGAGCAGCAGTTGGAACTTGCACCGCCCTGTTGGTATTTGAACCTAGTGGCCGCCTGTGCTAACTTACATTCCCCTAGATTGCTCACATAGGACTTCACATATTTCATCCTTTAACCCATATGGAACATTGCCGTGAAGAAGCTCCTTATCCTCGATAGCGCCACGAACAGTCATTTTCACGAACTGGATAATGTTGGTCACATTGTCGTCTGGTTGCAACTGGATCCTAGGAAACGTCTCGAACTGCAGGAATATATCTATGTCCATTCGCGTGGTTGCAAAAATCTTGACAAGATTCTTTGATCTTTCGACGAGGTGCTTCAGCGCATGAAGTAGTTTCAACCGCACTGTATGATCGATTTCGTCGAAAGCATCTATGCATATTGTCGTTCGAGGATGTATATCCGTGAGTTGAAGGAGAAGCGCCTCGCTTTCTGTCAGGGTCAGTCGTGATGACGTTTGCCCATTCTTCTCTCGCTCTGTGTAGATCTCTAAAACTGGCTGTAGAAGTGCTTCTGAATCCGTCTGGACAAGCTGCTCAATGAGCGCGCTAAGAATATTCTCAGGATCTCTACGATTCTCCTCGGCTCGATTACAGCAGAAGTATGCTAACTTTCCGTCTGCCGGAGTTGAAAGGTATGAATCGATGGCCCGTGATGCAGCGTAGGTTTTGCCGGCGCCAGCTATCGGAATAGGTAAGACGAGAACCTTTTCCAGTGAATGAGGTTCACGGAGACTTACGAATTCCCCGCAACATCACTTTTGAAACACTCAAGGATTTCCAACTGCAGAACTTCTTCCTCCCCAAAATCCACTCGCAAGTGCCTGCTAGACGCCCATCGCTGATACGCTTGTGGTGGCTGATGTACGAAATTGTGGAGATCCAATTCAGAATCTCGGTTCTAGTGGCGTTTAGCTACAATGTGAGTGATCCGCGAAGATATTCGCAGACTAATCAATTTTCGACGTAGCAATGCCGCTTACCGTGTGATCTACCACCGCGAGGTCTCGTTAGCCATCATGAATCCCCCGTCGGTACATCATCAGTTTGCCGGATTCAAGGGAAAGGCTTACCCGCCGGTGACGAACGTCTTCCCACCGTGAAGCTCTCCTCCAAGGATCTCGATGTGCATGGCCGCGTCCGGGTAGTTTCGTGTCTTCCATGCATTACCGGAACTACGTGGCCGTAATAAGTGACTCCGGTTGTTTATTGGTCAGTGATATAAAATCGTGTGTGCAACTGCAGCCGACCCGCGGCGGAGATGACAGGAAGACGTCAGCATCGTAACATGACCTACGAAACAAGTTTCCGGGATTTCGTGCGCTCGAGCATGCATCGCATACTCGTGCCAACGTGCCTATCACCATCACCGGCCGCTCACAGGATCGCGCCCTGGGGTACTCCTACGAGTGCGTTACCAGAGCGTGGCCTTGGTCGGTCGGGAAAAAATTAAGTAGACCCGACCTAGGTTTTGGTAGGTCGGGATATGTCCCGACCAATCAGACCTTGCCAGGCTCCGTCGACCTAGGTCGGCCGACGTCGGGTTAACTGTTAATTCAATCAGTCGCAAAATTTTACTTAGTTCTGGCGGTTATTAGAGCATTTCCGACGTCAAATCTTGTTTCTTAGCCAAACGTATACCGACCCAAGATATTTTGGTCGGACTGGTCTATGTAGAACACTGGACGCCGTGTGTTGCTTTTCCAATACATGTGCTACTGGTGCACGCGGATATCCTGCCTGCGCGCCTCTAGAAATAATGTATCCAGCGATCAGATATCTCTGGGGCGCGAGGGTGCGTATGTGAATGAGATACGAGCGTTCTTCGTGCTACCTATCGTGTGTGGACTTTGGGTGGTTGGTGGGTTGAATTCGACAGGGTTACCGCGGGTAGAAACTGGAGAACACGGAGATGGAGACGGATAGAGGGGCATCCACTGTTGTGTCGGTGGGATGTGCGGGACTTACCGGGGGGAAAGCGCACGCATAGACGGCAAGGGAGGATGTCTCATCATCCATTGCCACAGGAGGTATCTACATACTGGTAGCAATCTAGGAAAATTCGGGCAATACCGGTAATCGCATCCTCCATAGCTCAACCCGTCCATCCCCGCACCAACTCCCACTCGTCGAATACAATACTACTTCACATCTGGCAAACGACAGCCCACTACCCACCTACTTTGTTTCAATCTTCTCCGTCTCCGGCTTCCTCCCCACGATGTGCAACATATGCTGGTACACGTGGACCTTGCGGCTATTAACCTCCGCAACGGACTTTGCGCACTCCATCTGGACGTCTTCGGGTTTCATGCCGAGGACTCTCGTCATAGGCGCCATAGCGTACGACTGCCACCACCCGCTGTTAGCCGACTCCACTCCCCACGCACACGCATTCCACCCCCCACTTCTAGGAACATACCTCCAGCCCCGTAACCGCCGTCAGTGCCATGATCTGGCCGACCTTCTTCATCTCTGGATTCTTCGGCCAGGGTCCCCAGGGCTGCTTGATATCGTGCACGACAACATCGACGAACCCCGCGTCTTCAGCGTACTTCTTCAGCGCCGCGCCAGACGGCAGGATCAGCCCCGCGGCCACCAACGCTTTCTCGAATTTCTTCCCCAGTCCCTCGATCGCGCTGCCTGCGTGCGTGTGGTCGTCGCAGTCCAGCGACATCATCGCTTCCGCGAGCTCGATGTAGCCGCCGGGTTTGGTGTGTCTGGGGCAGTTGTCAGTGGACTGGGGACCCGAAGGTGGCAGCAGGGGATGAGGAAGTGGGCGGGGGAACAAACGTGAACATCTGCGACACGTAGCGAGGCCAATCCTTAATGCTCTGGGCGATATTGCGCGAGTGGATGAAATCGAAGTCGTCGGCGCGGTAGGTCCAATCCAGCTCGAGGTCGTCGACTTCGAAGCGCACGTTTGGGACTACCCTGCAAGCCGCGGGGTATGTCAGTTAGAATCATCGGGCAGCATCCTTCATAGTTCTACCATTCCGGCTGAATAGGACTCAGATCGACACCGATGACTTCCGCCGAGGGGAAAACCTCGCCCGCATCGAGCGCCCAGATCCCCGTCCCGGTGCCGCAGTCCAGGATTCGCTGCGGGTTCTTGATCGGTGCCATACACAGCTCGCCGTGCAGCGAGAGCAGTTGCAGGTGGTGGTAGAGGTCAAGTCTAATTCGCGATTGACTTGTTAACTACGCCTGGGCATCGAGGCGACAAGGCGGGGGTGTGCGTGCGTACCGGTCTTGTTCTGTCTGTACCGCTCCGACTGGGAGTTAGCAGATAAACGCCCAACCGCTTGCGGAACTCGGAGATCACCGACCTCGTCATTTGGCAGCATGTACTGACCCTCCTGGAAACGATGATAGCGGCGTCCTAACGCATCATGTCAGTACTGTATCCAGCTTCAAATGTTGGCGGCAATGCCACGCCACGCATCCGCGAAGATGGTATTCGAGGAGAGCTACCGTTTTCGTACACATAGTCGACGACGGACTGGGAGAGGCTCTGCGTCGACGTCGCCAGGGTGCTCGAGTACCCGGACTCGTCATCGCCGTCGGTGTCGGCTTCCAACTGCGGTACGGTAGGCACCCGTCAGTAGTGTACCGTGTATGGGTATCGATGGGAGCGACGAAAAGAGAACGACGACTGCCTAGTAGGCGGGAGACATCGCTCGAGAGACTCCCGCCCGCGAGTCTGTACGCGAGACTGGAGACTGCACTTACGGGCTGCGAGTCGTGTGCCTCTGACGCCATCCTCAATCTTCCGAGTTCGCGTGTGTGTAGAGGTGAGGTAGTATCGTGTCTTCGCGTTCCGCTTCGGTAGTGTAGGGTGGCAGGGCTGTGTAGATGAAGGATTCGCGAACAATCCTCGTTTCCGCAGGCGAGGCGGGATGCGGTGGGTACTAAGTACTCTGCTCTGCTCTGCTCTTCTCTACTCTGCTCTACTCCACTTTGACTTACGTACGCCCTCGCGGCAGATAAGCAGAATCGTAGCGATAGCCGCGGGCCCTGCGAGCGGGGAATCCCGGTCCACCCTGCTCTCATATGTGGCCAAGGTCCCCCCTGGCTAACCACAAGCGACCGCCCCGCAGCATGCCGCGTACCTTATGCGGACCTACACACGGATGTAAAGTGCCGCAACAGCCGGCAATCGCACTTGCACCAGCCGAACCTGTCTGTCGGTGGTACCACGAGGGGAGTCGCGCGATATGCGGCAGTGCAGTGCATCCGCAGCTGGCGGGTGGAAGTAATTGAGTTTTCGCGTGGCGCGCAGAGGTGGTGGAGATATAGTGGAGTGCACCGTCGGGAAGCACCTGCTGTTGCTGGATTCGTGCGTGAAGGATGGGGTTGATAGGCGTTTGTAAAACGGTGCTCGGGGCCACGCTGCAAAATGACTTAGGTAGAATAGAGTACCGGTGCCAATACCGGACATGTGGATGGTCGGGGGATGAAAAGGCGATCATTACAACTATCATTCAGAGTTCCATCTAGGTATGTGCTCTATTCGAGCCTCCCCTATCTGGGGCGCATCGTCAGATGTTGTTTTGTTTGATCACACCCGGACATACATAATCAACCTATGTTTTCAACTGCTACCATCAAGCTTGTCACTTCGGCATTCGTTTCTAGCTATGTCCTGCGGACCACCGTTTATTAAAAAAAAAGAGTCAATCGTCCACTGACCGGCCCGGCTCCGTGTGGTAGATAATGCGCGGCGGACCTTCGTGCCCGCCGACTGGGCAGTGGGTACCGAACGGCGGTGACCAGTGAAGAAAAAGACGCATAAAAGAAGTAGGAGATACGCACTTGAAACATCTGTGCAGTCTGGGCTGTTCACCGCCCACCGCCCCCGACCGCTCCGAGTCTATCCTCATCGCAGCAACTATCACTACTACCACCTCTGGTCCGTATCGCTCCGGGAGGCAACCACACTCTCAATCACTGCTGTAGTCTGCTCGAATCCCGGCTCTGCTAGCACGACTACCAATCGCGTGATGACTGCTGCACCAAGTCCGCCGCGTCGGAACGGCGAAGACTGGCCGATAGACCCCCGTCTATTGCTCGTCATGGAGAACGCGCGTGTTGCTAAGGCCGGGGGTTCGATTGGTGAACAACGATCAAATCAGTGTTCTTCACCGATTGATGATTTCTCAGTACTGATATCCTACGCGCCAGCGCGTCAGTTCATCCCTCTCTCCTCCACAAGCTGTGAAAATGAGCACCATATCTCACTCGGACACCCAAGGTCCACGCCCGAAATCAGGTTTTTATCAAAGGCTTTTCGCGATAGTCAAATAGGCTGCATGCGAAAGGTATTCCAGCGGAAATATTCGCTCCTGTTGATCGCATATCCCAGGAAGGATTAGTGGGACGATTCCCAGGTCTGGTGGGAATCTATGGCATTAGACACTCTGGATGTGTGAGTAGGTACGCGAGTAGGTACTTGTGTAGTCACGTGGACGCCTCAATGCTGACAGCAAACACAGCTAAAGTAGCGGAATGAATGATGGAACTATGCTAGGACACAAACGAAGGTCTTTTCTCGCAAACGAAAGGACTACAATTACCACAAATCACTGGTTTCGCGGTTGGAAACGAATGATCCCCGCGGCGAGGGCTGCAGGGTGTGCCTTGAACAGCCGGTATCGAGCTCGCGGTGAGCGGTCAGTGTCGCCCTGGGCGAAATGAATATGTAGTCTGCCATGATTTACTACGGGTTGTCAGGCCTCAGAGAGTGTTGAAAGGAGTGATATGGGACGGGCGTCATGCGGGGATCGCCTCGACTATTAGAAAGTAACCAACTCTATCTGAACTTGCATTGAGCAAGGCGAGCGAGAATGTCTAGGAAAAAACTCTGTGGGTACTACCAATAATTATCTTTGCACACCACCCTCATCCAATTTAGGTGTTGCCCGTTTAGACACTCGTCCGTTTGCCAAATTTCCCTACGTGCGCGTAGGGCGGTGAACCACCGTCCGGACTACAGTCCCGAGCGGACTATGCCGAACACTGGGTCACCATACCTGCTCATCTGTGGTCGTAGTTATGGCGGTGGTTCAATTTTCCCGGGATGACGGTGGGTACCATTACTGAACCTCTGACGGCTGACGAACGAGTGGCGCTCCCATGATCATCAGGACGATGATTCATAGCTGCCACTAATTCGTCGTGTTTGAAGCGTCAACGTCAAGTGATGAGCTGTTGGGCAGGTGTCAAGTCTCCGGGTCTGGTCGCCCCCACTATCTCGCCTGTGGAACGCTCTCCTCTGTAGAAGAACCAGAGTGCAGCGAAACGATAACGTGCCGTCTCTGGCATCGGACGTATCATCCTGTGGTGCAACTGTGGCGCGCTTGCTCTGTTCGGGATGGTTGATCAATAGAACCTTTTAACCATTCACTCCTATCGCACCCACCATCGCCGTGGCCAGGTATACGCTGTGAACCTGCCGGATCCGTTCGGCAATCGCATCCACCGATACACACTTTGCGGAAGCCATATCCGCCTGGCGGTTACATCCACGCAACCAAAACCAAGCGGAACGCACATCCACTCGGCGATTGCATCCGTCGGAGAAAAAAAACCGCTCGGAAGTTGGTTCCGTCGACAAAGCCTACGGCGTATAAATTGCTATCATCCCACAGCTGTCGACGCGGCAAGGCGAGTGCGAGCAAGTGATGCAGACGTCCGCTTGCCGCGGGCGGCGGGGCGACTTCCCAGCTCCGTCAATCGCAAGAAGCCTTTAGCCGTTTGGGAGCTGGGGTTTCAAAGACAATCGAGCTCACTCTTAGAGAAGGTATCGCCTTGCCGACTATGATTTGTTTCCCGGATGGGCTCGATGGTGATACGGCCCGTTCATCAGAATACGGGCCGTTGGCATTGGACTGCAGTCCGCCCTGACCTTAAAACCGTTTGGATTAGTCCGTTCGAACACCGCTCCCGGACCGATTGCTAAGATATAGTCCAGTCCGGTCCAAGGCCCAGGACGGACGGACCGGACAACCTATGTCCAACACTAGGTATACCGCAGTGCAATCGCCCTGTTGGTCTGCGCAACCATCGAACACCCCCCCCTAGCTAGATAGGTACTTGATGTGGCTCATATGCAGAGCGAGTCGAATTTAATGGAGCATCAGGGCTAGAGCCTCGAGTGCGGTAGTGCCCTCCATCTCCCGAAGTACCACCTTGCGGCAGGGTTCTACATAGATCAGTGCCGACTAAATTTGGGTATCGTCTGGTCGGGTCGGGATTCGTCTGGTTGAGAAACAACATTTGACGTAGGAAATGGTCTAACTATCGCCAAAAATCAGGAAAATTTTGCGGCTGATAGAATTGACAGTTAACCCGACGTCGGCCGAACTAGGCTGACCTAGCTTAGTGAGGACGGGTTGGTTTACATATATCCCGACCAATCAAACCCACGATCTGGTCTGCTTATTTTTATCCCGACCGGAAAATCGAAGGTCAGGTCGGCGTGTTGGCAGACCGATTTAGACCGGTCGCTCGACCGGTTTGCTCTATGTAGAACACTGCCTCGCGACTTGCCAGCACGTACGCCTGCACGGCTGCCACTCTGCTGCGGATGGCTGTGCTACAATCAAGCCGCAGCCGGTGCCGATATGTCGCCACGTAATGGATACCTAGTTTTATTGACTCAGTGTTCAGCCGCACGGAACGAAACGCGACGGGGCAATTGGCGACAACGTGAGTGCGAAAGCGCGCCGAGAAATATCAAAACGAGATCCAGCAGCTTCGCCGTCAGGACAACACGGTGCGACAAATCCCGAAACTCGAAAATGAACGGCCTCTCGATCGGCATGGCCGTAGTGGGGCTCGCGCAAGCGGCGGCCCAGATCGTACGCCTCCTGTCTGGGGTAGCCGATGCGCCCTCGATTTCACGTGACGTGATCGCGGAGGTGGGGTCCATGGAAGTCATCCTGCGTCTGCTTGAGACGTTCGTGCTCGGTTCCGCCGCCCACAACGAAGATCGCACATCCCTCGTTCGTGTCGATGACCTCGTTACCATCCTGACCAGCTGTGTCTGTGCCTTCTCCGAGCTCCACTTTATCCTAGACGGCTGCGACACCAGCGACCCGGATGCGACTCGAGTGACTCTCTGGGATCGAGCCCGATGGGCGGCGAAGTAACCAGAACTCGTTCGGGTGTTGAGGAATCTACAAAGCCACAAGATTTCGGTGAGTTCGTTTCTGGCAATGTTAGTTCACTCCGTCAGTCATGTTTTCTGCCAACATGTCCATCACTGATCTTGGAGTGTAGGGTAACTGCGGTCGAAGGGCGGAACGAGAGGCAGGAACTCAGGGACCTCATCACGATTTTGCGACGCGACGTGGATCTCGATCAGCGGATGGTGTCTTTCGCGTCTACTGGTGTTGGACGCAGTGCATCCTCGGTCCTTACAGTCCCGGCGGTAGCCGGCGTGGCTGGGACACCTTCCGCGGTGGTCGAAGCCGGCGCCTCCTCCTCCTCCATAACCACGATATCACCCATTCTCGGGGTCACTCCGGCACCCGTGATTGCGCGGTTGCGCACAGGGGCCCTCTACTAGAGAAATTGAGTGCCAGCAGGTGGATGGGGTACCCCCTGGCGCGAATGATGCGAACTATCGCACGACCGAAGAAGTAAGCGAAGATCGCGGTTTATTTCTGGACGACGTAAACAGGACGCGTGGCCGGCATGGATCGTTGTCGTGGCTGGCAGGATGGGGCGGGTAGTGCACTGTTGATGGGATTGGTGGTGGCGGTGGTTGTCGCTTTCCTTCGGTACGGTAATTCACCATGCCCCGCCGGCGGATGCCGGTGTTGCCACCTCGCCCGATGAAGTGGCGGGGAATTTTGTGGTTTGCGTTGGTCGTCGCAATATTGAGGGTATGTCCAATCAGGATCGGTGATGTAGCTTCACCGTTGGGTCGTTGCTTTGCGGGATAGAGTAGCTTGCATCTTCTGGTGAGCGCGGGGGGTGGGTTACAGAGTCGGGAGGCAGTGGCGGGGATGGGTCCGACCCATTTAATGATTTTCGCGTGAAGGTTAGCAAGAGGGTCTAGGTCGATGGTGGAGGTGAAGGGGTGGAGAGAGAACGTGCGTGCGGTTAGGCGAAGTATTGCAGGTGAATTGCCGTGGGTGATGATGGTGGTGGGTCGTTCTCTCGTTATACGAATTGGGGTGTTATCATTTCGTTATGTTAGTAAAAGTTATCTGATAGCTCCGTGGCCGAGTTGGTGAGGAGACTTTGTTCTCGCGCTGATCTAGCTAATCAGTCGTGGGTTCAAATCCCGTTTGCCGCTCGGCGAGTTGGTGGGAGTGCCACCCTTGAGGAAGGGAGGATGCTCCTGGAGAAGAGGTCGGGTGAGGAGGGGCTTCCCCTCCTCTGGAGCTTTCGGTTATTTTTTTGTTTTTGTTTTTCTTTTTAATCTACGTTTGATTCGTCTTCCACGGCGCTCACCATACTGTACTCACTTTCTACCCTCCTCACCCAGCGTCCACATATCTTTTTCTCCGCACCCGAGGACACCGAATCACATCTCAAGATTCAAACAATCAAAACGTTTCAGTCATGACCAGTAACTCGAGTGGGATCACGTGCGTACGTACTTGTTCTTTGAATCACATTCCCCTGAGTGATGCGGTAGGTAGGTTCCAAAGTCGCAACGCCCGTATCACAATGTCCGCCGCTAGATACGTCATGGTAGGGAGGTTTCTACATACCAACTTGCATAATTGCTCTACGGAATCCACGGGAATGCGTTTGATGTCACTCGTTGCCAATCATTCCGCATCGGTTCAGATTGGGTCAAATTGGTACGGTACTACAAGTTGTCAAACGCCGGACATATAGGGACCCGGTTGTTGAGAGTGCTGCGGCTGTCGGTAATGCGCTTCTCGTACCCAGTGGAACAGCGATCACCTCGAGACACTACCACGCCTCCCCTCCGGAAAGCTCTTGAAAAGTGCTAGCTCTCGGAGAAGGCAGCAGTCGAGCCCGGTAATATATGGCAGTCGGGCCGCAGCTTAGAGAAATTGAGATTCATCGCCGAGGTGAGCTGCGTTATACGGGGGTGATACTGAGTGGAGGTAATATTTCACGCTACCGGCACGGATACTGTGAGAATGAAAGTAGTATTCACCACCTACTGACGGCAAGTCCACCGTTGCCATGCATTGGTCCCATGAATGGCGACGCGTTGCTGCATGCGGCGCCGACTGACTGGTGACATCGGATTACTCTGTTGCACAGCTGTTCGGTGCTGAGTAGCCACACCTGCGGATTTCGCTGGTCTTCGTCTCCATTGCCTTTCTTCCTCCGTACATGGTTCGAGACGTTACATCCGCTGTATCGTAGCCTGCCAGTATAGCTCGACTTGTGATTTCCGCTTCTCATCTGTTTTGGACACTGGCTTTCTTCGGGAGGCTTGCGGTTCACCTATAATAGAACCGCTGCTGATGCCTGGCGAAGAGTATTGCCCAGTTGGGGGGCGGCACGAACGCATCGCATCGGATCTCGGTGAAGGCTGCACACTCTCGCCCAAGGGGCACGCATCTCCCCATAATGTCATAGTTTCCGCTTCATATCTACCGGTATCACGGATGCGAACCGGGAGGCGTTACGGCGTTTGAGGCGGTCGAAGATGGGCAATTAGCCAAACATATTCAAGATGCAACAGAGAGCTTTGCAATACACAGCTAGTTCGTTGTCCCACACCACAAAAGATTGACCAACGCGACGAAAGGAGAAAGAAAAAGAGAAATTAAAAGGTGAAGTAAAAGATAGAGGAAGAGACAGATTAATAAAGTGAAAATGAGAGCGAAAATTGCGAGAGGACGGTAGGTGACAGCGAGATAAGGAGTTTGGTGGGGTAGGGATGGGTTAGGTTTTGAATATCATGAACATTAAGCCGCATGCGGGAAAACCGTGTCAACTCCACCATCAACCTCGGTGTTTTGTTCGCGCAATATCTCCATCACCACCATCATCACCAATGCTGCAGCCTTCCTACACATGCATAGAATTTGCTAAGGGTTACAGTGATGTGGGGGCATTTGTGAGTGCCCCACCAAAATTAGCTTTTTCTAAATTCATCTGCCCCTGGTGCAGCCAGCTCTTCAATCCTGACGACATCGTCCCGGACATCAATGGCTACACTCCTGTTGGAATTCGAGCGAACTCTGGTTAAGACCCGGGTATACAGAAATGCAACTAGCAATTTAACGACAGAATCTTTTCGCAGCACCAGGTCAGGGGGCTCCGCTTGGTCGCAGCTGAGTGGGATGAGCTTGTCGCAGATCTCGAATCTATCCGTAATAGGTCTGCCTGTGTACATCGTCGAACTCACCAACGAACATGTCTATCAGGAGGCGCAAACGCGGATAGCTGGCGCGAATGCATCTAATTTTCCAAGGCCGATACCGTTCGTACGGGAGGGTCGTATTTGGGTTAGAGCTTTTCGGCATTGACACGGCGGACACGATTACTTATTGCACCGCCATGCAAACAAAGGTGATACAGTTGCTGTCAAAGTCCTTATACACCATTGCGGTTTCGACAAGGAGCTCAGAGACGAGGACGGTATGACTGCACTGCATCGTGCTGCCCAAAGAGACGGTTTGACACCGTACGGTATCTACTCTAATGCGGCGCGGACGTCAATCTCAAGTCCTACAATGATTCTTGTCTACTACATCTGGCTGCAATCAGAGGCAATAGCGATGTCATACGGCATCTGCTCGACTGCGGCGCGGATATTGAGGCTAAGGACGACGTGGGGACAATGCGCTTCACAAAGCTTTATGGAATAAAGAAATGGTTACTGTGGGGCATCTGCTAGATCGCGGCGCGTATGCCAACTCCAGGAACCGTAAAACTACGCCGCTACACTACGCTGCATCGAGTGGCAATATCCATCTTGCAAGACATCTGCTCGACTATGGCGCGGATATTGGAGCCCAGGACGCCATTGGTAATACTGCGCTCCACGGGGCTGTACGATATGAGCAGGTGGATATTATAAGGCATCTCTTCGATTTGGTGCGGATACTGAAGCCCAAGTTCACGAACGTTGCACGCTGCTACATTTCGCGGCGTTCAATCGGTTCCGACCACCGATGAAACTACTCATTGATCGTGGCGCCAATGTCGGGGCTATAGCAACCGATGGCACGACGCCGCTGCAGCTATGGCCGGACTGGCCTGAACCAACAACTTCCGGGTAACCAGCGCTTGTTGATGGAGAAGGCAGAATGTAGTGGTAGTCTGGCTGATCGTGCTGGGTTCATGGTGCTTTTTGTATTTTCGGATCAATGTTGTGTTCAGATGATGGTGTGACTTCCAGGTGGCGGCTGTGGGGCTTTAAGGGTGTGATGGGGCACTGAGAAGGACTGTTTGGGCGTGGGAATACATTGTTGTCCGGTTTCATTTTTTTCATACCAAATGTCATCATTAAAAACATCTTCCTTTCTCTCGGAGAGTTTTAGCGGGAATCTCATCCGAAACTGACGGCGGGCACCGGTGGACGTGCAGCCTAATTTCCGTCGTCGTTTTGCGCCTTGGTAGTATTGGCCATGTGCCACACCTACTGCAGTTGGAAAAAGAGACGCGGGCCGCAAAGATAGCGACAGGAGCCTGGAACCCCAATTCGCTATGGCTTCGACAGCATGCCAACGTCTTCCCATCGAGGCTGTGTTCTGCATGAAATCTCCAATCCGATAGTGAACCACGATATATCGTCTCTTTTCCGACATGAGTTTCAAAGCATTCGGAATCACCGACACCTACCCAGGGATTGGTTTGACGAGGAAACCCTAGAACGTCTCGTTCAGAAATCGGATGGCCTGTTCATCCACGCTACAACCGTATGCCGTTTCGTCGATCATAAAGGCAGTCATCCGTCCGACCGCCTCAAATCGGTCTTGCAAGACAGCATTGAAGTCGGTTCACTAACGCTACACCTCGACGCGATATACACGCAGGTATTACGAAGCGCTTGTCTAGTTGAAGATCAGGTACTTCTGCGGGGAGAAAGGCACTTACACCTATTCACGCGGACTATTAGAACGATCGTGATTCTATTTGGCGCCGTGAACGTGCGTGCATTAGGAAACCTATCACATACTCGGCCTGGAGAGGTGCAGGTGATATTGGAATGTCTGAGTTCCGTGGTAAGTTATTCCGACAGCCGGGATGTTCTCATCAGGCTCTTGCACCCGTCTTTCCGCGACTTTCTATTGCAGTCCGAGATGCGTTGATCCTTGCACACTACAACGTCACCTACCCCAGGACGTCCGGTATGCGTGCCGGTATTGGGTCGATCATCTTCGGCGACGTAAAGTGCTTCGTGAATCTGACAGCGAATCAAAATCACTGCACAACCGCGTCCACACATTTTTCAAGGAAAACCTGCTCCGCTGGCTTCAGGCTTTCAGCCTCACTGAGAGTTTGTCCGAAGGTGTCCTGATGGTCACGACCTTGGATTCTATGCTTCCAGTGAGCAATCCAGCACAACCTGATACTTGCCGGCTTCTCTCCCGTATATCCGAGTATCTTGCTCACACTTGAACCTGCTGACCTTGAACGAAGTCTTATGCAAATCGTCACCTACGCGCAATGGCCCATGATGCGGTGCGATTTCTACTCAGCTTCACATCTATCATCGAGATTGCACCACTCCGAGTATATTACTCGGTATTGATGTTCAGTCCAACTAGAAGCGCAGTCAGAGAACAATTTCTGGGCTGTGCTCCCGGTTGGATCAGTCAATTACCGCAGGTTCCACGGGAATGGGACGTCACTCTGCAGGTGCTGGTGGGACATTGGGATGCGGTCTTCAGTCTGGCATTCTCGCCTGATGACAAGTTGCTCGCGTCGGATTCTCAAGATGGAACCGTCCGGCTTTGGGATGTGACCACGGGGACCTGTCGCACTACTCTCAAGGGCTGTTCGGGCAGGGTCAATGGACTGGCATTCTCGCCAGATAACAGGCTTCTTCCGTCGGCGTCGTACGACGACACCGTCCGGCTCTGGGATGTGACCACGGGGACCTGTCGCACTACTTTCAATGGACACTTGGCCAGGGTCAATAGACTGGCATTCTCGCCAGATGACACGCTTCTCGCGTCGGCATCCCACGATCAAACCGTCCGGCTCTGGGATGTGACGTCGGGGACCTATCGCACCACTTACGGGGGAGGTTCGGGCTGGGACAATGGACTAACATTCTCGCCAGATTCTCGCGTGGGCATTAGACAACAAAACCCTCCGGCTGTGGGATCTGACGACGGAGTCCTGTCACGGTAGTCTACAGGGCCACTCGGACGCGATCAATGCACTGGCATTCTCACCAGATGGCAGGCTTCTCGCGTCGACATCGGACGATCGAACCGTCTGACTCTGGGATGTGATGATGGGGACCTGGCACGCGACTCTACGGGGCCACTCGTCCGCGGTCAATGAAGTGGCATTCTCACCAGATGCAAAGCTAGTCGCGTCGGCATCGTACGATGTCCGTCTCTGGGATGTAGCGACGAGGAGCTATCGCGCTACTGTCGAGCGCCATTCAGACACCGTCGTGGAAGTGGAATTTTCGCCTGGGTGCAAGCGAAGTGTATCAATATGTAGCAACCAACGCGCCCTGTTCACTGACGGCGTCAGGAGGACCGCGTTGCGGGTAACGTGTGGAAACGAAATATTCAATTCACAATCATTGTATGAATTGCAGGACTGGATTTATTTGGGGATTCTGAGGTTATTTCAGCTTCACCCTGATTATCGCGCTTTTTACACGGTCCAGGTCGGTACCATAGCTCTCGCGCACGATTCGGGAGAGTTTATTTTATTGGATTTGATCTAGAGGAGTGGTGGAGCGGCGGGTGTGTGGTGGAGGGGGGGCGGGGGGGCGGGGGGGTTGACAGCCGTTCGTTTGTAACTTTCCATATTCAGTCGCGAGGGATCTTGGGGATTTCGATTCTGTTGTAATGTAGTGGCGATGAGCTTGGCTTTCGTAATTTTCCATGATGCGTGTTGGCTGTCGCACATTGTCTCGCGCGCAGCAGTGTTCTACATAGACCAGACCGGTCGTCCGACCGGACGGGTCGGTCGGGATATATCTCGACCCGACCATGGCTTTGGCCGGTCGGGATATAACCCGACCTATCCCGACCTATGCCTGGTCGGTCGGGATATATCCTGACCCGACCTGAAAATTTATGCTCGCGATATAACCCGACCGACCAGACCAAGTTTTTTTTTTTGGTCAGGATATATCCCGACCGACCAAAAGAGAATTTTGTTTAATCGAGATACATCCCGACCGACCCGACCATACCCAAATTTGGTCGGGACTGGTCTATGTAGAACACTGGCGCGCAGCCGTTGATCGCGTGCATATTTTCTTCGCAGACTCAATATCCTCCCTTGGACTCCGTAAGCTACGGGTTCAGAGGACACGAAGCCCACGCAATCACAATTGGAACTACGCATGAATGAAAAATGAACGACAGTATCATGTAGCAATTCCGTAGCCGCGAACTAGACGTGATCGCGTCAGGGAGTCGCGACGCAACAGATGGAGGTCACGTACTATAGAGTAGCCGCGCGTGCGGATGACAACCACCGAGTACGCACATTTCGGATGGTCATTCGCGTACTCGTGTGTGCTGTGGCACGAAGTCACGTCGAGTACAGCTTCGTCGGCTGGCCAAGAGTTGGGTACCGTGTTAGCTCGATAGCCAAGTCACGCGGCAGCTGTACGTTGAGCCTCAATGAGCCTCATTGAACGCTGACGTTGGTGTTTATCGGCGCCTCGAGTATCGCTGATTAGATTGCGGCTGAGAATTAACTGTTATCTATACCTAGTATTTTCATATGACGTCACTGTCAAAAACTCGATCACTGGCGACACGGGGATTTGTGTAGGAGATGGAATGGGGAACGACGTCAATTGGAATTGTAGAATATGGGTACGGGTGTGTGGACAAGAAGGAAATAAGCTGGGAGCTGGAGCGGGTAGACAGGTAGGTATGCACTCAGTGATCCTTTCCAATCATTTAGCCGTGGGACGGTAATTCTGCAACTCCATCTGTTGCCACACTTTTGGAGAGTTTTTCCCCCTCATATCAGCCTCTGTGATAATGTGAGAGCAATAGTTTTGGTGCTGCGCAGCCAGTGGGAGTTGTCATGCAGTGCAGGGCTGTCAACCGTCCGTCCCGTCTATCCTTGAGGTTGCACGACCCGGGACGGATTTGGTGGGGCTGAAGAGACCAACGACTACAGTCTTTCGGGCTGGAGAAATGAGGACGGATACCCTACAGGGCCCGGAATTGACTGGGACACTAGGACAATGCAAGCGGCGTGGCGCCACACAGTAGCGCATGTGTGCGGATGTGTGGCTGTGCAGCTCCATTTCGCAGTGTCTCTCACGGTATAGAACTTTCACACCATCCCCGTTCCTACTTCCAGCAGTGTCTATCCCCTGAGCTCAATTGTTTGACGACGCTGAAAATTCTGCTCAAGGCTGCAAATTTTGTTGGTAGCCACCGCGCTATGTACTACTCCGCGAACCAGTAGTCAGCATAGCACGCTAGTGCTATCAGGTACCTATAGGTACCTGGCGGGTATCCGGGGAATTTGATCCTCCGGATGAAAGGGATCAGTCCTCTGGAAAGCCTGCCCGGGACGGGACGGGATAGGACGAGATTACAGTCCAACAGTGGACTGTAGTCTGGTCGGACGGTTGACAGCCTTGATGCAGTGTTCTATGTCGTCCGGTCCATCTGTCCTGGGCCTCGGACATGACGGCCCAAGTTAATCCAGTGGACGGAAAAGACGGACGGCCGCCCGACGCCAAGGCTTGTGCAAAGACCTGATTTCGGGCGTTGACCTTCGGTGTCCGAGTCAGAATACTGCTACTTTTCGTGCCAACAGCGTCGGCATGACTGGGCAGTTGGTGCGCTGTACTATCTACTGTAAGTCATCCCATAAGTCGCGTTGAGCGTGTCCACATCAAAAGACTAGTTAGTGGGGAGTGAGAAAGGTAACATGTGTCGGTATAGTAAGTCATGACCAGAAATTGCCAAAGGTCGTTGATCCCCATACAAAATATGTCATGATATCGCACTCGCTTATCTGCGACCGGCTAGTGTATGCCCCTATTGGGACGAGTGATCAGAATATTACCAGCTGATATGGACGGTCGTCCTCCACCGTTGGACGCGGACCAACTCGTCCGTCCCAGGCTACGACCTGACGGAGAAACTTTGCAACCGTCTGTCCCAGGCTCGTAACGTCCGGCGTTTCGGCCGTCCGGACCGGACGATGGAGGACACTGGTGTCGTGTCGCTGTTTTGACGGTATTTCAAAATAACACTCCACAGGGTCTCGTGACTTGGCCACAGCCGAGCCACAGTACGTTTCACTTCCACGGAAACCTTGTTGGCTTAAAAGACGTATAGTGACGGCACCATGTGAGGGTGTTATCTATGACGGTTGTATATCACAACCGATCACTCGAAGCATTGCTTATTGTTGTTGTTGGAGATGCGATAGGACAGACTATGAGATCAGAAGCTTATCGGGGAGAGAAAATTGCGGTATGATAAATAAATATGACAAGTGAAAACCTAAACGACCGCTGAGACTAGTGCGTACCAAGCTCACTCAGTCTCCACGATATCACAGCATATCACTCCGTCGCCCACGTCCTTCCAAAATAGATAAACGGTATGGGGCAAGGGCTATCGGCTGCCGTAGACTGCCGAAGGTATGAATGGTCTCATGCACCCCTTCTACAAATCAATAGTATGGCCAACTGAGCGATATCTGACAACAGTCGAGTTTTGGTCCCTTGAAACAGAGACTGTCAGATAGCCCCCGCCACGCAGAAACTTCTTAATGGGAAAGGCGTAAGGTACATTAGGAGACAATCTAACCACCATCGGGTGTTGGCAACTGGAAATGAGTAGGAAACTAAGTTAGACGTTGATTATTCTAAGTATAATGTACATGATCGCATAACTGTGCGCTTCGAAATGCCAGTGTCGCCTGCTTTCACCGTCCTGGGGTGTTCGAAGAGAGGCTGTCGTCCAGTCTGTCTGCCTTCCAATACTTTCAGCCGCGCTCCTGTCAACGATTGCAAAGCAACCAGGTCACCACCATCTTCCCTCACCTCACAGCTAAAACCGGTGGCACTGTGGCATCTACCCGTTGGCATCAGCTCCGACATTTGCTCCCCGGACGGCTCCTCGGTCGCCGAGTAGTCTGGCAATCGCCTCATGCCCTCCCTCCAACGCCAACTGCAGCGCTGTCGCTCCTGAATTATCCGAGGTGGAGACATCTGCTCCGCAGTCAATAAGCAGCCGTACAATCGCCGCGTGACCTCCCACGGAGGCTAAGTGGAGTGGCGTCTTCCCAAAAATGGTTGCAACCGAGACATTTGCTCCCCGGTCCACGATTAACCGGGCTATCGCCTCGTGCCCTCTCTCCGATGCGAGGTGCAGCGGGGTCACCCGCAAGAGATCCGCGGCTGAGATGTTCGCTCCTCGGTCAATGAGCATCCCCGCAACTGCTCCGTGATCTCCTATCAAGGCTAGGTGCAGCGGCGTCTGCTTGAGATGGTATGTGATGCAGATATCGGCTCCCCGGTCGATCATCAGCTGTGCCAACGCCGCACGCCCTCCCTCCAGGGCCCACTGCAGCGGCGTCAACCCATACAGGGTGGCGGCGGAGACATTGGATCCCCGGTCAATCATCAGCCGGACCAACTCGTCGTGGCCTCCTTCCATTGCCAAGTGCAGCGGCATCATCCCAAGGGTCAGTGGGGTAGCAGTCGAAAGGTCGGCTCCCTGCTCAATGATCAAACCAGCCACCGTTACGTATCCTTTTTGTAAGGCCATGTGCAGCGGTGTCGTCCCTACGATATCTGGGATTGTGACATCTGCCCCGCGATCAATCAGAAGCTGGGCTACTGCCTCATACCCTCCTGCTATGGCCAATTGCAGTGGTGTCCTCCCAGTCGTATCGGTGACGGCCGAGAAATCAGATTCCCGGTCGATGATTAGCCGCGCTACTGCTTCTAACCCTCTCTCTAAGGCTATGTGTAGTGGCGTCTTGTTGAACACATCTTTGGCTGAGACATCTGCTCCGCGGTCGATGAGCAGTTGGGCGACTGCCTCGTGCCTTCCCTCGAGAGCCAAGTGTAGCGACGTCTGCAGAGCACCATTGACGGCTAAGACATCTGCACCAACATCGAGCAGCAGCCGGGCAATGTCGAGATCGCTAAATGTGCTCGGGTAGAGAAGCAACAGGCCCTTGGCGTTTCTCTTTCGGTAGCCGGATTTAAAGAAGTTTGGAATCACTCTTTGTACCCGAAACCAAGCACTGAAGGGTCCTAGCCAGGGCTGGTGTACAGTCATGGATTCGAATGCGGTCGTAAACTTCCGTCTGAATCCAAAGATGCAGACCAACGACAGGAGGTCGTTGTCGGCATACGATTGAGCCTGGGTTCTATGCCAAAATGTGTCTTGTACGGAAACGGGAAATTCCACACACCCGCGATGATAGTGGATCCACCGCTGGTAGTTTGCCCCTGATACGAGCGTTTCCCAGAGTCCAGTCAACATTTGGCAGTCGTCTTCGCAACGAGAGTAATGGTATGGCCAAAACACCGCGGAGTACAGCAACAGGTGACGATTGCCATACCCCTCTTCTTGCGTTTTCAGGTCAAGATCATAATCGTTCCACATCGATGGCGCTGCACACAGCAATGAAAGGGACACTTTCGCCAGCTCCGCGTGAGAATCGGCCTTGGGCAGTTGGCTCTCCAGGTATTCGTATACGGAAACGTGTGCAAACCGGAAAACGTTCAGACGTTCGTCCAAGATGACCAGGTTCTGGCACGCTTTGAGGATATCGTTTGCCTGAACCATGTAGTGGCTGAACGTGTCCCCAGTACCACCGGACCCGAGCTCAACTGTGATCGCATCGAGCAGTGTTTCGCGGCACAGTGGCTCGTATGAAGATCGGATCCACCGGAATGCGTTGAGAGCTAGTCGAGGAGCACTCCCGGGCTGGTTGATGATACGTTCATAGATCTTTTGGTAGGCGTTTGTCAGGGTTTTCGGAAACGCCTTCAGGCTGTGTCTAACGTCCGATTGCGTGGCCATCTCGCAGAGAAAGGCGGCATGCAGAGCGGCGAGTTGGAACCTGTAATCCGCATTTAAGTTAGTGTGCGTATCGGTTGTGGGATGGGCACCGGTGAACTTACATTCCCCTAGATCGCTCGCAGAGTGTTTCGCATATTTCAACTTTCAGTTCTCTCGGGACAACCCCATGAAGCAGTCGCCCCTCGTCGATGGCAGTATCGATAGTCGTCTCTATGAACCGGTTGGTGTCGCTGACATTGTCCTCTGGCTGCAACTCTATCCTGGGAAACATCTTGAATTGCCAGAGGATGTCAGTATCCATTCGAGCGGTCGCGAAGATCTTCACGGCCGTCTTCGATTTTTCCATGATATACTTCAACGAAAGTAGGATTTGTATCCGGACAGTATCGTCAATTTCGTCCAACGCGTCTATACACACGATGGTTGTCTGGGGAAATTCATCCGTGAGCTGAACGAGGACGTCCTGACTTTCTGTCAGACTCAGCCACGACGATCGCTGCCCTTTTTTTTCCCGCTCTTTGTAGATGTCGATAATTGGTGTGAGAAGTTTGTCGTCCTCCGCCGTCTGGGCAAGCTGTTGAACAAGCGTATTGAGTATGCTCTCGGGATCTCGGCGATTTTCCTCAGCTCGGTTGCAGTAGAAGTACGCCACTCGCTTGGAGGAGCTGTCCGAAAGAAAAGAATCGATAACTCTTGATGCAATGTACGTTTTCCCGGCACCGGCTAAACGAACAGCTAATAGACATGACATCGTTTCGGTAAAGGATAAAGCCCAAGACTTACGGATTCCCCGCAACAGCAATAACCTCGAAACTGTCGAAGATATCCACGTGCTGTACTCCTCCGTCTTCAGAATCCACTCCCCAGTCCCTTCCAGACGGCCATCACTTATGCGTCTGTGGTGGCTTGTATATGGAATGATAGACAGCCATTCGAGGATTTCGGTTCTCTTTGACTCTGTGTACCGTGTGAGTGAATATCCGGAAAATGGTACGATCCAAAGAGATCACGTACTCTCGGATCTACCGGCCAGTTACCGTTAGCCAGCCGAACACCCGATCTTTCTGACTCGGCAGTTTTGGAACACATACTCGCCGTAATTGAATGTCTGCCCGCCATGCAACACCGATCCGTTGAACTCGACGTGCCTAGAGCCGCTGTGGTAGTTGGTAAGGAGAACTGGATCCCTACTGCTGGTCATTCTGCGGGTTGAAGTGACGTGAGTTGCCTATTCGTATTCGATGCTGATGCCTAAAACTACGGTATCTCCACGTTGGGTCGGGCTTTAGTTGGCGTTCTCGATTAGCCAGGTTCAAAATATCTCGGGACACGTACGCATACATCTCTCTGGTCTCGAACTTCGGCCGTCGGTAGTGTGTTTGATCAAAAGTTGTTAGGAATGATCACTGAGAGTTCTGCGTATACATACAGTAGATGCCAAGCACCCCCGAGCTACCCCGCTGATTCTCAGCTGTACCCCGCTTTCTCACAGCGTACCTATGCTTGATTCCACCTATGTATGTACCACCGTCATCAGACGCATGACTTTGGTGCGGCTGGAGATGTCGGCGAGGAGATAGGGGGGACATCTAGCGCCGGAGTAAGTGGACATTCTGATCAGGGCTAGAACATGTATATGATGGAAAACTAATTACCTACAAATTTACTACAATTTCGACTTATCGCTAACCGGTCGATGAGCTTCGTATATCCGCACCTCGAAAAGGGCGAAATCTGGCCGAAAGGTTGTGATTTTCGGTCCCGATGGGGCTATAGAGCGCTCGAGCTCTAGAGTGGGCTGCGAAAGCTTGGTCAACGGCTTCGGGCCAGTGGAACAATGCAAGCGATGGGCACCCGTGCGGTCCAGGGGAGTGTTATATTGAAGAAAACGGGCCAGAACTGGCCGCGACATTGTGATTTTCGTTCCTGTCGTGGCCAGACACCTGGAAAAAATTATAATTTGGATTTCAATTCCCCACACGGCAGATTATTCCTCTCAGATAGGCCGGCTCAACGGACAGCAGACCAGCGCGGTCATGAACAATCCGGATCTCTCAGTTGGCCGCAGTATTCGAAAATATATTCTGGACTCCGGTCTAGCCCTGCCACTTACACGGAATTCTGGCATCCGGGAATGAGCTTTGACAGGTCGTGGCGGTTGTGGCGAGTGGGGCGCGGAGGTACCGCCCTGGGCTGATACCTACCAGGCTGTGGATAAGCTAAATAGCTGGTCGGGTTCAATCCGCGGGATGCCCTGAGCAACAGAATCAGATTGCTTCACGGTGTCGTGATTCGTGTTGTAGCATCCCGGCGATGCAATCGGTTCGGCAAACCGTCCCCAAGGAAAGGTAGGATGTCCAACCCGTATTCACCGCTCTCAATTATGGTTTTTAATTACATCATATTGAATCTACCTACTTATTATCATAGTACACACCCATCCCACACCCATCTCATCTCTAACCCATTCATCACCCATCCCACTCATCCTCCGAACCAGATCCTCCTAGACGTCTAGAACGTAATACACGTAGGCCACGGCGCCGCCGACATACACGCCTGCCCGCAACACGCCCCGGGGTCACTCAAGTCGCACTGTTCGCCGTTGGCCCTGCATGTGGGTGCTTCTAGGGTGGGGACGGCGACTGATGGCGTTTCCGTGGTGGTGGGTGCAGGATCTTCGGTGGTGGTGGTGGTGGCCGGCTCCTCAGTGCTTGTTGCTGGCTGCTCAGTAGTGGTCGTCGGGTCCTCAGCGGTAGAGGGCTCGGCGGTAGATGGCGCGGCGACGGACGGAAGCGTGGGTGTTACGGGAATGTCCGCTGGGGCCGATGAGGTGGGGACGTTGGATATGGTTACTACGGAAAAAGTGGGCTTGTATGCGGATGTCGAGGGCTTGTACACTGAAGGCTGAGGCGTGTGTGCGGGATACTTGGGCGTTTGCACGGGAGGCTTTGGCGCGTAGACCTGCGTGGGCTTCGGCTTGTATGAGGGCGTGTATAAGGCCGTTGGCGACGGCTTGGGAGTAGGCGTGGGCTTGTAGTACACTGGCTTGGGCGTCGTCTTCGGCTTGTAGTAGACAGGCTTGAGCGTGGTCTTCGGCTTGTAGTAGACCGGCTTGGGCGTGGTCTTCGGCTTGTAGTACGCCGGCTTGCGCGTCGTCTTGGGCTCATAGTAGTCCGGATTATTCATCGGCACCTTCGGCGGTGCAGGCTTGTAGTACACAGGCGTCTTTTGCACCTTATTCTCCTTGTATCGATGAGCATACGCGTGCTCAAAATATCCGTTCCTGGCCGGCTGATAGTGCCGTTTATCGAGCTCAGATGGACATCCCTCTATTTCCTTCGTTATCACCGCTTCTTAACCGACATCCCCCCGTCTCCTCAGAGTATGTAGTAGACCCACCCTCAGTACAAGGAAACTTCTTTATCGTCCCAGCGGCGGCGGCGTCGACACCCTGAGCAGACAACAACAGCGGTGAGGCGATGAGCACAGCAACAACGAGTGAGAACCAGCGAGTGGAAACCATGATTGAATGGTGGCAAAAGAGTGTGTGGGTGGACGTGCGATGAGATGTTTTTTTTTGCGGCCGATCGGTACATATTTGTACCAATTGGTCAGCGCGGAAAAGGAGTTCGTTCTCGCCACCTCGCTATGGGTGTGCAGTACATAGACGGGTCCCCGGGCCCAGGAATGGCCAGCTGAGTGGAGTTGGGTTAAGCCTTTCGCTTACAGCTTCCATGCGATTGGTTCAGCTCATCCATGGGTCTTCGGATAGCCCGGAAGATCAGATACACTCAGCACTAGATCTCGTTTGGATGGAATAAATCCTGGAACGAAACTACGGGTATCGTGCACTCACAGGGTTTGTTGCGCCTCTGGACATTGTAACTGGACCAGCAGTACCGACATGGGCTTTAGCCGTCGCGCGAAAAGGAGTTCGGTCGTCGGGTAGCGAGTCGACCTTCCCTCTGCTCGGCATCAGATGGATCCGCACCAATCGTTCTCATTATCAACGCTGACTGAGTACATATATGCCGCCATTTCCTTCCAAGTTAGAGAAAACAACACGCGTAGTACTGTGTCACCATCCAACCGGCGGCAAGAAGCAACGTCGAACACCGTGACTCCGCACATGTACGCAATGTTTCCACTGCATACACTAGCTACGTCTCGTCAGCCGACACCACATACCTTACCTCCTAACCCTCGGTTATCATCGTACTAGAATAACTATAGCCAAATAGCCATCACCATCGGTCCGGACCCCGCGAGGCAACGACTGACATGCCATTTCCAATCGGCTCTTTGCCGGGTGCAATCTTCCCGTCACCAGCTCACTTTAATACTCGTGATGTGTAACGCCCGAGCCCTTCGCGAATGTACCGTGACCTCTCATAGCAGCAGCCACACCACGGAGCTCCCAGGGCTAATCGCGGCATCGAGACCCCCGGCCTCCCTAGCGAAGAGAACGCGTATCCCTGTGTCGGGTATCCGTAGTACAGTATAAGCGCAGCTAGTTACTGCAGTCCGTCCTGCGCTCGAAATGCTTTGGACTATAGTAGTCAGTCGGACCACTTCCCACGGACGGACTGCCAAAATACGGCCCAGTCTAGTGCGAGCCTTAGGACGCACGGACTGAACTGTGTCGAGCACTTCTGCAGTCGACCGTCGACGCACATAAACGCGCGGAAATTCATGGGCGTCCCCATGTGAGCGACTTAGTTGGATTTATGGTCTCGGATAATAGCGCCGAGAAGCAGAATTCCCACCCTGCGCCGTGAACTAATGAACGTTACTGGTATTGACCGCTTTGGCTACCAATGCTTTTCCTGTTTGGCCGGACGTTGTGTACCCAACGCACGATTGAGATGTGTTCTTCCCTGGGCACAATGAAGTATCCATTGGAAGGTGATTGAACACCGATTCAAGCCGTGGTGTTTCAAAGCCACCCACAGGGGGTGGTGAAGGTTCGTGATTTGGTGGGGGCTAGTCTACCTAGGTACCTTTTTTTCTGCCATATAATATGGTTTGCCGAGGAGCAAAACCGCATCACCATCTCGTCGTTCTCAAGGCGGGTCGAGTGAGCACTCAGGGGCAAGCTAAAAATCGCGGCCGGTATCAACGCAAATGGATGTTTTGCGCAAGATGTAATTGATACCACAATACGTAGCCGAGGGGAGAATATTTCCAAGCGCACACATGTAAACCTGTAAGTAAAAACCGACGACCGAAGAGGCCTGAGGCGCAGGGAGAGGGCGGGTGTGGTTACTTATTTACGTGACGTTCAGCTGGGAGTCGACAATTAATCCGCTATGCGTCCGCCGCCTCGATGCCAGCTACGCAAGACACCTTTACCGGCGTTATGCTATGTACTATATTTGGACAGCCGAAAGGTTCTCCCAGTATCCACTGCGGCACCGACCACTCCATGATTGTCTCAGACTAGATCTGTGGCTTGAATGTTCCAATCTCGATCATCTCAGCCACAAATCTAATCTTTGATCATCACCGAGTGACCGAGAGGGGAGATGGGATGTCTAATAGTAGACCCCCTGCTTGCTACACTCCTTGGCTCACCCGCAGTTCTATCTCTACACTATTTTCTACTAGTCAATAAGCGGCCGCGCCACAGCTTGCATGTTGCGAGGGTGGGGGTCTACCGTCAAAGACTTTTCCGCGCTGGTATGTCCGGGAGTAATCGGGAAATAACGTTTGCGCGACCTCAGATAACACGAATGCCTTCTACTACCTAGCAAACCGTGGAATATTGGACAGTAACAATAAGTCGGCTACCGTGGGTGGTAACTAGCATTCTCCCGAGCGAGCGGGTGAGTTGCGACAACAGTGTGTGATACGGCACATGCTGTAGGTACGGTAGATGATGGAGTTCGACACGAGCGGCAATCAAATCCGGCAAAGTGAATGAACACTGCTGGATTGGAATATGTAGAATAACAGATGATCGATCAAATTCTCTTCACCAACTCCGCTGTGCGCTATGATGCATAGAAAGCTTCCGCCCCCGGGCAGCAGATGAGGTTCCTCCTCTCACTAGACGCCGACACAAGTTCAAGCAGGTAAACAATGAAATACATAGGGTGACAGTGCAAAAACAAACTAGAATGAACATCCCACATGCAACCCCAAAGATACCCTGCTCCGACTCCGACTCAGACTCCTACCCCGACTCTGACTCCGACTCCGGCTCCGACCTCAATTCTGCCCTAACTGTAAGCCTGGCTAAATCGGCCGGCAGAGCTGAGCGGACTTCCGCCAGTCCTCACCGAACGAACTAGAGAGTAAGCAGTGGCGCCATCGGGGAAGCGCCAACGAGTGTGCAATCGCAATGATTAGTGCAACGAGTGCGCGTCTTCCACCCCGACACCTACCTATAAGCGGCCCTATCATCCGATGCAGATGCTAGGAGCCTGCCATCAGGCGGCTATGCGAGTGCATTGGCCGTGTCCGGATGGCCCTCGAGTGCTGTAGCACGCATCCGTCGCCGGATCCCGACCACATCCATTGCCAGCGCTCGGCTGGTCTTTGTTATTTGGGGGATCGGGCAACGGGGACTGGCTGCAGCACTCTCGAGGGCCATTCAAACACGCTTGCGGCAGTGGCATGCCCGCCTGATGGCGAGATCCTCACATTAGCATTGGAAGACGAAACCAGACCAAACCATTCGTCGATGAGATCCGGCTGCTGGCGTTGGGGGGAAACGTCTCTGCTATGCATAACTGATGATTCGCGTGCCTGTGATACGTTAGCTCACTCATCGATAACCCGACGGGAACCCGAACAAATTACATTGATCTCACTGACGGAGGCCTCGGTAGGCGGAACGACGAGTCGGCATGTGCGGCGGATGATGTCGAAACCTGTCATCGCGGACCGGGTGCTCGATGGGATACTATGGGTGGTGGTGGTGGTGTTGGGTGTTGCAAACAGACACGGTGATTAGGGGGTCGCAAGCTTCTAATAACCGTCAGACCTGTCACTCAGCCAGAGCAGGGTCACCCTTCACCCCGCAGTTGACAGTTGTTGCTCGAATTATCCCTGCGCGACGGATATGCCGTAATTCTTGGCGTCAGCACGCTATTCAAGAATCGTACAGCCGGGCCCCGGCCTGCAGGAATCGTGGCTATATTTGGATTATACTAATCACACTTGACGATCTTTCAAATTCCGCAGAGGATCAGGGTTGAGAGACACGTCGCAACAACCCGTGCATACTTGATCACGTTATCGTAGCGTCGCCAACTTCCGCGAGACTGCGACAATATCGCGCGCGCCATTCTCTGGATGGGAAGGTGAATTGCGATGCTGGCAACACGTGCTGCCGAAGTCTGAAGTTCGAACACCGCTCGGCTGCGGAGTAGCGAGTACATACATTTCGTTTTTTGGATACAAGTGGTATATACGGTTATATTATAGGTAGTGACGCAGTGTCGTAGTAGATTGCCACTGGTGCGGCGCCTTCAATGTGGTTACTTCTATTGCGGGTGCCGTTCGGCAATGCGTATCCAGGTGTCAGGCGGGATCGAAAGGAAAGCTCACACAGAAGGAAGAGGAGATGTGAATGGTGATTCCGTATTCGGTAGATGATGAGAGAGAGAAGGTAGAGCTGACGGCCAAGTAACAGACGAGAGCAGACGACCAATGGTATGCGATCGGATGTTATGTTTTAGTTTTGGCTCGAAGAGTATGGAAGCGGCATATAGCTCGTGGTATAGAGCTCGCAGCCAGAGGTCGACGACAGCCATGTCGAAAAAGATGAGTAATATTCCATGACCTACTGAGGCCGAATCCCATGATGATTAAAACAAAGATATGAGCCGCACCGTGGCTCAAATCAAAAACCTTCACCACCCCCGGTGGGTGGCGTGGAAACCCCGATAGATGGACCGCTGTCCATGCTAAATCCGCCGGGTGCATGACCACTAGGCAACGCGGGTTTTTTACGTGCTGTAAATTTACTACGCGCGGTTATCAACACGTCCGAGCTCCGCTACGTCCTAAACACTGTGTATATTCACGACGAAGTGTCGAGGTAACGTATGTCTGTAGGTATCATTGAATGAAAACGCACTCTATCATCAAGACTACATACACGTCATACACGACAAAGGAAACCGCAATCTATCGACATGCCTACACCACCCACTTCTCGAGGAACTCCACAGCCTGCTCAACTCCCTGTCGAGGTGGAACGCCAACCAAACCATGATCCGCGCCTTCCACCTCCGTGTACTCGACCTGAATTCCCTCCGCCTTCAGCAACTCCACGAACCTCCTCGAGTCCGTCGGCAGGACCACACTATCCGCACCACCATGAATGACCCAAGTAGGCGGCATACTCTTCACCAAGTCAAACGGCAGCAGCTGTGAGTGCATATCCTCCGGTACCTCTGTCATACCCCTCTCCCTCTGGCTTTGATGCCTGCCAAACAAAAAATCCAGCAAGACCCCCTGCTTCACCGCCCAAAGGAAAAACCTAAACCTGCCGCCCGGGGGGGTCACCCCGAAAACGACCAGATCATTCGTCAACACCTCGTTACTCCCCAGGATCGCTGCAAACTCCGCCTCTTCCAAATCATCAGTCGGGATCCCGATCACCACCGGCGGCGAAGAAGACTTGTCCGCTGAGTACCACGGCGCCCCCAGGTCCAGCATTCCGTAATAATCTAGCAGTGCCTGTGGCCTCACCGTCTTCCAGTGCGCGGCGGCAAGCACAGCAAGGAAAACACCGGCGCTCGCACCGATGACCGCGACGTGGGTGGTGTCGATTCCCTCCGCGGAGGCGTGGGTGGTGAGCCACGTCTCGAGCGCAGATATGTCGCGCAGGAGGGAGAGCCCGTCGGCTTGCGGGAATAAAGAGTAATCGGCGGAAATCACGATCCACCCGCTCACAAGTAGGGGGATCGCGACATCCTCAGGCACCATACCCTGCCGCTGACCGGTGACGAGACCACCGCCGTGGAACATGATCAGCGTCTTCCGGGGAGGTGAGGAGGACGTGTGCGTGCTCGGCTTGAAGATGTCGAGTTCGGTTGCGGGCGTCGACTGGTAGGTGTGCGTCGCCCATTCGAAGCTCGTGCGGAGTGACATTTCCGGTGGCGGCTGTGGTTGCGTGGGAGTGTGTTGTTGGCTAGAGATGTGATGCTGGAGATAGGATACTGAAGATTCGAGACCACCGGGCCGGGGAAGTCGTAGTATTTATCTACGGATAAATATTTACCACCGCAATTCCCCGCAACTCCGCATTGCAATCAGTTACAACCGCGCTACCGGAACACTGGCCGGAGTATGTATCTAGTCGCTAGTAGGCCAAGCGAACGGATCTGCAAACTTGTACCGCTGCGCAATGCCTCAAGCGGCCCGTACTAGCAACAATTCGTCAGTCCCGCCCGGCCCGCGGCCGAGACCTGCCGCATGTGGAATGACTGTTACGCGGCTGACGAAGTTGACCCGCGGCCGAGACCTGCCGTATCCGGACGACGACGCGTTTAACCGCTGACAAATCTGTTACGCAGCTGTCAGCGGTCCTGGAGCGGTAGGGATGTGAACTACTTTATGAAGACAGTTCACGTCACGCGATGTCTGCCAAAACAGAAACTCCATGACGGTAACAGTTGCAAGCGATAATCAATTAATTCTCGTGGTCTCGCGGTAATATTTGTTGTGAATCATGGCTAGTGGTGGCTGGTGGCGGCTGCCGGTTCCTGCCGGTGGTGGTGGTGGTCGGATGCTCGCGGCACCGCAGTGTCCATCGCCCGAGCGTCAACCTGACTATCCGCAATCAATTGTCATGCAGGTGGCGTGTCGCACAGTATCATGACAGCCAACAATTTGTAACTGCATCATCACAATTTACCATCAGGCCGCTGATTATTTGACATCTCTAGACTCTAATCAGCGGGCCGAAGACGCACGGTGCACGGAGTTAACAAAAATGCGAATATGCAATCTCAAATCGAAGCAGCTCCATGATTTTCGGCGACATTCATTCCTAAATTCTATCTAGAAGGGCACAAATCACAGGGCTGTGAAAACTCACACAAGAGAAATAAATCCATCCGTTTGCGTTCCTGTGTCGCCATTACTCAGTACGATAATAAGACCGAAATGCAAGAAGTCGACCAAGTCTACACGAGCGGGGGACATCGCTATGAGAACGTGAGGCCGCCCGCCCGCTTCTGAGAGTGAACCGCGTAAGGGCGTGCGGCTATTCATCGAGCGGAAACTGGATAGCAGGCACGGTAATGAGAATGATTGACAGATCCGGTGTCCGACTGCTATTACAGGTGCGGGCCGGGCCTTGCAGTGGACCAGTCGGCTGTTCGGCGGGGGTGCTAGCGCTTGTCCGCGGCGATTTATCGGTGCGGCAATTGGCTGGGGTCGAGACGCCGGTTTAAGAGAGGGCACCGAGAGAGTAAAAGAAATGAGAAAACGAGAAAATTGAGCGAAAACGACATAGGAAAAGAAGTATATTGCACTGAAGTACGCTTTCTGGGCGGTCGAAATTTCTCATGGCCGAGTTCCGCTGTGGATCTAGGTTGGTTTCTCCCGCGGCTTCAGAATGACGGGTCGTGGAGATTCTACGCAAGATCAGATAAACGAATGGGACCTCGATTCGGGAGTGGTGATGTACGGCTACGATTGGGTGAGCGGCGCAAGCGACCTGAATGTGAAAGAACACGCACAACCTCACCGTATCTCACTGATTTCACTGCATTGCGTTCAGTCGCTCGTGCAACTGTAATGGAGATGGTCACGACTTGAGGCTTCCTCATTGTACATGTGTACGAGATGCAATCGAGACAGCGGAGATTCTATAGGAGGAAATCGTCGCGCTCGACATGAGGATTCGACGGGATAGCGTATCGAGTGCCTACACGGGTAAGCGCGACTTCCTATGCTCCACCGGTACCAACATTCTCAGCTCCAGACTCCTGATGCGCATATAGGGGAAGAGATCCGCGTGCGTGAATGTAATAGTATAGATGATGGGTGGCCTACTATAGTACACTACCTAGACGAGTCGAAGTCTCCGTACGCTGGCCTAAACATAGATCCAATTGTGCAGATCTCACCCATGCCACATGAGACAGTCGTCGCCGTAAAGATGTGTAGATCGTCTTCAGGGCTGCAAAGCTTCGGCTTTGGCCTCAGTAGCGTGGAAAAGCTTCTTTGTTTTTAGAGTTGCCTTGGTATGCACCTTCCCCGCCCGTCTTTCGCCCCGTACGTAACTGCGTCTTGTCTTCTGACCGAGCTACGACGGATACGCGCTCGGCATTGCATACTCCCTTGTACCGGCTTTTTAAAGCTGTAGTGAGAAATAAATCCTCAATTTGTCTCCCTTCAGCAAGGCGAAGCTGCCGAGTGATATATCGCGACGCTCCTCTACCATCAGACAACCCCTCGCATGCAGACGGTCCTACAAGCTGGTACATATTTTCGCCCAATAGAGCGGCCTATCGGGCGCAAACCATGAAGTAAAACCCGATATTTGCCTCCCCCACTGATTGCAACCCTCTTCGGCTACCTTATTCCAACCTCTTGGCGCGTTTCCTAATGAATGAGAAGATACGGTGGTCGGCTACGACGACGTGTGTTGTTATTTGCTACCGACGAGGCCATCGGGTGCTGTATTTACCAACCCCTCATTTTTGTCGTGTTCCCGCTCTGGGTGTGCTAGTGATTGCCGTCCGTCAGCTGGGAACCGCAGGATTGGCTGTTGGCTTACCGGATTTATACACCCCAGGCGTGCGGGTGGACAGGGTCTCCGGTACATGCGAAATACAAGCATAGTCTGTGGCTAGATTACAATGCCTAATGTCCGCGAATGCTGCAGTGCGGCAGCTGCGCGGAAGACGGGGGCTCTAGGTGATGCCACTTACTGCGCATGCGGCTCCCACCTAATCGACGATTCGTTGTGACAGCGGAAAGCAATCAGGAAACAGTGGCAAGGAATGTACATTTAAGCCTATAACGCAGTTGTGGGTGTCTTCGCCTAGGTACTATGTAGATATGCAATTGTCGCTGGAAACGTTGATGGTTATGCTTAGCTTGGTCTGGCTTCATGCTTCACCTTATTGATGCATGCAATGTTGGTTTTCGTTGGTATGGTTTCATGATCTGCATCCTTTGATACGGTACATAGTTCACCGGATGGAAACTGTGGCGATCTAGGCAGCCACCTAGCCCGAGTTCTAGTTATATCGGTACTTGCAGTAACCGGATGGAGACAGTAGCGCTCTAGGCAGCCACCTGGCCACCGGTGGTGACACCGCAGCGTGTCTCGACATAGAGTGATTGATGACCGCGGAATACCCTAAGTTGACCTCTTTCTTGCTGGGAGACCAGAGCAGCCATGATTTTCCGACTGAACCTAACCAAAACATTATGCTCCGTGTGAGGTTTCTCCTCCCTCTGCGTGCAGTCGTATCCGACCGGGCATCCGCGTGGTGAACACGGCGGTGATGTCCACACCCAGCGGCGACCATTGGTTCTTTGCTTTCGTATGGTTTACCTTTCGCTTCGATATCGTGTCATCTCTTCTAATCTCTGCCTCGGTTTAATATTTCTTCATCCCTGGCCTCCTACAGACGCATATCGGCCTCGTCCAGGAAGGCCCTGTTCCCCGGTCTCACCTCACCGCTCACCCGTGCCCCCGACGTGCCCTCCCAACAGTAAGCTGTGCCTACCATCGTCGCTTCGGATCTTCGACAAAGTACACTCCCACCATTCACCTTCTTGTCTGTTCTCTTCCTCCCATTCTCCAGACCGCAGACCATTACCACCCACCGTCCTCCCACCTCCGACTCTGCTTGAGTCTCTTCGCTTCCACGTCGGTACATCCGGACGAATTCCTCGGTGAACGTCTACCGATTGTCAGGCTAAACATAGCCCAGCATTTTTTGGATTCCGCTTCAGATCGGAAATTGTGATTCCGCCTTGATCTCCAGGCTATGGATACTCTAAGTACGGCGCTCTATGCTGAAAGTTACATACCGGCGGGAAGTGGAAAGGGATTGACTGACATCTTACAGTCTGGAGCCAGCGGTGGCAGCGGATGCGAACACGATTCGGCGTATGGCAGCCCGCGCTCCTCCTCATCAGCGGCATCGGAATGCTCACTGTCATGAGCATGTTGGTATCGCTGTGGACGTGGAACGACGACAATCCCGACAGCCTCCGATCGCGGCTGTTGTACAGGGACTGGGCCAAGTCGGTGGTGGCCGTTTGCAGCGCTCTGCTGCGAACATGCATGGCCGTGCAGCTGGGAATCTGCTGCGTGATGATGGCGACGGTGGCCTTCGAGAAGGACTGCGTACTCCTGTGCGATGCCGCGTCGATGTCGATCAACCGGTACACGGCGGCGTCGCCGTGGATTTTGGTTCCCCCCATTCTGCGCGGCGCGCGCGTCAGCAAGAACTTCGGGATTCTCTTTCTGATCGCCGGGTTGTCGTTGATTGTTGTACTCTCGCAGCTAATGTCGGCGATCCTCCTGTTGGATCTGGACCAGAAATACGTGCTCGGCCCCGAGGTCGAGGATACATACTACCGCCAGGTCAATGTCTACGACTTGGCCAGCTCCAACCCGTTGGCACAGCGGCCGCAGTCGTTCCCGCGGTTCTCAGAGTGGACGAAACCTCCCATCTCCATCTCCGAGGGCCCCCTGGGAAGGGGACTGAACGACACGGGCGCGACGGTGAGAGCGTTTACCGAAGTGCAGAACGCGACTGACAGGTCCTCCCTCCTGTCGTACAAGGGCCGCGGCGGGATTGCAGAGGCACATGTCCTCTGCGTTTCGCCGGACGTGCACAACATTACCTACCACGCGCCGGATCGTATAACCGGCCGACTGACTTCGGACTTCCTGTACCGCTCCACCGGCGAGCTGCAACGGCAAGGCTCGTACCGGTGGAACGGAGCACAGCCCCCCTCCGATTTGAGCTTCGGTTTCAACTGCACGCTCGGCGACGAGATCATCATCTGCCCGCTTCGGCCACCGGCGGTACTCGATTGTCCAGGCTTCCCGACCCAATGTCTTCTCGCCCCCACCAACATATGGTTCCTGGTCATTATGGAATCCGACAGCCTCACGTGGCGCGTAGTGGGCAACACCCGTCTTCCGATCGACGAGACGCTCCCGCGGCACCTCTACAACACGTCCAACTTCCGCTTCGACGGGAGCGAGTGGACGTCATCCACAATCGCGGACTGGACCCTGGCAGACCCAGCGTACGCGGAAGCGCAAGCCTTCAACACCCAAATGTCTTTATGCACCATCTCCGCCGGAAACACAATTGCGAACATCTCCTCGAGGGCCGATCGGCGCGCGGATGAGCCAGAGATCGCACCGTACGCCGCCCTTAGCGAGTTCTCGGCCACAGCGGGAATCGAGAAGCAGCTCTCGTCGGACCGCAACCTGACCGACCGGGGCGTCATGCAGCTGGTCAGCTACGCGATGGGCGCATACACGAACTTCACGGAGGTGATCCAGAGCATCCGGGGCGGGTACCGGGGGCGTCTGCTACAGGAGCCACTCGACACCTTGTACGATGCCTCCGTGCAGCTCGAGAGCGTGAACGAGGTGTACAGCAGCATCCTAACCGGGATCTTCGGCTACTCCAACACGACGGTGGCATTCGTCCTCCAATCCCTCTCCACGCTCCTAACCTCGAGCGCTTTCTACGACGAGCTCTCGATCCCCGCCACGCTGTGGCACTCCATCGCCGCACTGCCAGAAGCAGACCGCTTCGGCATCACGATCGACGCGCGCAACCTGACGCGTCTTACGCAGAGCACGAAGCGCCGACAGGTGCCGACCGCGTTCACAGGGCTGTACATTGCCGCCGGCATCGTCGGCTTGCACCTTGCATGTATCGGCGTGGTCTTCTGGATGTACTTCTCGTGCAAGGCCGACGGATATCTCGCGCAGGCGTGGCATACCGTCGGACAGCTGCATAGCGGCGAGGCGCAGGGGTTCCTAAGCCAGGCCCACGGCCTAGGCGATCGGGAGGTTGCCGCTCTCCCCGCCGCCAGCGCGAAGTGGCGGCAGGTAGTGCAGTTGTCGAAGGAGAAGGGGATCGTGCTGAAGAGTGAGAGTGGCGTGCAGAAAGGTAGGGCGTGAAAGAGGAGATGCGTGTGAGGAAGGTGCTAATGGCCGCGGGATAGTCACCGATGCTCTGCTGGGGGCGGAGCGGACGACGAAATGGGATGGCAATGGGAGGAAGACTACAACCGAGGTGCGCGCGTCGGAGTAGGAGCGGCGAAAGCGGATGAATGGTATGCTCGAGAAGCTGGGAAGGGTAGTGTTGAGCAGGCAGGGATTTGGCGGGGGAGGATCACCGGGGATGGAGGGCCATGGCAGGGGGCGGTGCCGGGAGGATTATCACAACAAGCAATTGGAAGGATGTGCAATAGGAAGGGTTAATGCTCTTGTGAGGGGCTAGTATTTGAACATGAGAGCGGTCAGTGGGATTGCAGCCGGGGAATAAACGAGAAAGGAGCTAGGCTACGGGAATCTTGTATCTAGTGGCTCGCAGAAAGACCTCTCGTACCGGCACTGTCGCAGTAGTTGCTCTTCCGGTAAAATAGTGGCCGTGCGCATTCATTCATGATGGCTCACTCACTCGCGTTATTTCGGCAGCATGTGCAATTCTCCATAATCAGCGGGGAGTAGCTGTGGCACAGGTGACGCCAGACTCCTCAAAAGCACTGCTCAGCCGCTTCGCCCAGCAACAGCGAGCCCTGTCTTCCACGAATCTGGGACACAACCGAATATCGGTACCTTCCACGCGGCGCTCCCCAGTAAATCCTTGTATCATACGTCTATGCAATGCGTGTCACGTTCTCCGATGACAGTGACTGGTGTATGCGGTAGAGGTTGGGTTGCGACAAGCTTATCATGTTTTGTGCCAATCTTCGGGCCGTCCCGGACTCCCAGTCGATCGTTCAAGCGCTGACAAAGCCGTCGGCATTTACAAGGGCGTTATCCAATGGTGGCCAGGGGGGGAAGCACGGTGCTCATTAAGTGGGTGCATAACTACGGCCGTGTCATCTGCCCGGCTCGATTTCGGGATTGGACGGGGTCTCCATCGTGTTCATCCGGTACATTGTCGGCTGCCTCGCAGGTTATCACGGAATCGATTGCACAACACGTGGAGAACGTTTGAAAACCAAATGGGAACCCGACATCCGAACAAGTGTAAACGCCAGGAATGGAGAGTCCGGATTGCTATCGGTCACTACAGATGGCGAGGCGTACAGACACCGCAGATGTCATAAGCATTCAGCAACGACTTTATAATTCTAGGATTCCTTGAGTCGAACCGGTACATTCCAAGCACAAAACAGCACCACTTCACATCCGGCAACGAAAACATCGCAACCCAACCCGCGCCTCTCCCTCCGCTCATCCAAGCCGCCAACTACGCAAGCGCACAATGCACGTCCCAAATAGCACCAGTGTGATTACTCGCCAACCACAGCGCGTCCTCAACACAATTCGCAACGATGAACGCTGAAGTAGTGAACGTAGCCAAGCCATTGCTGCCAGAATAGCTGAACTGCCAGTCGGTGATCGATCCGCATTGCCCGCGCAGGTTGTCCAGATACCCCTGACCCCAATCGTTGTCCCAGTCTCCCCAGGTTGTCACCCAGAACTTGAACATGTTGCGCGTGTTCCGGTCGTACGTGCAGGACGCGCTGTTGGTGGCTCGGGCGGTGAGGGACGTCGGCGCGGCGGAGGCGAGCGTGCCCAGCGCGGCCGCGGCGTAGAGAAGGAGCTTCATGTTTTCGTGGGGATGTTCAAGGTGCTTTGCGGATGAGTCGCTTGGGTAGCTGTGGTGTGCGGTCTATGATGAGAATGAATTGGCACCTGGGTGGTCCTCATACACCTCTTTTGGGGACGTTTCGGAGTTCTCTGTCGGAGCTCTCTGTCGAGGCGCTCTATCGGCGTTTGCTGTCGGAGCTCACTGTCGGCGGCGACAGTACATACCCGCGTGAAGCGTATGCATCAATCTAAACACCCGATCTTTCCGGTCTATTTCGGATAATGTATTCTTCCTACATACGTCGCTTCCTGCAAGTAGAGTCAACGGTAGCGCTTGATGATTAAATTCTCCACGCAGCCCCTGCGCGATTGAGCACTGTACCCGGCGTATGTAGTGGATTTGTCGAACACCAGCGCGGGACTCCATGAGCATCAGCAGACGCGTCCTGGTTCCTACGCGCGGAATATGTACGACGAAACACGGCCATTGCGCGCTCTCGTTGAAACCGGCTATGTATGCGATCCTAACGCGGCTATATCAACCACGCAAACGCGCGCTAAATTCCCAGGCCGGTTCGCATTGTGCACGTTCTTCGAATTCATGAAAGTCGTGTCACCAGCGCTCTCGAAGTGACAGACGTAAAAGCCGGCAGCAAGGTCCCCCGGTGACCGATCACCAGCGACGTAAACCGATGGAGTCTATTCGCGAATCTATAAACTGATGCAGGTGACGTGATCACGGTAGTGTTTGAGCTGCATGAACTGTGCGCGGGAAAACACTAGTGCACACTAACCAACAACAGGCATTGGCACTGCCACACCTTCACTCTTATGGCAGCTGCGACACCATCACTTAGCATTTATGGCCATCACTTGGCGCCCTGTGTGAACTGGAAACAACCTATGTAGGCGGCGACATCACCATCACTCGGCTTTCTCAGTGAACTGGAAATGGAAGTATGTAGGCAACACCATCACCCAGTGCGCTGAGTAACTAGAAATTAAAATATGTAGGCAATAGAATCACCTTGAACTGTAAATAAAAGTATGTAGGTGGCAGCATCACTCGGCACGGTTAGTGAACGGCAAATAAAAGTATGTAGGTAACAGCATCTCCTTTTGCTGTAAATAAAAGTATGTAGGTGGCAGCATCACCCAGTGCTATCAGTGAACTGGAATAAAACTATATAGTCAACATCATCACCTTGAACTGTAAATAAAAGTAAGTGGATGGCAGCATCACCCAGTGCGCTCGTTGAACTGGAATAAAGATATAGGCGACAGCAGCATCACTCAGTGCGTGAACTGAAATAAAAGTATATAGACAACTGCATCACCTGGCGCGCTCTGTGAAATGTCGCGACAGGAAATAAAGAGACAAATCACTCTCGGCAAACAAATCTATTGCAATTCTTCCACTTGTTCATTTTGTGGGTGGAGTCAATTGTGTCAAGTGTCCTGTAGAATCTCAACCCGCGATAGCAACACAAAAACCATTCCCAACGGAGTACTTTATTTGAACCGAGAACAGAGTAATCTTTCTGAACGATGGTATTCGCGGTGAGTCGGCAAAGACACTGTGGTACCTATCCGCGGCGACAAAACTGTAGTATCCGCGACGCGAAACTGTTGTATCCACAGCGAGGAAATTACCAAAGAGCAGGAGCTGTTAGTCGGACAGCGAAGGACAGTGAACCCACCAGCGGATGATTCGTTGTGGAGACAATGTGCTGTCCGCGTCGCGGAAGGTGTGAACGTGGTGAAGTTTTGGTGATGGTAACGTGTCTGCAGAAGGATGCCCCCCTGAACGGATATCCCCCAAGCACTGTGGCGCTGTACTTTTTTTTTTTTTTTTTTTTTCATTTACTGCCGCAGTAGAGAGTTTAGCGCTGCAACGCAGGACCTACCCCCATTCAATCGGGGGTGGGCCCCCCTCACATTTCTTCGGATGCCGCTTATCGATTCTCTCCTCTGACCGTTAACTTTCTAAGGACTAGTCCTGGCCTGTGATTTTTCCTTGTGATTGCTTGAGTGTGCCACTCATTTACGAGTCTTCTAAGACTCTCTCTTTACTACCCTAAACTCGTCCCTCTCGTTTTCTCCTGTGACCTTCCTTGCGTACCCGTGTTCACCAACCCGCCGCTACAGGTCGGCTAAGGCCCCTCTGGCCCTGGTCCCCCTCAGCGCGGAGCATGGGTCGGGAGCTGGAGCTGGTCGGTGTGGGCAACTTACTTCCATACATACGCCAATAAGGGCGCGTTTCGGTGTGTTTTGTCGCGGATGTAGATTAACAACCCGACAATTATGCTCTCATCGGACAATGAAGCCGCAATTTACATTCTCATCGGAACCCAAATGTGATGCTGGTATGTAGAGTACGGAGATGCATCTACCTAGGTACCCATGCCGTTTCCATCCACTTTGCCGAGCAAACGCGGTTCGGCTGCCGAGCCCAGCTCCGCTAGTTAGATAACCTACCGACTAGCTTATATTGCCATCTTCGACGGAAGCCAGTCAAACACCGATCGTCTCAGTGTCGACACTTGTGCTGTGGAAACAAAGTTGTCCCCGCCAACTTCCGCCAACGGAGTGAGGGTTCACGGGCTCTAGTACACTACAAGCAGCGATACCGTGCACGGGATAGCGCAGTATCATTTGAATTTGGATACGGAAAAGGACATCGACCGTCACGTTTCGCATACATATAAAGTACATGAGTCTACCTGCCGAACATATAGAAGATCGACGGCAAAGTTGCGAGCGGAACACCGAGCCGCAAATGGCTGACCACATACGTAAGGAATGGGTGCACACCGGTGAAAGAGGTGTGGCAGATGGCCTGTGCAAAGGAACCCCTGGCGACGTTGCAGAGCCGATAGAAGCGGTTGCGGTGGCGAGCGTCGCAGGGGGTATGTACGAGCATCGCGGTGGTGCCGAGCGTCGCAGTGGTAGTGAGCGTCGTAGATACACGAGTGTCGTAGGCGCAACGAGAGCTATAACGGCTGACCAAAGCAAGCCCCTCCAGGACAACGGATAGTACGCGAGACTTAGGACACGAATATCGAAGCGGCCGGATTTTGGGGGTATAAACGAACGGCGTAGAGATGGTCGAGGTCTCGCGCGAAAGAGCGACAACGAAGCTGCTTGCACACCGGAA